CTCCCTCCCCACCTGCAGACCCCGCACCAGCAGCCCCACAAGAACCTCGTGACTGGCTCGGGCGAGCAACGTGTTGCACACACCCAGCACGCAGCGCCACAGCTCCGAAACCAAACCCGCCACAGCCGCGCATCGCACGTCGGGCGTGTCGCGAGTGATGACTGATTGCGGGTGTGGTGCGTGGGTGGGGAAGAGGGGAAGAGCCAGAGGTCAGCAACCGCCTACTCAGTCCTTTGCTCGGATGTACGGCCACTTAGTACGGATATCTCAACAGTGTTTGGATGAGCGCTGGTGGATGCAGGTGAAAGCGCTGACGTAAACAGCAGGCCGCAATACGTTCAACCAACCACCTACCCAGCATCCCCTTCGCAACCTCAGCACTGGCAAGACAACCCCGCTTCCTGTCCTCTCCCCCCACCCGGCCAAAGAGTCCCCACCCCTCTCTCCTCTCACGTTTGGGTGAGGGCATCCCCGGCTCCGCAGGCAGCACCACGACGTCCGTGAGCGCCTCCGTGGCCGCCACCATCGCCAGCACACACTCGAGGGCCAGGTGGGCCACCACCACCTCACTGCCCTGAGCCAGGTTGGTGCCGAATGCCTCAGTCTCCTGGGAGAGGGGGAAAAGGGGGAAAGACGAACCACACACGATTTAAGCTGCTGCTGGGGGAAAAGAGGGAAAACGAACAACCACAACCACAACCACAACCACCATCATCACGACAAGGTATGTGGGAAGGAGAGGTATATACACACAAACACGCACAGGTGAGGTGGTGAATGTGGAGGAAACAAACACACACACACATACATACACACACCAAGGGGGGGCGGGGAACGGAAGACAGGGATGTGGCCAAAAGCACATGGCTCAAGAAAGGATGGAGGCAGGCAGGGTGTGGGGTGTTGCGGCTACTAACTCTGTGGAGGGGCGGGATGATGTGGGTTGTGCAATCCTTGCTTGATCTGATCGGCGGCCCACGCACATCCTCGCCTCACTCCCCAGTGGGAGCTCCTGCTTCTCCTCCTCCTCTTCCCTCCTTCACTTCCCCCCCTCCTTCACTCCTTCCCCCTCTCCTTCACTCGCTCGTGGTTCGTCTTTTTCCCCCCTCCTCCTCACCCGACGGCCCCACCTGCACCGCGTCTCGCGCCCCCATCGCCCTCTGGAAGTACAAGTTACCCAGTGCCGCGACCACGTCATCCTCGGGCGTCTCAATGGCCGTACGAACGTACCACCGCAGAGCGTCGTGAATGGACTGAATCACGGCGGGCAACACACCGCCACCGCCGCCTCCGGTTCCGCTTCCCACGCCGCCGCTGGCCAAGTCACCGTTGGCGGCCTCCCCCCCCGCCGCGGCGCCAGCTGCCTTTCCGGACCCGGCAGTGGTGGCCGCTGCCGCGCCCGCGTGCTTGTCGGCGGGCGGCGATGGCAGGGTCATGTGGTGCAACCTGATGGTCGAGCAGCGGTCGGGCAGCGAGGGTGATCCGGAGGGCAATGTTCCGGTGCAGGGGGACGGCGAGAAAGGTCACGAGTGGCCGCCCGGGGTTTTAACTTTACCTGGACATTGGAACAAGATCGGTTGGAGCCGTTCTCGTGCCGCCTGCCGCTGCTGCATCTCCAACTCCTCACCCTCATCTTCCCCACAAAACCCATGCCTTGTTGAAATCTTAACGGCCGACGGCAAGTAGATCAGCTACTGCCCTCCCCTGGCGTGCGTTTCCCCGACCGTGAACACCGGACTGCTAATGCCCCCTAGCTCTTAGGCCACTCGCCCACTGCCAGTCCCCCTGCAATCTTGGGCTACCGTACACACAAAACACACCACACGGCCCCGTGCCGCGCACCCACCCACCCACCCACCTACCCACCCACCTGTACAGCAATGACGGGTCCGCCAGCAAACCCCGCAGCGCCTGGAACGCCATGAAACGCTGCCAGCGGTGAGCCGCGCCAGGTCGCCCTACACTGCCCGCCGTCTCCGCCAGCCGCACCACCATGGCTGCGGCCCGCTCGGGTGCCAGGTCGTGGTGGCGGCGAACCAGGGCGGCAGCGCAGCGCACCACCAGGCGGCAATCCACCGCATCGTTGGGATCCACCAGGCGGTCACAGGCGCTGTCCAGCAGGCCGTTGATTGCGGCAGCAACCTACCCACATCCGCCAGGTAGGCAGGCAGGCAGGCAGGCAGTTGCATACACACACACACGCGACGGCCGCGGCAGCCCGAATAGCAGCAATACAGGAGAGGGAGGTACCAGGCGAGATGATGACGCAGCAAGGTTAGCGGCGAGATGATGTGCATGAATGGGAAGGTGCACATGGCGAACAAAATAGGTGGAGATAGCGGCACACCAGCACACCACAAGACACCACACACGGCAGGTCGCACTTCTGCTGCATATGTGTGTGAGAGCTTCATGCATGCAGGAAAGTGGCCACTCTGGAGCACGTTAGGAGAGCGGCAGTCCCTACCCCCCTGCCACAGAGACATAAAACCTCTGTCGCTCCCAAGCCACCCGTGCCGCCGCCCTCTGCCGCGCCTGTCCCCTCCCCCGCGGGGGGACTGAAGACGGGAGGCAGAAGACGGGAGGTCTCGGGGTCCGGAGGGCCTGAGGAAGCCCTGTGGCAGCTCCACAGCTGGGGACTGTAGCGGGGCCCCCACGATCCCCTAACTCGACTGACTGCACACGTTTCACATCTCCTTCGGGGCCCTAGCTCTCCGTCCCGCTCCGCTCCGCACCACGGCGCCCCCTCTTCCTAACCTTGGTCTTGACGCACTGCACCAGTCCCGGCAGCCTGTGGACGGCAGCAGAGCGCTGCAGCAGCACCGCCTCCAGCATCTCCAGCAGGAAGGTGCGGTCCACCCGGTTGCCGCCGCGCGGCTGCAGCTGCACCCAGCCCAGCTCCTTGCCTAGAGGGGTGTCCGCGGGCGCGTGCGGGTGGGGTCGTGCACACGGGAGACGTCAGCGGGGGGAAGGGAAAGACCAGGGGTGACTAGGGGCAACCAGGTCCCTCCGCATCCGAGGGAGTTAGTTGCGAGCCAGCAATGTCCTGTGTGCCTCACTTCAAAAAGGGGTGTTCGGATACCGTATTAAACCTTGTTCTCTATAGGGCTGCTCAAGCCTTGGCAACACCTGGCGCCGCGCCGGAACCAATAAACGGTTCTAACGGGTCTAACTGCCGCCCTGCATCGTTGAGAGCTTCCCCCTTGCGTCTCGCCACGTCATGTGGCTCTGACACCGCCATAAACCCGGAAAGGACACTAAGAGGGCGGTCGTGAGGCCCACCACCGCCAGAATCCGCTCTTGACATTGCCATCAAGATATCCGTGCTCCTCCATTGGTTGGTAGCCCAAGACCCCCGGTCATCCACGCGCACCCACACACGCACCATCCCTGGCCCCCAGCCAGCCCATCATCTCCTCCAGCAGCAGCACCGGCACCACCTCCCGGCCGGGAGCTGGACCTCCCTCCGCAGTGGCAGGGATACTGGCAATGACAGCAGCAATCGCTGCTGCTGCTGCAGCCGAGCTGCTAGGTGCTGCGCCTGGTTGCGGCGGCCCCGGACTGTTCGCGCCGCTTGATGAGGTGACGCTCCTTATGGGTGTGGATAGGGAGGGCTGTGGTGAGGAGCCCACGGCGGGGGAGCCGCTGACCGGCGTGGGGGTCGCCGGGGCTCGGCTGGGAAGCAGGGAGTGATCAAACACCAATGCCACCGCCTGCAAAGCGCGTAAGGCACGATACGGAACACAGGATGTTGGCGCGCAGGGAGATGGGAACGGGGATCAAGTAATGTCAGTGTTCAACAAGGTGGCATGGTGATATAAAGCGTGCGCTAGGATCGAGCCAGTCCTTCACACGCACGGGTACATTTACTGTACGCTTGCGTATTGAAGCCCGTGATATTTACGGGATGGTGGCCAACATCCGGCACACCACACCGGTCAGCCATGGCAACATGCCCTTCTACTCCATTGGCAAGGCTGCGTTATACATTGTTGCAAATTATAGATTGCTGCAAAGAGGAGACACGTCCCTTGTGCTTACAGGATCACCAGCCCGGGGTTACTCCAATCAGGCTGAGATTAAGTTATCAACAGTAAGCAGCAGCCGGCCACGAAGGCAATGCGCATACCTGCCGTATGGTGGCTGCCGCAGTGCTGTGCACCGCAAAGTTAGACTTGTTGTTAACGTAAACGCGAAATACCAGCGACAGCAGTTGTTGTATGGCGTCCTGCGGTGCGAGGGGGACGAGGGATGATGGGGCGAGGGATTCTTGGTCCAGCAGCGTTGGATAGGGTGACACGGATTACTGCAATAACTCTGGGCAAAGCCATGCCTGCCAGTAGAAACACCTCATTTAAGAAGTATGAATCTCGAATATAAGCCGTGTATACAAGGTTGGGTTAAAGAGGTGTTGAGTTTTCATACCTCCCATGGGCTGTTCAAGCTGTCTCCAAAGGCGTGCTTACAGCGAACGGGAAGGGCTGCGCTATCTGCCCTCCTGCGGGAAAACCCATCCCCTAGCCCACCTGCTCGTCTGCAAAGCTTGGGCTTTGAATAATTGTAAGGCTGGCCTGAAGAATGCGAAGCTTGACGCTTTCGTCATTTAAGCGCTCGGCCTGCGAGCGGCGAGTTACGAATAGCACAACTCCAGTTGAAGGCTCCCATAGGAGCTGACCCCAGCTGCCCTCGAGGCGAAACACACACGCACCGCTTGGAGAGCCTTGATAATATCGCAGCGGCCCCTAATTGAAACAGCATCATTCGCGAGCAATTTTTGAAAGGAGCTTATGGCAATACATGCCAGCTTCGCGTACTTCGTCTCGCATGCTAGTGAAAAAGGCGTTAGAATCTCCTGCACAGGGACTTGAAATCTTCAACGAGGCGAGGAGTACTTTGCGCCACGATGCTGCAGTTACTAACCAGCGCCTGCTGGACACTTGACAGTCCGCCTTGCTCGACACTTCGGATTTTCTGAAGAGCGCGCTCGGTCGCGTCTTTTACAGCGGGTAAGTCTGAGTGATGCAGCATTCCCATCAGGTTTGTCATGGGCCCCTCTGCCTTCTTCGCCTCAGCAGCCAGAAGGCGCAAGTCTGTCTCGACTACCGCGAGTACAACGTCTGCTGCCATTTTTTCGTGCGAGCTCTAGCAGCTCTGTAAGGCAGCAAGAACCTAACCCATCCTCAAGCCAAAATCCCCTTTGCAGCTCAGCCCTTGCAAATACGGGTGCGAAGCACCTCCGAAACCGGTCAGTCGCAGATGTGTGACGACTGAAGCTAAGTCGCCAAAGCTCAACGAGACGGAGTGTTCGAGGCAATAGGAAATTGCTACGAAGATCTATTTTTACAAGATGAAGCGCAGGTGCATCAGCACCAAAACCTGTTCGTACGGCATGGCATGCACACATTGTTTGCCGGCATGCCGCTCACAATTTTTGGCGATGGCCATTTCGTTCAATCACGATCCACACTGGCTTGCCCGACATCTGAGGGACGTTATCTATAACTTAAGACATTTGCAAATGACTTTTGATTTTAAGGACCTGAAAGCGTTGGCAATGCATACCGCACCGCCCGGAAACAAGTCATATCACAGTTCGGTGCATAGATAAGCTCGTGATCACCGACCCAGGACCCCGGTCCACGGGTTCACCTGGGAAACGGACTTGGTACACACACATTTCCGAGGAAGGTGGTGTTAGCAGACACGCCCACAGAAGGCTACTTCTTCCAGTAGCATTCTGCATGGGGCCGTGGCCCCGGGAGCGGCAACCTATCCACGGCTAACCCCCAACAGGTCGCCCCCTTTGGGACTTCCGCTTTGCCGATGAGATAGGATGCTAGGTCCTACCAAATACGCTCTCAACCTGCCAAATGCTGTTTTTCACACCACCTGCATGCCGAGCCCACCAGCTGCACCAGCTACCTAAATTGCCCGGAGCCGCGTGACGGTCGGGGTGGAGTTGGACCCTGGAAACTCTCAGCAAGGAACGCCCACGGGAACGCGATAGGACCTTGAGCCTTGGACCTGCTCGGTGTTCTGAACAATGTCAAGTTTCCTTGGTCAGCGCGGGAGCTCTGCCACTGCGCCTGGTCGTCGACATCTTGCATGTCCTCGTCGACCCAGACACCCTCGCACGACAACACGACAAATTCTGGCTTCGGATGTGCGGCATTGGAAGAGCTCGCCGCGATGCCCAAACAGGCGTCTGAGGACGAAATTGCTGTTTCCCGCGCTGCCTCGTAAACGGCGCTGCACACTGACTGACACAGAAGGTACTTGAAGGCCCCAGACTGGACCATCATATTTAACAGGTATGCGCGAGCAATTTTCAAGTCCTTGTCGGCGGCTGCAGCGGCATGCTCTAGGTCCGAGAGGCATCGCACGGGCAGGTAGGGTTCGCCGGCCGAACAGGGGTGACATGCCGCCGCTGCCAGGCTCAGCAACGCCGTGTCACTGTCGACGCTGCCTTTTGCACCTGCTTCACAGTGCGATCCCACGGCTTCGGCTTCTTGGCTTCTCGGGATATTGAGCAATCCCCCAGGATCGCTCACATGGGCAGGTAGTGAACCTGAAGCTCCATCAAGGGCCTCGTCGCAGCTCCAGTGACCGGACTCCTCGGTTACTTTTGAACTGGCTGAGACCAACGTGCCCGCAGCCACTGGTGCATCGGCTTCAGCCAAGGGCTGGAAGCGTATCTGCCGCTGCGCCAGGCGCTTGTTCGGAGTAATTCGTGTCTCGAGGAGGTCCTGGTCGGGCTCGTAGTCCGTCAAGTCGCCGTCGTCAGTAGAATCCTCTCCAGGCTCGTAATACATTAAATGGCGCTTCTTTGCTTCCAAGCGAATAGGCTGGACCTCGATGGTAGGTTGATCGTCTGCGTTGTAAATGCAAAGCATGTATCTGACACCCACGGCCATGTCTACGCTCTGCAGTCGGTTACTTAACGATTGACAATCTAACGACGTCAAGCGCATTGGCAATTACATGGGCGGCAATTACCAAGCTTCTAGCCTGTCAAACGCCTACTGCATGGTGGCCCGTTTGATAACCCACAACAACGTACCTTCGCCTGCGGTGAGCGCCAAGTGCAAGATGCAGCCGTGATTGGCAGACTGTCCGCCATAGTTGACGGCGGAGAAAAAGGTGACGACACGGCCGCCAAAAGCAAGCTCCATGCCCTCGTCGATGCATTCATGGCCGCGCAGAATGGCGGTGATGCTGTTGCGCTGCAACGGCGTCAGGAAACCTTGGCTATTTAGCGGCGCAAACGGCATGGGTCATGGAACTTCTCATCCTATGAAACTGATCATGCCAAGATGCGAGCGGCTTTAGTTCCTGCAATTACCGTACCTGGCAGAAGTTCTCAACCCGATCAGCGCCAAAGCAGACAATGCTTCCGCTGTGGTTGTCGCGCTTGTTGGTGAGCAAGCCGTTGTGCTCATCGCTTGGAGCTGGATCGGACCAGACCTGATGCAAGGCATTTGCGCGCGTAAGGTTTTTATCCGTGTTTCGCTGTTCGTTATCACCACATAAAGTGCATGCACGGATGTAAGGCAGATGCCTACGTCGAAAACTTGAACCACATTCGGATAGCCGAACTTACCAGCTCGAGCATGATCAGCTCGTTGATATCGCCGGTTCCTGTGCGTACGGGGCGCTCAACGCTGCTGATTTGATCCAAGCTCTCTAATCGCCCTATGCCGCCGTGCACAATCAGGTAGCGGCTTGGCATGAACTCAGATGCATCCTGGACGCACGGCTCCAGGTCGCCTGCCAGAAGGTCGGTAATTGGGTCTCAGCACTGAAGGGAAAGGAGCACGACGGAGACGATGCAGTACCTTTGTAGCCTGGGGGCGCCGCAATTGCGGCCAGGGGCATGTAGTCGAAAGAGTCGTTAAATGCATTGAATAACGCTTCGCCACGACGGGAACCCCACTTGCGGCTCAACTCGGTGCGAAAGCCGTAGCACTTGTTGATGTTCATGATCTACACGAATATGGGGCAATTGGTTCATCAGTTACGACAGGAAACGAAAGGATGAGGACTCAGCAGGTGGGCGCACCGGGTGGGTGTACCGGGTAGGCGACTTGTACAATAATGTACCGCAAGCGGGTGTCGAACTCAACGAAAACCTCACATGACTCTTCTAACATCACTACCAGGTTACCGAGTGTTACGTCGATAAGCGCACGGCTTCACACCTCATGATTCCCGCGCAAGAGGATGATCTCTCGCGGCCACTTGATCTTGAGTGCGTACAACAGGAGGATCACCTCAACACTGTTGCAGCCTCGGTCAACGTAGTCACCCATGAAGACCCACGGGATGCTGGAATGGGAACATCACAAAGTAAGGCGACTTCATCCATCAACTTGGTGCATAGTGGCATGACTTCCACGTTCTCACCTTCCGTCTGGTGCGCCGCACCAACCGAATATTCGCATGAGGTCCGCGAACTGACCATGCAAATCGGAGACCACGCGGCACGGCGCTGCAAAATGGTCATACCATGCACGCCAGGTTAATCCTAAGATTGCCTGCTGTGCAATGGTTCTATTGTCCGTCCTCACCGGGAACGTGGAGCAAGGTGCGGTCGGCCTCCATTAGGTCCCTGGCTTCCAAAATAAGCTCTTGGACTTCTTCCATCGTGAAGAGGTGTTTGAGCTTGGGTATGCAAGCCTCGTTGTAAGACTGACAGGGTTGAAAAAGCACGTCCAGAACTCGCTGATGTAGCGGCCGAAAGTCAACGCCCACCTGCGAAGATTGTTCTGCACCGGTCGAAAAGCGAGACGCGCAAACGCCCACCTATCGTCCAAAAGTGATGCGCAGGCTTAAACATCTTTCTTTAGCAGTCCTTTGAAGTATAAAAGATGGCAAGATCATCAGCTTGTGCCCAGCAGAGGAGCCTAGCTGAACGTCTTACAGCTTGAGGAGCAGCCGTGCAGCCCCGCTTCACATGTGCCTCATGAACAGGCACATTCCTGAAAACCTTGGTATGTTGGTCAACGGACTTAACGAGGGGTGAAAATCGAGCACCTGTGTGTGGGGCCGACGGTTCAGATGGTTTGATGCGTCAAATGTCTCCCACGCAAGGTTACCTGCGGAAGCAGCCAGCAAGCGCGTCTTCGCTGGTGTGAACATCTTGTCTCTCTAGAATGTTTCTGCCAAGGGAATTCAGCTACCTGGCTTGTGTGTACTGAAAATTTGTGAAGTCTCGATGGTAACACGTCAAGGCGTCCAGAGGTCGAGAACTTAGATCCAGGTCATAACTATCCCAAGCAAGAGTTGGGGCTTACTATTTTATGGGTACAATCAGCTGGTTCATGTGATACGACATGTACAAAACGCGCTCCGAGACTCCTCCTTGCGAGACATCATCCGCAACAGTTATTTCCCCCTCGCAGTTCATGTAAATCCTTTGTTGTGGCTTAAACCTTCAAAGGGGCTTTGCTTTCTCGCACACATCCAGAACGTGCATTTTCGGAAAAAAAATGGCCTAACAACTCTTCAACCTTGCTCTTGCAACCTGTTACAAAGAGATGGTCGAACCGAATGATTTTAAACGTAGGCCCCCCTGCGGGAGAGGCTCTGAGCTCTATTGATCCATCGACAGCCCGCACAGGAGGATGCCACAAGTTTGGAAAATGCAGATCCCCGTAGATAAAAATCCGTTATAAGAGGTCCATCGTATTAACTAGCCAAGGGTTTTTTCGGACAGCGTCTTGAGACAGCTCTGTTGTTTGGCTAATTGAAAGGACGATTTGGATCCAAAGGCTGTAATCAAGACGTATTTTTTGGGGCTTCTCTGATTTTCGCAGGGCTCCTTATACGCGGTTTGTGTGTAGTGGCAACGGGGCCAGCATCGGAACATGTCTGGTTGCTTCATAGGTAAGTACCATTTTCTGTTACAGATAATGAGAGACTGGAAGGGCCGAAGAAGCCGGGCCTCATCAACGGAGAAAGAGACTAGCAACTCAACTAACGCTGGCTGCGCCTACAACGGGCGAGCGGCCGGGCGCGCGCTGAACAACAAAAACAAGATAAGCTAATCAGCTCAATGCGCCCAATAAATCACGGCCCTAAGGACACGAGCCGTTGCGAAACAGTTACTCTAACAGTAACGCATTGGGCCTTACGCCCAGCCAAAGGTCGGCAAATCGGTTTCTACGGTTGTGGGAGGGCATAATTTCGGTCAGTAAACCTAACAGTCAAACACAAAGTTTAAGTCCAGCGCGTGGCCCTACCGGCCACAGTAGAGGCTGCAAGTCACGTTTTTTGGTCAAACTTTGCAGAAGCCGAATTTCGGCTGCGGGTACTGTGGTACGGACCCGCAGGATGTGCCGACCTCTGCGCCCAACTAACCCAGCTTTACTCAACGCAAGCTCGCATTAGTTGTTGCTTCATCGGTAAATGCCAAAGGAGAAGATACCCCCTCAGCGGTTGAAAAACTGAGAACCAAACGGCGCAACGCGACGGGCCGCAAGAGGGCCAAAGAACGCAACAGCTGCCGGACAAGCGCGCACACCAAAGCCTAAATAGTGCTCTCGAAGGGCTGCCGAGTTGGCAGACCAACCGCCAACCGCTTCAACGACCTCAAACGGCAACCCCACTGCTCGAGCTGCGGAAGCATCGACGTAGGCTATAGAGTGCACCGCGCGCACATGTGACAAAACCACACTCAGGAAGGACTAGGTCAAACCAACGCTCAGCACCGCGGGTAGACTGACCCGCCGGCCACAGCCGCGACGGGTCACGCCATAGACGCTGACGGACGGCCCTCTGCAGGAAAGGGAGACGGGCGAGTGAAAACTGCAATACAGTGCTCGTTCCGGAGCGACCAGATAGCCCTTCCAATTGAGGGGCTTGTACTGAAACACTGGCTCCCCTCTAACGACAGCAACACGCGCCCAGGTTACCGACAGCAGAGAATGCGCGCGAAGAAAGAGACAGAAACGCAACACGACGAACAAGGCAAGGCAAGGCAAGGCCAACTCGGAGCTAACGGGCACCACGGCCAACTGCTCATTCAGACGCCAAGCATCACCTGCACTAAAGGCCAACACGAGAGCGGATGAAGGTGCTATTGAGCCTTCCAAACGCTTGCAACCTCTAAGAAACGCCGCCAGCAGGGTGTTGTACCTGGCACAGGGCTTGGGATACCCGAGCAAGTCAGGCACGGAGTTAATAGCACTGAATTAAGGCTGCGCCGTGCGGGCTTGGATAGAGCCCTTGGCGGCTAGAAACGGAACCCACAAGAGCCCGGCATAATGGGAGGCCGGGAGAAACTCCAGGCCCTCCACACAGAAACATGCAAAGCAGCGAAATGCGACGCAAAAGACTGCCAGATCCTGGCACCAACACGGGACATAACAACCTGCGCAATCTACAAGAGTGATCCTGACCAGGATCCGCGAGCTGCAGCTGCGACACCAACAAGCTAGTAATGACCGGAGGTGCCGCAACTGACTTCCAACGAGTAACGGGAAAACGCCACACTGTCCGAACGAGTGTCCCGCGATTGCGCCCACGCTAAGATGTACCCGCACTGCCACGACCTGCCAAGAAGGGGGAAGTAAGTGGTCGACCCGCCCCCGCCCGGCGCAAACAGCTCCGTATTCGAAGGCAGGAACACCAGGTCGACCACCAACTCCATCAACTGCTGCCACCAAGGTTGAGCCGCCCAGTACGGCACGACTAGTGTGAGGCACGCTCGTTCCTTGTGCACTTTCTGCACCACAGCGGGCAAAAAGTCGGGGTCCAAGTGGGCAGCCAAAGGCATTAAGCCCACCCCACGATTGAGAAAACGCATTGACCCCCGACGAGCCCGGGCAGTGGTGGCATGAAAACCGGGAGGTGCGTGTTAATATGCGTGGGAAATAAGCCGACATGGTGCGGACCGAAACGGCGCTCCAAAAGGCGGAAATAACAGTGATGCAAACGGTAATCATCACTATCGACCCAACGCGAGGCTTCACCTGCTTCGATGTCGGCACTAGCAGCACGCTTGACTTGCAAAACAATACTATGTTGCTGCATGAATTCCCATAACAACTTTAATTCGGCATGCAGGGCTGCCGAGAGAACATGTTGTCCTCCCTGATCAAAACAACACGCTGCTGAACAAACGGAAGAAAGGACTCTAATGCATGACGGACAGCGCGCAATTCCTTCCATTTGGTGTGCGCGGCAAGCTCGGAAAACGACCAATAACCGCGCGCCACACGGCCATGCAGAACCGCGCCCCACGCATGGCAAGACATGTCCAGCCGCCGTGGGGGCCTGGTAAATAGCTGCCGAGCAGTGGCGGGTAGGGATGTCCGCCCACCAGTCTAGGACACGCAACGACCCACGGGACAAGCACACTCGACCGGTCCATGTAACCGGCTACTTGATATCATCATAGAATTGCGGTAGCCGGAGTAAGGTATAGCTTGACGCTCTGCACGAAACCACAAAGCTTAGCAAGCTCCCGCTTCTGCACCAGACGCCGATTTTCCTTCACCGTAATCCGCAACCCGATCGCCGGAGGGCCCTTCGTGGCATGCCTAAAGGACGGAGCGGTGCAGCTTCAGATATCGTTCATGCGACAAATTGTGGGAGCTGCCAGACCAACACATCGCCTGAATTGTCGCAGCTACCCCTACACTACCCCGTTTTCAAACAGATCGTGAGGTTTTGGAACCGTGTCCGTTTACAGCGTGGGTCTGTGGCACACCAAGTTTTGCGACAGGAGGTCGCAGAGTCCCTCTTCAACCCCGAAGGGGCCGGATGGGGGGCACTAATCCTCCGTTTTCTAGGTTTTCTGGGGCTCAATGTACGGAAAGAGGCCCCCGCAAGGGCCACACGAAGTAGACGAACAAGTGGAATGGCTGATGAACAGGCAGAAGGTGTGGTATTTGAGTTCAAGGACCGATTGGTGAGTGGTTGGAAGCATACACGTCTAGATGTCCAGCCAGACATGTACCTGTCAGACGGCAAGCAACCAGGAATCCACATGGCGAAGTATAAGCATTGGATGGGTCTGGGGGCCGAGCAAGCGGACAGGAAGGAGGTGCTCCCGCATATCACAACGTTTATCCCGCGTTCAGCGAATTGCAAGCTTATGCAGTTTAGGCTTTGCTGTTTGGCATTGGCGGCTAACAGAGCGTGTAAGGGACGGTGTTACCTACCTAGGGAGGAGTGAGTATGCCCCTGTGCTGCGGCACTGATAGTCATATCGAGGATGAGAAGCAATTTTTGCTGGACTGTCCAGTGTACGACAAAATCAGATCTGATATGGATTTCCCACGCTTCGAGCATATGAAGGATGCTATGAAGTGAAGTGGGAACCTGAACGCCTGGCAAGGATGCTGGAACATATATGGTCCCACCGCAACTTTATCGTTCCCTTTGGTCGTTAATATCCTTTACCACTTGCTTTGCCTGAAATGCGAGGTAGGATGGTGCTTACAGGCGATCTGGCAGCCCTTGAGCCCCCGGCTCATATTAGGGCGGTTTCAGGTACGGGGAACACACCCACGACCATGTAACAAACACACATCGGCTGCCAATTTGATAGTAATGCCAAAATGGTAGACTGGCTGAGATGGCTCCCACTAGCACTTAGTCAGGTGACACGACGAACCCAAAAACTCAATGCTCAACCTACAAGTCAACAATACCCACCCACCGCCCCGGATCCGATGGCGTTCTTCCTGCAAATGCAACAGCAGGTTACTTCCTTAATGGCGCAGCTGAACCAAGCTGCGCTTTAAGGTGTGTACCAACACGGCTCGGGGAAGATACCATGTTGACTTAAACCTATGCGAAACCCGAGAATGCAGCGTTCGCCCGCCGATTCACGAAGTCAGTTGCGGAGGTTATGGACGCGGAACACATGACTTTGGCGCCCTGCCGAATAGCGGGAATCAAAGCAAGCGCAGCGCACTCACTCGGATCATGCCAGTTCGCTCCTTACGAGTTCGGCATTATCGGGACGACGTTGGCCATTTCGGAGTTGGTTTGTGTAGGAATGGAAGCGTTGTCGAAGGCGTTGCTATACGGTGGCATGCAAGATGCATGGTTGGGCGCGCGCTGAACAACAAAACCATGATAAGCTAATCAGCTTAATGCGCGCAATAAATGACGGCCCTGAGGACATGAGCCGTTGCAAAACAGTTAGTCTAACAGTTACTCATTGGGCCTTACGCTAAACTAACCCAGCTTTCTTCACGCAAGCTCGCATTATTACCTCATATTCGTAGCTGTAGCACACCAACTGCTTTATATACATATCGCTGCCAGTGGTTGGTAAATCCACCGCGTATCTTATCGCCAAGGCTGTCTTTACGCAGCTCTTGACAATATGATCATGGGTTAAGTCTTACAAGAGTTAGCGATGAGTGGAGACGTCGTGCCGACCTATTTCCCAGTGCTCGACCCAGTCTCAAATTATGAAAAGTTGCATCGGATAGGCGAAGGCACCTACGGAGTAGTCTGTAAGTGCAACAAGCCTGCTCGATGTGGCTGCTTGCTTTGGGGCGCCGTTGCGCTGCAAATTGCCGGGCCAGCCCGGAACCCTGGGGTGTGCGCAGGAATGGGACAGCTCCGATAGGTGTGATTGTAAGGCCGCTGCTTGCTACTTCACTTCGGGGAGCAGTAGCTGCAGTCCGCAGATATGCTGTGTGTCTTCCAGCAAACAAATACTTGCTCACTTGCTCCGGCTTTGGGCCGCACCTTTCCCTCTGTGCGCCCTCCCTGCTGCGCTTGCACGCACCCGTCCATCCGCGTCGCCACCAACTCGTATCCGCTGGGGCCTGCGGCCGTGGTCGCCATGCCGTCTCACCTCGTCGAAACGGCACGGCGTTTCGCCACGTCAAATTTACTGGATGCAACCTGGGATGGCGGCGGCGCTGGCTGGGTGGCTTTCCTCTCTCAAAATCTTTACTTTCCCGACACCGTCATGGCGGCTACCGCTGCCGCCTGGCTCCTCAACCGTCCGATATGTGAACCCACTTCTTGATAACTTGAATTTTGTGGACTGCATGTACATGTACTGCAACAACATGCGGCTTTCTCTGCATCGTGCGACGTAACCTGCGGTTGGGCCACTTTCCCTCGTACCGTTGGCCGCACATTTGCGACGGGTCATCGCCGGTTCCGTGTGCTTCACGGTCTTGGCACTCGAACACGTTGCTGCCCCGGCACATGTCCGATATCATCGTATCATGCCCAAATTCCACTTGGCCACCGGGCCCAATTACGTTGGCCCCACCAATTATCCTCCGTTGCACTGGCACTACTTCCTTGTCATGGGCAACGAATTGCCGCTCTCGCTACTGCGGATGACTGGCCGTGTGGCTTGTGTGTTCGGTCTCTCAATGGCCCGACCACGTTCCGACACCGACAACCCACATCGTGATTTGCTTGCCGGAATGCCACATCCCACACATGGGACATGGGACCGCCGGCTCATGCTTGCTACCCACATTACCTTCCCTTCGGGCCGTTCCTCGCCTGCTACCTGCCGTCAACCATTGGCACTGGACCATACTCCGTTCTTCCCTTCCCCTTTGTCCTCCTTCAACTTCTTACGCGTCTTGCTGTTCTCTGTCCCACACCTCCATCCACTTCCACCATCACCTCCGGCCTGCTGCATTACATCGCCCGGTCCTAATACTGACCGACCCATACTGACCCGTGGATGGCGACCCTTTGAACCACGGGTGTCATTCGCGCGTGCACCTGCACCCTGAATGTTGAACAACTGGGCCATCATTGAACTCCGGCCGGCCGGTTGGCTCGCTCGCTCGCGCACTCGCTGACGGACCCGCCCATACACGGAGAGCAGATAAGGCTCGCGACCGCACCACGGGCGAGCTGGTTGCGCTGAAGCGGGTGCGCTTCGACCGCTCCCGCGACGGCTTCCCCGTCACGTCCATTCGGGAGCTCCGTGTGCTGCAGACGTGTCGCCATACCAACGTCGTGGCGCTCAAGAAGGTGGTCACCGGCTCCCAGGCGGACAGGTGGGACATTGAGCTCCCTGGGGGCAGCAAGGAAAACCCAAACTAGGGATCGACAGCTTATGCTCGCGAACGGATATAGGGGGGATCTGGATGTTGGGGGCTGGGATCTGTCACATGCAGGGCTGCTGGGGCTCTAGACTGCTTAGATGGCTGTGGATGGCGTGTGCGCGGTTTGCAGCTTGGCTTGCCGTGTGCTGCTGGCTGGTGACTCTATGAAAGAGCGGCCGCCAGTGGATATGGTAGGCACTTCCTTGGCCTGATGGCTGTGTGGCCCCGTCCCTGCGCAACACACACACGCCATGTCAAAACACCAAACCTCTACCCCCACTGCAGCGTGTTCCTGGTGTTCGAGTACTGTGATCACGACCTAGGGCGACTCCTGGACTCGATGTCGGGTAGCTCGGGGCGCCGCAGCTTCAGCATGTCGGAGGTTAAGTGCCTGATTAGACAGGTAGGTACGGCCAACCCCGTTGTGCGAACTGTTGTGCAGAGCACACATACACGCACTTGCGCGATCGATGAAGCAGTGGCGGTGCGGTGGGCTGTGTCTGCCGCTTCGGCGCTGCTGCTACACCACCAGCTGGGTCCGTTGCGGAAACAGGAACCAAGTGCCGCCTCCCAACCCACCTGACATAACCAGCCCCATAGTCCCGCGTGCTTCCACTTGACTATCCGCCGCATCCACCGTACCTGGACCCATGTCCCCCTTGTGCTTGTCGCCCAGCTGCTGGAGGCCGTATCGTTCCTCCACGACCACTGGGTGGTGCACCGGGACATCAAGCTCTCCAATCTACTGTACACACACACCGGGCACCTGAAGCTCTGCGACTTTGGACTGGCCAGGTAGGACTCAAACAGGGGGCTTGGGATGAGAGTTGGATAAGAATCCACCTCGGCCACCTCTCCTATGAGGGGGACAATACCTTGTAGGGCGTGTCGGGTTTTACCCGGTGTAGCACGCGACTGCGAGTTATAACCTCCTGCGGCTCCTGGCCGCCCCAGCAGCCATGGGTGCTTGCACTTCCCGGCTTTTTCCCCTCCCACGCCCTCCCCCCCGGCCTTCCCTACCTGCCAGGTCCTTCGCGCCCTTCGTGACGCCCATGACGCCCAATGTGGTGACCTTGTGGTATCGGGCGCCCGAGGTCCTCCTGGGGAGCGAGGAGTACGACGAGAGCATCGAGTGAGTGCGAGCAAGCTCGTGGGTGGTGGGTGGAGCTTCTCTGCGTTTTTGTGGGTATGAAAGCTAGGGAGGAGCTTTGGACAAGATCGGAGGGGCTGCTTGGAGGTGCCGTCCTCCGTAATGCCGCTGTTGTTCTGGCCAAGTGTGTGTTGTCGCCTAGCACCTGCACCGCATGTTGCGGCCGGAGCACTGAGGATGCCCACTTGCCCACAGCGACGGTGAGTAACATTAAGTAACAATTAAGTATGAACTCTCGTCGCAACGGATGTCGTTTTCGCCCCTGACAGCTCATATCATGCGCCCTGTGACACCCACGTTGGGATAATGCTTGCCGGTGCTGCTCCTGCGTCTACTGCCACGGCGACTGGTGATACGGCGGCGGCTATTCCTGCTGCGACTGCTACTGCCGCGATTGCTACTGCTACCGCTTGGCAGCATGTGGAGCTGTGGTGCGGTCCTAGCTGAGCTGGTATCCGGCGAGCCCCTTTTTCCCGCTACGTCCGAGGGTGAATGTCTCAACATGATGGCCAACCTGCTGGGGCCGCCCAGCGAGAGGATATGGCCGGTGAGTAACAGCAGGCGGGGCGGGGCGGGGCGAATGGCGGCTGACGACTGAGACGTCGAGGAGCGAAGCTGAGGCGTTGAGGGAGCTGTCAGTGTGGGAGGAGTGTTATATAACACTCTGTATCTGAGCTCACGTGGTCCTAGGCGCCATGCTGCTGCAGCTGAGGATGTGATTGATGCGAGGAAGTTGAGACCCCTGGTTGGTTGGCTGATGGGGTAAAACGTTTACGACTTTACAACGCTGGAGCCTGGGCTGGAGGGGAGCCGAAGCCGGGGGGATGCTGTTGGGCGGTGTGGGGCAAGGCAGTGTGCATGCAGGGGCCAATGGCGCGAAGCCACACTTACAGGGGCTGACGGGCACTGTTGTTGATTGATGTTCATGCCTTGCACCTGAGCGATGCCGGCGCCCACGCTGCCGGCCCATCGTCATCAGCGGCTTCCGTTTCCTAAACTTCCAACTATTGCGGGTACACCCGGGTTGTGTCGGTCCTATCGGTCCGCGGATAGGGCATGTCCAAGCTACCCAACGCCGGCAAGTTTGTGTTTCCCGATCAGCCGTACAACTTCCTGCGCCGCCAACTGCCTCAGCTCAGCGATCAGGGCCTGCACCTGCTGAACTCCATGCTGACGTATGACCCGGACCGCCGCATCACTGCTCGTCAGGCACTGCGACATGAGTTCTTCCGGGTAAGGAAGCGGCCCGACCAGAGCGACCCTGGCCATAGTTGGCTTGATAGCTGCCCTTGATTGCTCCGCGATGCACATCGGCCGTCGACACACGAATTGCTATTGAAAAAGACCCTGATACGACTGAAGGCTTTATTAATGTCAACAACTCCTGGGTTGGCTTCGCTTGTTCTCTGGAACCTCTCTTGGGCTGCTTCCGCCTCAAAATCGAACACTCATTTGTATGCCATTCCACGTGGGCTATGCCATGTGCTCCTCCGTATTCATTTCCTGTATACACTCTCTTTCCATTGTCGCCGCAGGAGAAGCCCTACCCCAAGCAGCCCGCGGACATGCCCACCTTCCCCTCCTCACATGAGGTTCCACGAACAGGAGCGGCACCGCACAACCGTCACCATTACCACCACCATCACCATCATGGCGGCGGTGCTGGCGGTGGGGCCGGCTCCAAGCGTACACGGTCCGAAGCAGCCGGGGGACTGCTGGACACGAAGCGACATGCTCGTGGGGTTGGCGGCGGGGGGGATTTGGACGAGCGATTCGGGGCAGCTTTCGGCGGCGGTGGCGGTGGAGGGAGCCTGCTGGACGGTGGCGGGGTGCAGCTAGTACGGCAGCGCTGACCCCGGCGAGTGCGTGGTGTGGCGTTGGTATCGGCGGCCTTGTGTGTGTATGTATGTGTGTATTGTTTGTAGCGTCGGTGCAGTAGCGTGCGGAAGTGCATCAGTGATACGGATATAGAAAAGCGAGGTCATAAGCAGCGTCAGCTTTGGCGACGGTGAAGCGGATGGAGTGAGGATGAAGCGGTGTACTTGAGGAGTGAGGTTACTGCGGGACGTGGGATGGCAGCCGGCGGGGGGTTCCTCCCCGAATGCACCACGAAGCAGCGCGGCGTCGGTATTGTGTCTGATATGCAGATGGCATTTTTACTGTACATGAGCAGAGCACAGCCTTTACATACATTCTAGAAGTGTATTGGATCGAATAAGCCAGGTATTGGCTCTGGGGGTAGTGGTAGTGGCTCTACCTCTGCGAATCATTTTTACCCAACGAATGGAGGACAGGCAAGATCTGCAGCAGCCTAAGCGCAGCAGGGCGACGTGTGTGGCGGATGCCCTATGTCGTGGACTTCAAGCTCACTGCTCATCCATCCACGGCTCATCCGTCCATGTGCTTTCTTGCTTACTGCAGCCATTGTAGGGGATCTTTTAGGCGATTCCCCGGCTTTACAATAAAGCATATATCGGTGGAGTTTTCGGACCTGATGCAACAGGATTCATTCAACAAGTCGCGTCCATGCTGTTAAGCAAGGTTTCTTGATAGATGGTATACACAAGGGTACGGAAGTCATTGTTGGGGCCCTATTCCGGGCGTTGGCACTGTTAAATCGGAGCGAAAGTGCACATCATTGTCAAGTGGAGAAGCCCATATGCGAGGGAGCTGAAGCCCTTACAAACATGCCTCAAAATTTATGACATAACCTCGCGGTCCGAGATCGAAGGGTACGGTAAGGGCCCTGTAGCGCCGGCCGGCTGCATCCAAACGGCCTACCAGTAGTCGCCCTAGTAGACTAACACGGCGCAATGCTAGGTCGGCTGAGGCAAAGCAATAACGATCAGCTGTAAGCAATCCAGGCACCACAGCCCTTCTCCATCCGCAATACAGAGCAATAGCATTTGGCGGGCCAACAGGCAAGGAGGGTAAACCCCACTGAAGCTTCACAACGATGGCCGCACCTGACCCCATAACAACTCCCCCTCCACTCTAGCTCCCCACCCCGGGCTCCTCGGGCTGTTGACCCCCTGGCACAGCCTTTGTCGCCTTCTCCTCATCGCCTGCCCTCTCCTGCTGCTCGCCCGGACGCGCCGCTAAAAAGGTGTAAGTGCTCCCAACCGACATGGGCTGGAATCGATCAGATAAGGCGGCTGCCAGGGCAATCTGTGCGGCCGCATGCACGGAACCGTGCGGCTTACCAAGGAAATAGAAACCAAACACAATGGATGGGAATCATATGCAACATGCAGTTCACTTGTAAAGGCGAAAGTATAAGGCATCGCAGTGGGAACTTTAAGAGCAATTTGGCCATTTCGACCCACCATCGCGGGACAGACTCTGCTTCCTGTGCCTCCTAGGGTAGGGTGATTCCCGATGTTCGTTGAAAAACTCATAGCGCTGAGCCGTCCACGATCCTTACATCTCTTTCGCCTTTTACTAAAGAGATCAGCGAGTACGGCTCACGAAAGGCGCATATCTAAATATTTGCAGGCCTGTTGGCCGCCTCCAATTAAGTCACAACATAAATTTAAATATACACATCGGAAACCAAAGACAATCGCTATAATGGCAACACCTGCTTCATTCTAATTCTACAATTGGATAATCATGCAATAGAAACCCACTCCCAAGCTTGTAGTCGAATGAAGTCTCTGCCAAGGAAAACCGAAACCCATGCCGCGATAGTACCGCAACGCCTGCCCCACGCCCCATGCTCTATACGCCGCTTCTCCCCAACCAGCCTTCACCCGCCCACCATACCTTGGCTCTCCAGCCCGTGCAGTGCCCTCCAAACACGCGTGCGGGGTTCAGCTCCCGCAGCGCCGCCACAGTCTCTGGAATACGCCCCTCCATCTTCCCGCCGGCCAGATGCAGTCCTGAGTACACGACATGGCAGGGCGTCACGTCACGTCATGCATGTATATGACCCGGGTGCCCTTCAGTATAACGAAGCAGCAGCACGGACTACAAATAGCAGTTACCTAAAATTCTGTCTGGCGCTTCTCCCTCCCGCTCTTCCAAAAGATGGTATCTTTCAATAAGCTGCAGTATCTCTAGCTGCTGTTGCGGCCCGCAGTACCCTAAGTCATACTTTTTGCTCGTATGCGGTTGAAGAGCAGCATGTGTGTGCGCGTGCTCACCCCCACCGCGCCGCTTAGATTGGATTGGATCCAATCCTGCATCTCCTTCGAAAGGAGGTGCCAACAGTATTATTTTCCTATTGCATCCTTAATCCTGCCGATAGACCGGAAGATAGACCGGCCGTACCCCGTCCCAGGCCCCCGGACCCCACCCGAGGTTGCCCCACCCCTCACCGCCCATCACCCCGAAGACTGGCTCCCCCGACAACCCCTTGACGTGTCGTACGACGTTGACGATGCCGGCGTGGGAGCAGCCGCTCAATACCACCACCCCGCGGCCTGAGGCAACCGGGGAGGAGAGCGGATGGAGAGGAAATTACTGCGTCGCGGGCTTCAACTAGCTGTGTAAGCAAAGCCGAGCTCGTAGCTTCTGCAGAGCAGCAGCCTTGGGGTGCCCCGGCCGACTACAACAATGGCGTCTTCATCATTCATCGCTGAGTGGTGCCCGCATTGTAGCGACTCGACCCATGTACCCCCCGGCGTAACCCCCTTTGCTGCAGTGCGAGAGAGCGGCCGTACCTCGCCTGGCTCTCCTTCCCCAAGCCCCATCCTCGGCACTGGGGCGCCACGGGACATCTCTCACCAGTCCGCAAGCTTCTGAGCTTACAAGAGCTCTCCATCTGCGGCTCAGCTGAAAATCCTGAGACCCTGAACCCCTTCCCTCACCTCTCACCCGCACCGCCAGGTACCGCTCCTCCATGATGTGCGGGTCGAGCTGCCAGTTGCCGTCAGGCTGAAGGGAGCCAGAACCAGCAGTAGCAGCAGCGGAGGCAGCAGTGACAGGGAGGCGGCGCAGCGGGTCTTAGATCTGGTAGCCAGACTTGTCCAGGGCCGCACCCGGTTGGGATTCTAGATATTACTGAATTGCGGAGTTGAAAAAAACCCACACCAAACACATATGCAAATTGCCACTGGACCCCAAAGACACAAGACACACACACACACACCCGCGTGCGCACTCCGCACTCTTCTCCCCCCCACACGTAGTATTCAATGCACACACACACACACACACACACACACACACGCACACGTCTGGCTGTCTCGCTACCGGTACATATACATACGTACATACATACAAGCATACACACGTGTGTATGTACGCGTGTGTTTTCCCCAGCTTCCTACCCCCAGTGTGCCATGTCCCGGCTGCCCTGTCTCGAAGCTGCTGACGCGGGGAATGGAGCCCGACACGAAGAAGCAGTTCCTTAGCAGCGTGTGGGGTCCGGCATGGAGCTCAACACGGCAGCCGGGGAGAGACAGCTGCTCCAGGGTGGGGTCCTGGGGGGCCGAACAAACGAAGAGAAGGAACCGCAGAAAGCGCCAAGCAAGGGAGCAAGCGAGGGCAGGAAAGGAAAGGATGAGAGTGGTTGGTGGGGGGAAATGGATCAGGGAACTGGGGCCCGGGGTGTACGACGAACCACTGACGATTGAAGCAGTGGTACCAGCAATAGGCGAATAGTCCAGGAGAAGAGAAATACGGGGAGGGGAGGTGGCTATTGGGTTAATGGCGTGCTGGCGTGAGGAGCACTTTACGGCATTTCAACGTACCAATGGCCAAAGCTTGTTTCCATCCAAAGATTCTTCATTGGCGCATGCGTATGCCGGCAATCCATCTGCTCACGAATGCCCACTGATGTCTCCGAATCGTCCCCAACTCCCGATGAAGCTCGCTCGGCGGGAAACTGCACCCCAGCGAAGACATATCTATGGCCTCCTCCCCTCCCTATCGTTCGTGTGCCGTCTCCCCTCACCACACCCTCTCCCCTCACCACACCCTCTCCCCTCACCACACCCTCTCCCCTCACCACACCCTCTCCCCTCACCACACCCTCTCCCCTCACCACACCCTCTCGTCAAACGGCACGGGCTTATGCGAGGCGCCCAGCAACAGCCCCCGCAGCAACGGTCGAGAGGGGTGCAAGTCGAACACAAACGGCTCCTGCACCGGTGGTGGTGGACCAGGCTGTAGACCCGCCTCCGAATCCCCATCCTCCTGCTGCTGCTGCTGCTGCTGCAGCTGCTGGGGCAGTTGCGACGGCGGCCGAGGTGCAAGCTCTCCTTCCGGACATGTCTTGTCGGAGTCCTCTGCTTGCGGGAGATGCCCCGGCAAAATGGTACTTGAGGGCTCCGTCTTCTCGTCCTCCCTAAGGGCGCTCCAGGTTCCGGAGCGGGCCTCGGAGGCGGCCCTCGCCACTGCCAACAGCCCCACGCTGTGGTCCACGTGCCTGGTGGCAGTTGTTGGAGTTAGTTGCGGTGGTTGACCCGTCATCCGTGGGTCAAATCCACAATGCAGAGGAGAAAAAGAGCGCAGGTATGGCAGTAGTTGCGATGTTCGTGCATCGGAGATGAGCTTCCTCCCGGGCCTGCACATCTCCTTTTCAGCACATTTGGTATGGAACGCTGCGGACCGCTGCGAAGTGGGGCCCTGTAACTAGCTGGGGTCAACTTAATTTCCCAACGTACGCCGCGGCCTACTTCTCCCATGCGTCCCTTGACTGCGTCCACACCGCCCGCCGCCCGCCGCCCCGCTCCATCCCAGCCCCCCACCAATGACTGAGTACCGCCGCCTCCACCTCCCCCATGTCCAGCCCCAGCCGCTCCGCATTGCGAGTCCACAGGTCCTCCCGGGGGCCCCCGTCGAACAGCAGTCGGGACACGGCGCCGTCGGCGGTGCTGGCGGAGACCAGCAGGGACAGGCCGTGACCGGCCTGCAGCGAGTGTCTGAAGTCCAGGGAGGGCCACCTGCCGCCGGTGACTTGCTGCGGGTGAGGAAGGTGGGGTTAAGGGTGGTTGTCCGTGCGTTCGCACCTATGCACATGCGTATGCAAATGTGTCTGTTTGCATGCGTACATGTATCAGTTTGTTTGCGAGGTGATGCGGGTGGAAGCTTCATCATGGGTTAGGCAAAATGCCGCCATGCTCTCCACCCTCTTGCTCTGAGCCTAACCGCCCCCTTGCTTTTGCCGTGGCGGCGGCGGCGGCAGCGCTCCCCCTCTCCTGTCACAGCAAGCCGCACGTAGCACCCGCACTACGCGAGCCTAGCTGCATATATACGGACAAGGCAAAACAAAGGCGACCCCCTAATAAACAAAAACAGGTTTCGGTGCGGCTCCAAGGCCCTCACACACACGAGAACACTTCCGCGGTGGAAATTTCCCGGAAGGTAGGATGAGGTAGGAAAGCCCCGGCATCGAAACTCGCTAGGAACGGTGAGTTCGCTTCGGAGTCCTCATCCAGTGGTCGCTCACGTGGACGGCCCAAGTGAATTCGGACTGGTAGGGTGTGCTTGTGGAGGGGTCCAGGGAGGGATCACAGCAGGCGCAGGGAGATGACAGGCCGTCGGTTTCGTTGTCAACTATCACCGTCACAGTCAGCCGCTCCACAGCCCGCAGCTGCGACCAGACCGCTTGTGCATCGGCAAATTCGATGGCGTCCGTCTCCAACATTTGTGCTGAGCGACTGCGCCTAGACGTGCAAGTTCGTGTCAAATTTCATGGGTATGATTTGTGTTAGGTTTTGCAGCAGGCATGGTACTTTTTATGGTTCCGATGCTGCAAGGTACCATTACAAGTGGTTCCGGTTCCGCTGTTTACAAAGTTCGCAGGCTGCTTTGGACCTCCGAAATGTGCGTGATTATACCAGAGGAGAGTAGTACAGGCATCCTCCTTCGTATCTACCTAAATTGGATTCCCGTTGAATAACAAATTCCTATTGTCATTCCATACAGCTCCTTATAACAATCCCGCAAGTTTTCATCATAGATGGCATTGGAACCAATAGCATAAATCTGATTTTTGGGGATGGTGCAAACGTCCTACGGTGGACAGCCAGAGTATTCCAACCTGTTCCAATGGCCCGCGGGTCAACATTACAGTAAATAGCGGCCACGAGCTTGAATGCTGAACATATTTTTGGGTACAATCGTTAAACCACATTTAATCTATCAGGCCTGTATTTGCGCACAGCCGTTTTACTCTGTATGCCTATGTGCAGCACCCCTGCAATGCCGCCTTCCCTAAGCAAACAAAAGGCAAATCAACGCATCCATCCATACATTTTATAGAGAACTCCGATCAGTCCTCTTCGCGCCAGCAAATGTCAGAGGCCCATCCGCCCTCCGCAACTCACCAAAGCTGGACTGGTGCTGTTGCCGTTTACTTGGCAAAGCCCCCCAGGGCAGCTCTGTACCCCGGCCAGGCACCGCCGGGAGCATCGTCATCATCAGCTCAAGCAGCTACTCTCCTCCCCGGCGCTAGTGGCGCCTACGACCCCGAGTTGCCACCTCCGCATGTGGATCCGCAGCCAGCAGCGGCCCCCGAAACAGCCTCCGCAGCAACGGTGCACCCGACGCGGCAGCAGCCCTCTCTGCTGTCTGCCCCCGCCAAGGCTGCCCTCCGCGGCACCTGGCTGCCCAGCCGGGGTAGCGCCACTCTGACGGCGGTGCTGTCCGCGGCGGGACACGGCGAGTTCACTGTCAAGGTGGGAGAGCCACATGCCCGGACACGAGAAGCTGTGCTGCTGTGTCGGACTCCGAAGTACAGAGGGGTATACGACGGCGTCGCTTTATGTGTGTGGTTTTGTGTTCTCATTTTGTGGCAGGTTTGCGGCTTCCGTGATCCGCTGCGGTTCGTCTCTGACTCGTGCATGCATGCATAAATTATGCATTCATTATGCATTCATTATGCACGCAGGTCCAGCTGGAGAGTACGACACTGTGGATGCAGGACCTGTTCAGCGGCGGCGGTGAGGTACGGCTGATAGCGCCGACGATGTCTCCGCCGGCGGGGCAGCAGGAGAAGCAGCAGCAGCAGCAGCAGCCAACCGCAACCGGAGGCCGCGGACCCGTCACTGACGCTACAGCCGCAACTAAGGGCCCTAGGGCAGCCGCGTCACACGAGCTTCATCCATGGCTACTGTTGCTACTGCCGCCGCGGCCACCTCCGTTGGCAAGCGCTAGCGCAGCTGCTGTTATCAGCAAAGCTGTTGTTTCATCGCAGGGGCCCCCGCCGGCGGCGCTGGGTGCTGTGCTGGAGCGCGGCTATAGCGGTGCGGAGGTGGCAGCGTCATCGTGTCCGCCAGCCCTTTGCTTCCGCTTCAACAGTCCGGGGGAAGGCAGGGCGTTTCGCTCGCTGATGGAGGCGGCGGGTCGAGTGAAAGAAGCAGTTGTATCGCGCGCGGAGGAGCGGCGGGCAGATCTGGAGCGGCGGCGTGCGGAGGCCGCAGCGCGGCTACAGCGGCGGCGGGAGCTACAACTACTGGAGCAGCAGCAGCAGCAGCGGGGACGGCTGCAAACGCTATCACGGCAGCAGGAGGCAGCGGCAGCGGCGCAGGTAGGGGTTTGGATTTTCACAGCCTGTCGGTGCTGGCCGTGGAAAAGGTGCCGCAGATGGCCAACGGCATTACTGTGACAGGCTCATGAGGGAAGGGGAGGGGAGGCCCGGAGGGCCAGAGAATGCCCGCGCGTAATGTTTAGTGTTTGGTGGTTAGTGGTTAATGGGTGGTAACTAGAGGGGTACACGTACATCCCCTGGAGGGGAGACTGCATCCACGCACGTGTGGCACTGTTCGCGCGTATTGCTGGTCACGGTGTGCGATTGGGGACGCAGCACATCGCGGCTCGGACTCCGTATCCGACAATTTTATATCCTGTTGGAGGATCCGCTCTGTTTTCAGTGGGGTGTACATGTCCGGCATCACTATGGCCACGTTAGGAGGTCGTCTATCAAGGCTCATCAGGTCATCAGCTCAGCTCACCGCGGACATGTGCGGTCATGTTACGGGGTTAGGTTACGAGGAGCGATTGAATGAGGTGCCCACTTGCTGGTCGGAGCTGCAGGTGGGTGGGCTCTCACGTGGTGAGGTTGGGTGAGGTGAGGTGCAAAAGGTGAGGTGAGGTTCAGACCTCGCCGCCTTCGCGATGGGCTACCTCGCCACCTCCCATCCTGGTTGGTTGGCGACGTGTACCTGCCGGCCGCCCTTGCCTCTGTCTGCCTGGCTGCCCGCCTGCCTGACGGCCTGCTTCGCTCCCCCACGCGACATCAAGGACAACAGCAGCAACAACAGCAGCAACAACAGCAGCAACAACAGCAGCAACAACAACAGCAGCAACAGTAGCAACAACGACAACCAGCAACTAGTAACACAAGCCATTGCCGCTGCCACCGCCACCACTGCGATCGCCATCGCCACCAAAAAACAGCTGTTTCCGGCCCTGGCAACAACAAGCATTACGTTACACTACACCATTGCTGCAGACCGCCGACCCGGGTTCGAGTCCTTCCTCGCCCAGCTGCCCAGCGGGACCCCGCAGTTGCCCGGCGGGTAGCCGCGGGCGCTGCTGCTGGACTGACGACACTATCAGGGCCGCCATAGAGGTGGGCAGGCAGTAGTCGGCAGTAGTCGGCAGTAGATAGGTCAAGGCTATGGCTTTGCGGGAGTAGTAATGCTTGGAGGATTGCGGACTGCTGCCGTGTGGCTGTGGCTAGTGCGCGGGTATGTGGGTGTCGCATTGGTTGCCTGCTGCACGTCCCCGTCATTGAGACTTGCTGGCTGGGTGGCCAGCACCACCTTGCGTGTGCAGCTTGATGATGATGTGGTCCATCCATCTACGCATCTATCCATATCCAAGTAGCTAGGTAGTTCGTTCGTTAGGTAGGTAGGTAGGTAGGTAGGCAGGTAGGTAGGTACACACATCTATCTACCCGTATGCCCCTACCCCACATACCCATCAGGTAGTGTACCATTCCCGGTCCGTGATCTTACATTCCCCGCATATTAAGTATGAATGCGTGGAAGTGTACATACATACATACGTCGCTCATAAAATCGATCATGAGCGCGAGCATTCCATTATCGTACCGCCGCCAGTGACAACAAACGCTGTCCCGGTTCCCGCTCTTTTCGGCTGCTGATCGGTCGCTCTGCGTCACCACGACCGCATCTACCTGCTACCTTGTTATGTGCTGGGAATGCTCTCATGCGCTGTACGTATGAACGTACATTCGTGTACGTTCATCATGTGATGTTTGGTGTATGTGACCCATGGGTCATCACCAACACATGTCTCGCTCAATTGTTAGCGGTACCTCCTGGAGCCCGACTTCCAAGGTAAAGTAGGTGGTGAGGGCAACGGGCACATAGGCTCATGCTAGCGGTTTGCCTGGCCATTGGCCCCTAGCTAGCTGCCCTCCCTCCCTCCATCCATCCCTGGATAGATGCCCGGCAGCAGGAATACCCGCCGGCTGTAAGGAGTGAGGAACCGTTGCTGGTTGTAACCAAAAAACAACGAACTTTGTGTCGGCCACATGAACCGATGAATTTTCAGGACGGCCAACCGGGGCGGCTGTTTGCATGGATTGTTTATTTATTTATTTGTTTGTTTGTTTGGCGCAGCGCTGGTGGAGCGAGTGGAGGCGGTGTGGGACGAGATGGAGGAGCAGGCGGAACGGCAGGTGTTGCAAATGCAGGGGGAGGAGCAGCGGCGGCAGGGAGTGGTCACGGCGGCGGCGGCGGCGGCGGATATTGCGGCGGCGGCGACGGAGGTCCCATCTTCCCACAACACTAGTAATAAGCGTTCAATGGGCCACCTGCATTCATAGCTGCTGTCACCACCCTTTGTAAATTGAGTATTTCTGTCTACCGCTGTCACATCGCGCGTGTATGTGTACATGCATAGCGAGCTAGCGGCGAACGTGCAGCAGATGCATGCGGCCAAGTTCTACACAGCAGCCAGCACTGAAGCCGTCGTACTTGCTGGTCATGTATTATGGACTTAGGGTTTCACATCGATTGAACATATCGCCCCTGCCAGCTAACGATAGGCAGGGGAACCGTGCATATATGTGTGTGTTTGTTACACCTAGATTGTGTTACCCAGAGAGATGTAACGAGCACGTAAGAGCCAGAGGCGGAAGAGCTTGTAGAAGCCACAAGCTAGGTTCAAGTCCTAACGCAAAATATGTGCATGTCCGGACATGCACACAGCAGCGCACGGCGTGCATTAGTGGACAGTGGCGTAGCAAAGCGGTTAGTTCAACTGGGGGCACACGGCTGGATAATTCCCTCTACACCGAAATGGCCCTATATCACTGTTATTCAGACACAGGGGGGTTTGGGGCGGGGCTCCAGCGTGAAGAAATGGGCCCCCTAGGATTGGTCATGTCCGTGTGTCCGTGTGAAATTGCCAAACATAATGTCTCGCCCTGCTTTCCGCATAACCTTGCCTAATCTCTATTACAAGGTATCTTTCTCATAGCTGGCAAACATCGTATGAATACAAATGAGTACAATAAAAACGTTTGACATTCCTGACTGCTCTTGTAATGTGTGTCGGCTTATGGACTGCTCTTGCAAAGTGGGTTGGCTTCCCCGACCGCTCTCCCCCCACAGCGACACAGCCCAGCTGTTTGCGCACATGAGGCTAAGCGATGGGCATGTACGGATGAAAAGGGCCCTCGCCCTTTTTCCGGCTTTCAGGAGGCCGACACAGCCTTGTCGGACCGCACGATCAGGCACGTAGGAAGCGACAGTGGGCAGCGGCCGCAAACACGCACGAACACAACGTTCGACGTGAGCTGAGCTGAAACTCAGACGAAGGAAGGCTGACCTGTACATTCAATGGGCAATTTAGAGACTCACGGCAAGGGATGCATGTGCGTGCAAGGTATGGGGCCGCCTGCAATAATGGCCGAGGCAGGGCAAGTGCGCTGTGCGGCAGGGCGTATATACATCACCTAAACACAATTCATATTCCCATGGAACGTAATGTTGAAGAAGATGACTAAACCCACGAAACCATCTCAAATTTACTTCCCCAGCAATATTGGAAATGCCAAACCAAAACGCTTTACACGGCAATAGTTATCATGCATGCGTCCGAGGAATAAGCTAATCGCTGCCTGTCCGGGAAGGGCAGCGCGGGTAACTAATCGGTAACCAACTACTGTTAGTCTACGTGCGCCTCGGCCCAATTTCTGGGACCTACCTACCTACCTACCTACCTACCTGGCTAACCGTTCCGCTTGGGCGAGGGCGTATCACGCACGGACACACTGAGCAACATCTTTAACAATTACCTATCCTCTTCATTATATCATATGATGAACTTGGTTCGCGATAATCACCACGCCACGGGGCGTGCGTGATGAGTCATCCATCTACATCATTCATTGACTGGACCGAACCTGCTGCGCGAGCTTAAACCGTATCGGTGCTTTATCTAGGAGGCCTCCGTGTGCCTTTCCTAGCAGTACAGGACGTCCGCATGCCCCTTCCACAGGAATGGCCGAGGAAATAAACCTTATAAATGGTCCTCACGTAGTTCGTAATATTCAGCAACACCAAAGGTTGACGGTCTTGCAGATTTAAGTTGATTTACGTCGATTTCCTAATTAATTTTGGCATTGGCCGTGTTGCAGTTCCAGCACGATCAGTGCTGCACACGCCAGCACTAGCTGCTTCGTCTTGTTTGCAACCCTGCCTGCGTACGAACCTAGTCGGTGTCACGGACATGGTGGGAAGTAGAACCACCCTACGGGGCCAACTACAGACCCTGCGACTTGTGATCTTGCTGCTGCCGCTGGCAGCGGCCGCTGACACGAGCCAACGAAAGGGATCCGGCGAGGGATCCGGCGATTGCGGCAAAGTACAAATCCCCATCCGGCCACCGCAACTGCCGTCCGTGGCGCGTGTGCTATTGCGCGCGGGGGGGAAGGCCAAGATATCCATAAGCCCGGCGGACGTCTCGGTAGGTGTGCACGCCCACGTGTGTGTTGTCGTCGTCACATATACATGTATGTATGTATGTTCGCGCAGTAAATGCATGGTGTCAAGCATAGTTAACATTTTCCCGCGTTGGCGGGGTACGGTCAGGCAGGCGGGGTATCGTGCCGGGTTGGGGTTACAAAGAACGGCGAAGTGTATATATAACGCAGGTGTTTATGTAACCCTAAGTCCCCCTACACCGTTGTTACAATGCTGGCAACTGGGTAATGTAGTGACTGGATGTGCAGTGCTGGCCGCTGAAAAGGCCTCTCAGCAAGATGTTGGCAAAGCTCTTTACCGTGTAGTATTTATTGGTTGACAACGTGTGTGGGGTAGTTGACAACACGTGTCGTACTGCACGACGGCTATTATAGCAGGCGTGTAAAGACACAAACAGTCTCCGTATCCCTTATCATCACTCTGTCATGTACGTGCGCACTCCCGCCTGCCTGCTCGCCCCAAACCACATACACCACGTCCAACGTACGCAGATCAAGCTCAGCCAGAGGGACTCCTTGAGGTTCACAACGCCGCGCTACACCTCTCCGGACGGAACCACCAGGGGTCTGCAAGCCCCTGCCCTGATCCTGGACGCTATCTGTAGCAATTTCTCTATTGAGCTGACGAACAAGTAAGTGTGTGTGGGGGAAATAACATTAATAGGTCTCTTTGTAATAGGTCTCTTTTAAACTTTTCATTTTATTGTACTATTAAGTAGTTGTACTACGATTTGAAGGAGTTAGAAGGGTCCCTCTCCTGCCTTCACTCACCATGATACCATTGGTGGTAGGTGGCCACTGAAAAGGCCTCTCAGCAAGATGCTGACAGACCACCTCAGCAGACCGTACTTCCAGACGGTGTGTTGTGCCGTACTACTATACTAAGTATGTACGTGTAGTACACGGCAGCTGCTACTACCGTGAACCCCCAGCCAACACACCTCCTGCCTGCCGCAGCTTGCCCTTCCAGCCGTTCCACACTTGCCCAGCCGGAGGGGACAAAATCGATAACGGTCCCAAGGATTATCAGTGGACCAACCTGCACACTCACGGCCTCAAGGTATTACATATCGCGAATAATTGTGGCTGCGTAAATGATGTAATACGGCATGCATGCATGGGCCTGTATATGTGCAATGTGATGACTGTGCGTGGTTTACTAGCAAAGTATATTACTCATTGCAACGTCTATTATTACTAGAGGCTTTATTTATTTGCTGCCGGGTCGATCACGATGTACTTGCTTTTACAGCTTTACTCGCCTTTGCTTTCTTATCCCCCACCAGTAATGCCGCCCGAGTTGGTTACTCAGTTGGTTACCCAGCTGCTGCCGCTGCCGCTGCTGCTGCTGTTGTAGCCATCCAAGTAGAACATAGGCAATGTTGGTACCGTCTACATACATACACGTAGCGCTACATATCTACGTAGTACGTACTAATTGCTCGATTAACTGCGTGCCTGGCCCGTGGCTATCTTTCACCACCTTCCACATACCCATCACACCCATAATCACCTTTTCCCACATTTTTACACCTTAACCACCAATATCTGCTGTCTAGGTGGACCCCGGTGCTACCAGCATCGACAACATCTGCGAGCCTGGCTTTCCTAACGCCGGCATAGCTGATCGTACCATCACCATCCAGGAATACTACTGCAACGACACCGTGTCGTCTCAGCAGTTTTGCAGGGTGAGGGGTGACAACGTATTTGTCATCGACCGGCCTCGCACCAACGCGACCTTCCTGTACAACATACGGCAGCACCCCGCCGGTGCCACCGTGCGGTACACGTACCCGCTGGAGGCGATTGTGCCTGGGGTGGGCTGGTGAGTAGTGTTCAATAGCACGAGTGATCAATAAAGATAATGATATTATATGAACTTAAAATATGTAGTATATATGTTAACCGCTGTATGTACTGTACAGAGGCAAGGAGGAAGAAGCTGCGGGGCTGGCTGGGCAGTTTTATCGCTGCGCATCCGTCAGATCCTTTTTGGGTTGCTGATTGTAGAGTTCAAATGACGCTCTGTCTGGCAGATGTAGAATAAGACGCACGCACACCGGCTTGTGTTCTTGCGCGGTGTGCGTATGTACCGCCCATGTGTGCGTGTAATGGTTACACCTGGTTTAAATGTTGGCGGGCCCGTACGAGCCGGGGGGTCCCCAAGGGTCAGCTGTTCGAAATAGAAAGACTGTTCGCCGAAAAAGAAGTCAAGCGTACAAGATAAGTATGCCGAACTAACAGCACTAATCTGTTAGTTCGACTGCTATAGTGATTGCTGGACAGCGCCAATCCGCACCTCGGATGTAATTTCCCATCCCATGGCAGACGGAGCAGAATGTGGCATCGGGCTCTCGACCCCACCCTACATTTTCGCCTGTCTGCCTGCCTGCCTGCCTGCCTCAGCCTGTGTGCGGTTGACGAGTACTGAATTGTATTCCTGCTGCCTGAAGGATCATCTGTGCACATACCCAAGCCGTGTAGTGGGCGGCAGTTCAGTTGGAATTTTAACAACAGTAGTTACTCATGATGCCTCGGATGGTCAACTGGATGTTCAACACGATGTGGGAGTTGGCTGAGTGAGGGTCTGCGTGCCATCTACGCAGTTATGCCTCCAATGTGTCTTCGCCTTCCTAATGTATCAGCCACCGGCATGCCTGCGTTTGCCTTACACGTCCAGGTATCATCCGCATCAGCACGGCTCTGTGGCCATTCAGACACCCACATCCGCCGCACCGCTGATCGTACCGGAATCCTCACTTCCAGGCGGGGTGCGTGAGCTGTATGTTGAAAACGGCCGTGGCAATAAAAAAGAGTGCGACCGCCTTGTGAAGGTACGTGCGCGGGTCCATCGGGATTGTGCCCAAGGACCATTCCAATCAATTTGGAAGAAGATAACTTGCCTGAATAATTGCTAGCTATTGTTGGTAGCTGCTATACATGATAACGAGTGCGTGCAGCGGCAGCTGACGATGAACGAGTAATATGTTAAGCATCTAGCTATGCACCCGTCATTAATTGAAACTATTTATATACGCACCATATAAAGAATAAACGCACCAGGTAAGTAAACGCGTGCATATTGAGACACGAATTTGTCAACCTAAACATCTACGCATCGCACAAATCGGTTGTGGGCGCTCCCGGACGGGGTACAGAGGAAATTCGTAACTGGGTCTCCTTAGCTTGGTATTATAAATGTATCCGTCAGCAACCATGCATTTTAAAGCTAAGGATCAATCAACACGGACGTCAGTTTACATTACGTGATGGCTGGCTGGATAGCTGAGTGTCGTAGCTTGCGAGAGCCCGCGCATGGGTAAGCGAGCGAGCGAGCGAGTGCGGAAAGGGCCGGAAGCTCCTTGCTTTGCAAACGATTCCTGGTTGGCCAGGTTTGCGAATGGATGGCATGACGCGATGTCCCAGGCAGGAGGAAGGACGTATGATGCTATGTTGCTAGATAGCTGATGGTTACAGCAAACAATGAAGGCGCGACCGTAATAACCCAAAATATCCTTATCATTACTGATCTGTTGGGGTTCCGGGCGAGGCTCCCCAGCCCGCGTGACTTTTCGCGCACGGCACAAGTTTATCCTTTGGCCTTGTACGTATTGTATCAGTTATAACGGTATCAATAAGTTATTAATTATTCCGTACGCCGTGAAATGGTTGGTGTTGGTGGGTATTGCAGTTCAGCGAAAGCGAGAAAGCAGTCAGTCCTGTTGGAAGAAATGCGTTACCTCCCTCCCTCCCTCCTTACGCAGATCCTGAAGGAGCAGCCAATGGAGAGCAGTACCATTTTGCAGATCAACGGCATCTGGTTTCGGAACACCTCAACAGCGAGCGGTGCCCTCATACCCGATGATGACACCATTCCGTAAGTAATCAAGCTATTACATATGCAAGTGTGCACAATCACCCCCTCTAATCCGCTGTTAGGCTTGCCATTGAACATCTTCTGGGGTATATTGCGTGATGGATATGCGTGAGCAATGCGCCGCGGGCGTCGAACGAAAGAGACTGTGTCGCACTAGATCCCGCCGAGAGAGCATTTGGGGGTTTATAGGTGCTCTCGTGCAATCCTACTTCGTATGCGCTTATTTAGGAAAGTAGCTAGTTAGCCTATATGTTACCCTATCTAGCTAGTAGATAAAACAGTAAACCTCTCGCACATACACACCTAAGATACCTCGCATCGTATGGTCTCGGTGCGCGACCTACACGCCGCCGTCTAAATGGCGGCCATGCTATGAGATAGGGAGGGAGGGTTGTGAAGCGCAGCATGCGTGCATACATACATGCATACATACATCATGCACTTATGAAGCTAATATATCCATGACCTTGCACTATTGCTTCACCTCGCACAGGCGGACTCTGTGTGTGAAGGTAGGAGGGTAGCTCATCCCTTTCACCACGCCTTGCATTGCATTGCATTGCTCGCCGCCCGCCGGCGGCACCCACCCACCCACCCACCCACCTCCTCACGCACCCACCCACCCACCCACCTCCTCACGCACCCACCCACCCACCCACCTCCTCACCCACCCACCCACCTCCTCACCCACCCGCCCACCTCCTCGCCCACCCGCCCACCTCCTCGCCCACCCGCCCACCTCCTCGCCCACCCGCCCACCTCCTCACCCACCCGCCCACCTCCTCACCCACCCCCCCACCCCCCCACCCAACCCCCCACCCACCCACCCACCTACGCAACCCACGCAGCTTCCTTGGAAGCGCGGCATCGCCACCGAGCGCCCTGCTGTTCGACTCGAGCGGAAAACCCCTGTACAAGAACGCGGCCGGCAGAGACTGGGGCCTGGTCAACGGTGCCTTCCAGCCAACCGTCTCTCTCACCGAAGGGAGGTGCGTAAGAAAGACGTGTCCGTCCGTCTGTATGTGTGCCTACGTATGTGTATGTTGTTACAGGGTGGTATGTGTGCATGTGGTCTATTATGGTCTAATATGGTGGGATTTAATGCTATCTATCTGGCACTGCACTACGTATTGTGTTTGTGTGTGTTACATGGTTGGGGGGTGCGTGACCCCATACCTGTAAGACTACCCATACGAGCCGAAGGCCCAAGGGGAATACTACAACGCCTAAAAGCCACGGAGAAAAGGAAAAACACCGCACATCAGCCCAGATTAGCGTCCAACTACGTATTGTTATTAGCGCACAGCGCCAACTAGGGTACCAGCAGGTTTTATCTGTACCTGCTAAGACGCTCCCGTCGTAAATGTACATGCATTGTACGCACACTTGTATGCATACAATACAGGATGCTGGTGGTGGGTGCGGAACCTAAGCGATCCACTGAGAAATTGGCTAGGGGGTGGATGAGGGTGCCCCGAAATACCGGGGAAGGCAGGGTTTCGCAGGGTAGCGGCCACGGGTGAAGATATGCCCCCCTGTCCCACAAATCATACAATACAGGTTCTCGCGCTGGCAAATCATCAACACCATGTCCATGAAGTGGTTGGATCTTACCGTCCAAAAGGTGACTGCACATTGTGTGTGTGTAAGAGAGGGTGGGGGGGTGGGGGGGTGTAGACAAGTAAGTTCAATTTGTAATTAGGAGCAAATGCCTTTTCGTCACATGCCAAAGGCGTTCATTATGCCAGCAACAGCAGCAGCAGCAGCAGCCAACGTAATCTGGGAACGCTCTGCGGTTACTTCCTGCTGAATGTAGTATTAGCTAGCGGACTTGTGAACATGATCTTGGTTATTAGCTGCCTCATGCGCAAGTGCCTCTCAACCCGGTAGATGACACCCTACGTACCCTACGAGAAGTAAGCCGGCAGGGCATCCACGCACACAAAAAGAAACGAACATGATTTAATTCGGATATGCGTATATTCGTATCTTATATACATGCAAACGTATCTGCTGCTTGCCAATCCTGCTTGCTTGCCCATGCGTCTGTATGTCTCATCACCCGCGCCCTGACTGCTCACCGGCGGCTCAATACCGTACGTAATACTCCGTACGTAAAAACACACACGCTCGCGTAGGTCGACTCCCGTACCGGCGGACTGACCCCCGTGGACACGTGCAAGTGAGTTCACACGCACGGGGGGGGGTTGGCTGCAGCAACTGTAGCAGTCTCGTTTGCCTGCTGGCTCCTCTGCGTGGCACGTGCGTAGTAACAGAGCTGGTTGGCTGGCTAATGGACGAGTTTATGGTATCTGTCCGGCCTGAGACAGCCGTTCACCTCATCAGTGCATACACTTCTGCAAGTTTGATCGCTGGTACTTTATCACTCAACGAAATGTCAGCAGGTCCGCTCAGCAGCAGCCATACATACACCTTGTAATATAATAATTGACACGCTATGCTGCTGAGTTAATTTTTAAGTGTGCGAACGGCCATGCATGCCCCTCCTCATGTGCAGGATATGGCTGCTTGGCCGCGACGCTGTGCCGTTACCCACAGTGCCCCGTTTGCTGTCGTCCAAGCCAAATGGTGGTAGCCGCTTCTACAATGACGTCATCATGGGTCCAGCTAACCGGGTAGATGTTGTGATCAAGTGCGATGTTCCCGGCAAGTACGTGCTGGCGTCATGTGCCGGGCCCTTCCGCACTAACTACGATGGTAAGACAGACAGACAGGAATAAACGCGTAGTAGTCCCAGCAAGACACATTGCACATGGCCGTACGGTAGTCGTACCGCTGCGAATGACCCGCTTGCAGCAATAGTGGACCTACGTTCGTGGTCTTAACACTATGCCTTTTTGTGATGTGATGTCTGTAAAGGCTAGTCCTCGGTTCGGCGTAATAGCTTCCATTCGGAGGTTACAGCAGCTAGCTGTAATGCATGCGTGCGTGCATGGACGTCTCAAGCGGTCCGGTAGATCATCACTGTGCACCAGCCAGTGCAGCTTTGCATACATCTTCGTAGCTTGGCGTGCATGTCTCTAGTAGATGTATAGAGCTGTCAGCTGTCCAGGATAAGGGGCCTTAAGAGTCTTGATGTTGAATGATGGTTCCTTTCAGCGGCAGCATTTGCCGTCACGAACGAGCCACGGGGGGTTCCAATAACTAGATGCCGGTTAGTTGCCGCAACCCGCCGCTTTGTCACGGCGACAGCGCCCGCCCGCCCGACTTGACAACGTGTCGATTGCCACCAACCCATCTACGTGCAGCCTGCAGGGCGACACACTGCGAGTGCTTCGGAGACCGCCCCGCCAACGGCGCGCTGCTGCGCCCCGCCAACAACCTATACGGTGGCTTCGAGCTGGATGCGGCTGTACTGGCGGTGTTGGACGTACACGCGCGGCCCCGAGACAAGAAGTCCGAGCATGATTTCGCGAACGGTGTCTGCAAGTCAAGGTTCGTCTGCGTTCGAGGCTGTTAATGTTACCTTTGCTTTCCGACAACGAATATATAAACGTGCGTCGACTCGTTCCTGCCTGTTGGCCGCAGCCGCATGTGCGTGCGTGCGTCAGCAACAAACATCGTAAAAAATTGTTCACATGATGACGAATCAGGGTTGATTCATGCGAATAGGACTTTGAATCGGAGCCAATTGGGCCTGAACCTGAATAGGGGTCTGGGGATTATGATTCGGCGTAATTAATGAAACTCCTAACAAGCCGTTTTCATAATTACGTCTGTAATGATTAACAATTTCCAGTACTCGAAACCCTAAGTACTCGAAAGCGCACCGACAGACTTGTTTTCCTCCCGATTGCAGGCTGGAGTTCTTCCGTTACTTAGACTACCAAAACTTCCCCAAGCCCGCAACCGAGCAGTGCATCTCTTTCATGAATCAGCAGTTTGGTGAGATGCTGCCGAAGCGAGGCGGACTTAGATGGCTCCGGACCGACCTGTCTATCGAACAAAATCCCCCCGCCTCAGTGCAGTGGGCCCATGAGACCATTGATTGGCTGTGATGGCGCATATATATGTGTGTGTGGACTTAAGCTATCTATCCTACGTATGCATAGGAATGTCCTGTAAGCGAGCTCAGGCAAGCCGCTGTTCATGACGAAAAAATCGTATAGTACACGAACACCCCATCCCCATAATCACATGTGCACATCTATGTCCATGCCGCTTGTCCATATTGTCATACAGGCATACCATGCGAATGGCTTCCTTACCACTATGTGCAACGTATTACCCCCCTCGGCCTTCTGCTGCTCCTCAGGCGGCGCCTGCACCATTAATAACCAGCTCTTCCCGCAAGGAGTTGGATACGTGATGCAGGGCAGTCAGCAAATTTGGAGGCTCCGTGATGTGACGTTCCACCCCTTCCACCTGCACGAGACTCCAGTCCGACTGACGAAGCTGCCGCCCTGCGCGGCGAAGGTCACCAACAACTGGCAGGTAGGTGCGAATGTGTTGCGCAGAGCCAAGTAAGGGCTACTTAGGCCGCAATCACGTCCTCTCAATTGCCACGTTGATAGGTACGGCATTGGGCTTACGTAAGTCGTTATTGATTGGCTTTCTGCGCACGGCGAACGACCAGCTATGAAGCTCGAGGGAATAAGGATTTACTTTTTGTTAAAAGGAACATGCAGCTACCACCTATGTAATGGCTGGGCAAGTAGGTCTTATATGCCCAGCCCAGCTATGTAATGGTAGGTGGTACCTGCATGTTCCTTTTTAACTGTGCGTTTGTCGCGCCTGCCTGCATTCCCCATTTCCAAATCTGCATCTTCCCTCCCGCGACACTGGGACACAATACGGCACATACTTCTGTTCATATTCATCGCTCGCTTCCCATATCCCACTCATGCAGGATGGTGACTGGTTGGACTCCATTCTGCTGCCGCCGTGCCAGACGGGCTGCCCTTGGCCCGCCCGCGGCAGCGGCAATGGCACCTGCGGCGACCCCGTCACCGTGTGTGACGAGACCACAGTCCAGTGGCTAGCCACGAACTTCGATCAGGTACCCGCTATGGCCTTAGGCACCGGCGGGAGCAATGACTTGTGCAGTCGCAAGAACGGAAACAGCGGCATGAAGCCAGTGGCGCTTCCAGACGTGTGCTCTGAGCGTCTCTCTGTGTTCCACTGCCACGTCCTTCCACACGAGGACGAGGGCTGCATGGCGCTGTTGGTCTGGTTCTGCCCGGGCTTCACGCCTCCGAGTGCCGCCTACCCTGCTCAATGTCCCGCCACCTACACAAATAACTGCTCCCCGCCATCGGCATCTCGCAACGGTCCCCCGCGTCGTCCTTGATTAGCTAATCTAATCTGCGAAGAGCAAGCTCAGGCCGTGCCTGCTTAGCACGAGCTTGTTCAAGGTATTTTATGCAATCTGTGATGTCGACTGATGTATTCTCTTGTGATCATATCCGATGGACATAAGAACTATCTCTGTGTGTGAGGACCGGATGTTGCTACGTGCCGGCCATTAGTCGGTTTGGCTAACGAACCAAACTGTCATCAGGCTTGGAATAGTACGACAGCGCTTGTGGAATGGTTGATGTGGATGAGGTGATTTTGTTCTGTTTCTGACTTAGGTGCAGGCAACTGCTTTCCTTGCCTGGTGGACTAGTTTAATGTACTCAGGCATGTGCTGCGCCTTTAAGGTGGTACCGCACAAGTTTTGCGAGGATAATTTTGCGGCAACACACCGTTTCAATTGGTGTTGTGCGTTGCTCAATAACTGCGGAATTATAGATATAAATGTAAGTCGTTTGTCCCGATCGGCCTGATGAATCTCGTATACCAGAACGCTGATCCTGCATGCGCTAGTGCCAACCATGGCCACAGCTACTCAAAATTCCCTCACCGGCCTAAGGCAACCGGTGTTGGGAGTTAAATAACTACGTTCGGCGATGGGAGCTGCTAGCGTTTCGTGCCACTGTGCGCGCGGTTTTAAATGTGTGACCGACGGGGACCCAGCATCGCACATGGCAAGTATAGTTCAGCCTACTAGTGCTGTCTTGGTGAGGTCAACCTGAGAACAACTGCAGCAGACAGAAGTCGAAGTATGTGAGTCCCCAGCCAGTGTTTTTTCCAAAAGTGGAGCCGGGGTTTGGTAGCTACAACATTTGTTTTTTGGTTGTCGCTTTTCGCTCGTGACCCAAGTTGCTGGGGAGATTACGCTCCCCTAGAACCCTCCTTTGGATAACGAACACAGTACAGCCGTACTGCATCTGGTTGCAAATACCTTCCTGACCCAAGTGTCCATCCGGTCCATGCAAAAACTCTTAGTGCCTCACTTGCGCACGCAGCCCTGAGCGCCACGACCTGGGCGGTTGCACACAGCGCGACAGGTAGCAAATATGAGCCTAAAGGCGAACGCTCCTCTTCAGATGTGGACTTGACCGCTGAGAAATTGTTCATACTGCACAGTATTTACAGCCTGTGTACAGATAATCAGGCCCAAGCATGCAATTTTCGTGTTTCTGTACTGCCGGCTCACGTCACAAAGAAGGCAAGCAACCGATCACGGTGCGCCAGTCGGCGTGCAACGTGCAACAGCGGTGCTCGAGGCGCCGTCGGAAGCCTCCGGAGGTGCCAAGCGACCCAGTAGATGACGCGGCCAAGGCCGGGCACACAAAGCTGAGGCGTGCTGGGCCGCCCTGACGCTTGTGTGCACCCGACACACAGGAACCCAAGGGTGCAGGGGTGCATCACACCAACATACACTCCATGTGTCCAAGCTAGTGGCCATGTCCACTCCCCTGGAGTTGCTTTGCTTTACAGCTGGGGCAAAAAAAAAAAACCTGTCCAAAAAGGTCCTGTTGTGTCAACGCAGGGCATGCACTCTCAACAAATATAAAATATAAAGCCAATTGTCGTTCCTTGACCCATGCAGGACCCAACCGAGTATCCAACACGGCCAATTTGATGGTACATGGATGAACGAAACCAGCCCGGCAGGCAGCAGCGAGGGAAGCCACATGCATGAAATCACTCGAGCAATACATGGATTGATTAAGTCATTTGCAACTGATTAAGTCATTTGCAACGATTTCAAACAACTTCCGATAAGAGACGGTTGTCTGGGCGGACAGTCAGCCAACACCCTTGGGGAATGCGATTGTTACAGTGGACCCCGAACGGGTCGAGTGCAGCGCCCCTAGGAACGCCTCCCGCACAACACTGTGGGCCTTATTCACAAAGAACTCGGCCAGGCCGTACTAACTTCACTGGACACAAGGCCTCAGTTAGTACACTCATACAGGAAAATGAGGTTCCGACGTAAGCCCTCAGACCTCATCATTGTACATCGGTAAGCGGCAAACAACCTTGTCTGCGTCGTTGACATATAAGAAAGGTTGGTTGTGAGGCACGTGTTCCCAACGTTTTGGCAAGTTATCCCGTGCCGCAAAAGCAGTTAAACGGGCGCCAAAGTTAGAGTTAAGCGTTGACGTAGATACGGTCATGTTGGCCTGGAGACCTTCCCTAAACTACAAACGGCGACCGTGATTGAGTGAGCTGATGGCCGCGAGGCATACAACCTCCCACACACACCCAAAAACCGAGGTCGGTGGAATGCCCAACCACAAGTTAGCCCGGTTAAAAAGGTCTGGAAACTCTTGTTCGTTCTGCAGAGCCTCACGAAGAGCCAACGCGACAGTTCAGTCCCAGAAATGACAGGACAGTCCCAGAAAAACACCCTTGGCCCGGCTAATCAGATGTTTAGCAGGACTTGCCATGGCCACAAAGCACGTCAGCATGGCTTGACAGCAGCAGCCGTTCAGGGCAGTGGTTTAGCAGCAATGGCCGGAGGTTCAGCATACGGGCCCAACAGGGCGAGCGATTGGATGCACGGCGCCATCGGCGCCGTAACAATTGTTTTCGCTTTCCGAGATAAGCGTTTTTTGCTCATAAGCGACATATCGAAGAACACTGGTCCCAACGTAGTGGATGGCTGCCTGTCCATAGTCGTCCATCACCCGGTTAGCGGTGTGGAGATCCGCCGATAAACGTTTTAATCTTCTGCTGCCATGTACTTGGAGCTCGATATAGCGCTTGATATGGTTGGGGCTGTGCCCACAGCTTGAAGATAAGTTTCGCCTGTTTTTAAAACAAAAAATTCCGATTTACAGCTTGTTCCTATTCCTATTACTGTAACGAAATTTATTTCAGCAGCCAAGCCTGCTTGGATGTGGAGGCCGTGTGCGTGTGGCTCTGTGTGGCTACGCGCACACGTGCACGGCTACCGACTATCCCGCCTGCAAACGAAAATATCATCATGCGCCCCTGCAATCCCGCCGACCTTTAATCATACATGTTAACCTTCCCCAATCAAAGGTAATACTTGCTGTCTGTCTGTCTGTAGCCTGCCATCTCTGCCTGTAACAATTGCTGGACCTATCGCTAGACTTCAGCGCACGCGCACATCATCTTCACACGAGAAATGAAACTAGAATGTACATCCTATCGCGTATGTGCACGCAGAGGCCGCACATACACGTACACACGAAATATCTAACTGTTCACAACTGTGCGATAAATCTTCTGTCGGTACCCATTCCCCCTTGTCACATTCCCCAAGGGACTGTTCCATGGGCCTTACGCAGAGCCCTCACCACCTGAACAGCAGTTCAGTAACACAGCAGCCTGTCTGTCTGTTTGGCGTTTCGTTCTGCGCCCGTTATCCTCCTCAAGTCAACCCTGCTTCTCCCAGCCACTGATAATGGCGTGTACGCAGACAGACAGACGAACAAACAGGTTCATTTTCACTGTGCCATTTCCTCATGAGCAATATTAAAACGTCAAAATGCGTCCGGCGTTCACAAATACCATTTCGCATCGAACTAAAATAATATACGTTATGACGGATTTACCATACCCTCACGCTGCGTTACACACACACACACATGCCCTCTGGCACTGACCCGTGGGACGCTCATGTATACGCTTCTGTAGCAACAAGTCACCCTGGATGGCTTCCGCGCCCCCCTAGCTGGCCTCTCCAGCAAACGGCACCCGTGGATGAGCTCATCGTTTGGCCTTCGGAGTCGCCACCGGGGGCACCGAGGCCTTACGTTGTTACTCGTGCGTCATTCGCACGTCATGATACCACCTGGTACACATGAGCATGCTTCTCTGTGGATCTGCGCAGCTTGACGGCCACCACGACCACAGCAATTACGATGGCCAAAGCGGCTACGCCGCCAATGATACCGCCGGCGATAGCCCCAACATTCCGAGTCTTGCTGCTGCTGCTGCTGCTGCTAATGCTAATGCTGGGCGGCCCGTTATAATCGCTGTCCACAATTACTTCGACGTCTGTGATGTCGTACGTTTTTATAAAATCCGTCGTCAGGATGGGCTTCGGGTCGGATACCAACCGAGCAGTCAGGCCGGTCGTGCTTTGAACAGGGACGGTGGCATTAACGGACACGATAGAACCCGTTGGGCCTTCATGCAGCCGCCGCCGTAGGTTCTTCGTAGTACCGGAGATACCGGTGATGTCGCCACTGCCTGAAATACGTACTATTTGCACTTCCACGTCGGTCTCTGAAACCTGTATGTGCCAGAGGGAAGTGGAGAAGACACGGCGGGACCGAAACTCGTCTGGCCTGATGTGCATTGAGCGATGACCCACACTCTTCATGGGCGAACACAAGATCTTTCCATTCACATCGAACATGAAATCCGTATGGCATGCGAGCGACTGGTAGGTCTACATCACACACACCCTTTCCCCTTTGGTCACATCAAGTAGCGGCAGCGATGGGGTAGGTAGATAAACAGATTAATATTCATCCAGGAAAGCATGACTTGCAGGGGCATCGAACTACGGCCCTCACAGCCAATGGTACTTTCTACTTTCGCTAGTATCACACTTGCGCTCATACAGCAGCTTCTTGAACCTTTATAGCCCGTTCAAGTCCCGTTGGCTCTTGCCGGCAGGTCCCGGAAGGCAAACCACACCTTGAAAGCACATGCATGCACCCGCCCACCTGGAAGAACTGGGCAAGGGCCTTCTGGATTGCTGACAAAAATGCTTCCCTTCCGGCGCCAGCGGAAATCTGCGTGCTGGCTGTGTCGGACATGGTGAACTTAAGCTGGTACACCGACTTATTTGACAGCGGCGGCGATACTAATACAGCTGCTAGTGGTGGTGACGGTGGAGGAGGAAAAGAAGGTGGTGGTGATGACGGCGGCGGTGGTGGTGGTGGCGGTGGTGGCTGCGGTGGTGGCGAAGTTAAGAGCGCCGGTGAAGTGTCCACATAAACCGGTGGTGAAGGGGGTAGGTGGTCGTGAGGACGAGGATGAGGATGACGATGAGGATGAGGAGGGGAATGGGGCGCTGGTTGCGGGTTGTTTGGGTAGGTTGCTGGGACGGGAGGCTGGCCGACCGAGAGAGGAGGGGGAGGAGCGTAAGCGGGGGGTACGGATGACCAAGAGAGAGAGTAGGCTGTGTGCGGAGGCGGAAGGGCTGATGGAACCGGAGGTGACATGGAGAGAGGGTAGGATGGAGCGGTAAGATAGGCTTCCCCTAGCTGGCGGCCAGAGTAGTCGCGGTGATGTGGCGTTAAGGCAGGTATAGTAGAGCTGCTGGGTGCCACAACCTACATGCAGAGCACGAACAGGCACCAGTAGGGGCGCGGATATATCAGAACCAACCCCAGCATCTATGAACACCGGTGCTTCCTACACAATATCATAACACGTGTGCACCTAACGCACGCGAAAATAGAAAAGGTTTCGTTCCTGGAGCACCGTATCGACCCCCTACACTACAGACCAAGCCTGGCCTCATGTACCCCACGCTTCGCATCACCATGCAAAACGGAAACTCCTCCACTGCTAACGTCCTTTAGCTTCCACTTCCGCGCAGTGAAACTTTATGATAAGCACACGGTGCACGAGGGGAAAGGGTGGTCGGTACTGAGCGACCCCGTGCATCCCAGTTTGTATGCATACGTGACACCCAAAGATACAAAAAAGGCCGAGCAGTATCTGAGTAGATTGGCTTTCGGCAATCTTCTACTTTCGGCTTCCCCCCGCGAGTCATTTGCGCGCATCTACGCAGGCGCGGGCCGGCACGCATGCGACCCAGTCGTGTGCGTCATTATGCTGAACGCGCCCAGCAGGCACCCACCTTAAGGAAGAGCTGGGATGACGCCAGTACGTCTCCAGTGACGGCCTCGTACCAAAATGTCTGTAAGCTTGCCTCTCCAAGCTCTGTAAAACTTAGATCCGGAAGGCTCACGAGGAACTGCGTCACCCCCGACGCGTCATTCTTTTCGTTCAGGTGCACGTCCTCAGTGCACCTCTGGCTGTCCCGGGAAGCGGCCGTCGGCCTTACCGTCTCCATATAGCTGGAACTGGGCGGCTGGAGGTACACGCACGCGACTAGGCCGCGGTTACCGCTCTCACCGGCACCGAGGTTCTGGAGACTTTCCCGGTAAGGCGAGGTCGTTGGCAAAGTCAGTGTGGCGATGTAGGAGTAGAACTCGCCCTGTACTACCTCCCGGGGCCCGTAGATGGTGGTCATCGCTGGGAAGGCAACAGGTTTGGAGATTAATATTCTTGCGGTGGGTAACAAGCTCTTGGAGCTTTACAGTACGAGCAAATCGTAATAAACGTCATGTGATTTCAGCCATCGCGCTTGTTAGCTATAATGGTGTTCGCTCAGCAGGTAAGCATTATAATCGGCTTCAATCCATTTAATATGAGGTGCCTTAATCACGCGCGCGGCGCGGCAATCCTATCAGATCAGCTGTAAACTCAACCCATACTCTACCATTGCTTACTCGTCCGCGTATCAGTAAGTAATTATATAGTAGTGTATTACATGCCAGGCTGGAAATGGAGGCGAGCTCTGAGATAAACGAGGGGATACCTTATTAGTCTCGATGGCGGAAACTGCGTTTTGAATCATTCCATTTCACGAAGCATTTCTGATAGTGATAATAAGCATTTCAACGTACAATGACTGAGATTTTTGGAGCTCCTGTTAGGTAAGTACAAAGGGTTCCCTGAAACTGGGTGTAGGTTGCAGCAGGTTGATCAATCGAAGAGCCCTACCGCGTTCCGTGTAAGGACTGGCAGCCGCCGTCGCTGCAACCGTCACACGATTATATCCTCTTTCAAAAGCGCTTAAAAATATGAAAAGTGTTTTTCCCTCACCAGCATCGCGCGATTTTACGATCCGATCCCCCGCAGATGTGCCCTCGTTGGAAGGTTGTAACGCCTCCAGGCTGGCAACCTTGGAGTGAGAAAGCCATCCTGGAGCCGCCGATATGTCTTCGTTGAACGTATTGCTATCCGTCTGATGGTTTAATAGGACAGCTGCGTCGTCCTGTGAAGAATCGGAACCGAATGCATAGTGCACTTGTCCGTGAAAGCCAACAACGATTAGGACTACCAAAACATAGCTTAAGGATGACATCATCGTGCCATGGCGCCCCTTGCACTGCATTGATCCTCCGGATGTAAAAACCCCTGGCGTTGTTTTAGCTTGTCTAGGAAGCTATGGCTACGACAGGTGACAGCACCACTAAATCATTTCTCTATTGTGAGAGTAGATCATCTACATCGAACCTCATCCTCTTTTATCAGGAAATGACTGTGGATCCGGGATATGGATGGTCGTACGTCGTGACAGTGATCATTTCGACGTTGGTTATCGTGTGTGATGCATAAAACCATATACGATGCAAGTATCTCATCTGATTCATTTAAAAATCTCATCGTTGAATCTGCTTCAGCGGTATTCGATGGTATTGGATCAGTATGAAGATGTGTTAACGGGTAGGTTAGGCGCTGTGGACTGCCCGTTCATCACGACCCGGTAAAAAACATAACGCTTTCCTTGACAGTGTCTTAGCTCGAATAAACAAAATTCAGGTAAAACTGCCCTTGGTAAGACAACTGTGCTCAAGGCCATAGAAACGTACGCATGGTGGGCGAGGCGTAGGAGCGCAACTCGCAAGGACCTCGCATTGGGAGCGTATCTGAAGTTAAAGTCCTATTAAAAAAAACCTATCAGCTAAGCTTCAACAGTGAAACACCGCCTAATCCGATGCGGATTTCTCCGTTGGAAGCTGCAGGTGGGTCGTTTTCTTCGCAGAGCAACTAGTGTTATCAGCTAGTAGGGCTGCCCAGCACTCTGATCATAGTCTCCTAAAATCCTTGCTATGTCCAGAAATTTACAGGCACGGTTATAATTTACAGCACGCATCGGTTCCTGGGCAATCGTGTCAGGCGATATGATGCAACACCCGGTAATGTGTCACGGCAACAGTGGACAATCGGTCTGGGTTTGACATTGGAGCCTGCCGCCGCTCAGCACTGGCGCCGGGAAAGCTGTCGATGGCGCGGACTCTCTTTAGATTACGTTCTAAGGCCCTCCCTTCGCACCGCGCCAGGCTACTTCCATATCCTGGTCAGATAAGGTTAGGTTCCGCGTGCACAGAATTTTTTTACGATAGAAGGCACAGGTGCTGTACAAAGCTCGACGACGAACGCAGCGAGTTACGAAGAGTCTTGCCTTAGCGGCGTTAGGAGTGCTGTCCGCGGCTTCCATGTCCATGTGGGCCCTATGTTCGGGGCCTGAGGCACAGGTTACAATCAACCACAACTTGCCATGGCCCACCGTCCACTCTGCCACCCGCTTGTTTAGGTTTGCATGTTCAACCCACGGCAGTCCTTGCGGCATATTGCAAGGATAATGATTTTACTGTTAAGAGCGGCAATAGGCTTCTGGCCTCTCACGGGAAAATGAGGGAGCTCGCCGTTGCCGCTTCACACCAAGGGGCAGAGTGCGCTTTCACCAAGATGTACAACAGCGCCACCATGCCAGGAAGGGGATCTAAGTCTCCAGCAGTGACTTCCTGTTTCCTCGACATCAATCCTTCTCCTCACAAGAGTCATGGTTTATCCCCACCAGTCATGCAGTCCACTTTCACAAACAAGTCAAGCGAGTCACAGGCAAATTTAAGTAGACGCGGAAGGCGGTCGCCATCGTCCCCAGGCCACTGTTGACACACAGGTTGCTTCACCTTCACACGCAGCTAGCTGTTTCGCCAGCCAGGTGCGCAAACAGCTGCCTGTGGGACTTCAAAAACCAGGCGGACAGGCAGCGGGTAGTCGTCGCCGCAGCCACTACTTGGTTTTATTCGCTTATTTGGCGGATTGAAAGTTCTCTCAGCACTCCACAAGACCTGACTGAGCCTCATAACCTTGGTTACCAGTCGCAAAACAAGCCATCAAACACGAAGCCGTCTACCGCGCACAGAGCACTTCGCCACAGCCGACTTCGCCAGCTGTATATTCCGATCCTCACACCCCTTCACACAGCTCTCCCTTGGCCTGACCTGACCTGATCTGCCATCCATCAGACGGCGACGTGCAACAAGAAACCCAATGAACGCCCTCACGCTTTGGCCTCCCACTAACTTCAGCAGTCCAAAACACTATTGCAGGTGCGCAAGCATACACCCAAGGGCGGTAATAGCTGGCCAGCCGTGTTCAGCGCTCCTGGCCTCCGCCCGTCCCACGCACCGGTGCGGGTCCGCACGTCACAGCATCTCGGAATAGCGCGCTTCTCCTGGTGCAGTTGTAGCCCACTCAAACACACTCAAACCGGAACGCCACCTTAACCCCGGGCACTTCCCTCCCGCTTTATCGCATTGACTGGATTTTTTGGAACCCACCGCACCGCGTCCACCGTCGGCCTGAACAGCACACCACTTCGCTTCGAGTCCCGAGAGACACCACACGCTGCGTCGGAGCCGCATACACTGCGACTCTGACCCGAACCATTCCCCTGCCTCGCTCAGACACCAGACAATCTTCCACGAGCCCAAACCAACATATCCTCGTATCATCCGCGGCGCTCGACTGCCCTCCCTCGCTTTGCCCTCCCGCGCAATCTCACTCTCGTTGTCGTGGCCGTGGATACAGAGGCAAGAAAGTCTAACCAGGCAAAACCAATTCAGTGCTTCGCTACTCCGGAGCTGACTTCCGCGCCCTACTCCCAACCCCTTTTTTCGCGATATCTTCATACGTAATAGATATACACGCTCCCAGCACCACCCGGCCTCTCGCCTCCGTGTGTGCCCTATTGCTATATATAATAAAGATAAGCCCTAATCGAGACATTCTCGAGTCCCCCTCTAGAAGGAAGATTTTGGACAGCAGAACTCGTACTGACCGTCGCGCTCACTCAACATGCACAACCGAGTACTTCAATCCATCGCACACGCGAGTTTTTACTGCGAACCGAGCCGACGCAGATCGAGGCCCAGAAAATGATTCCGACTAGGTTGGAAGAGACACATCCGCCCACTCGACAGCCGCACCGGCACATATTCACATCTGCACATAACACATTAAAAATCAGAGCCCAACTCCCAAGATGCCACCGCCTCCACACCGCCTCTACCAAGTCGCCACCTTCTTCGCCTCAGTACCCTCCTCGGTAATCCCGGGTGCATGGTGTGGCCTGCCTGCCGGGAAAACAAGGGGCCCGTGTGCGCAACCGGCCCCACAATTCCCTCACCCTCCTCCCAACCCGCCAAACCACCTCGCCAGCTCCCCCCCCTTTCCATCGCTTCCTTGAGAGGAACCCCACTGGACTCTTCGCTCCTTACAGGTGCAGGTCGAGGTTCACGCACACACACACACACACACACACACGCGCACACGCACACAAACACACACACCTGTATCGCAAGTCCCCTGCACAGCTCCATCCGACCGACTAATCCCGGTTCAGGAACTGCGTCACCTTATCCACCGTCAACAGCATCACCCCGTTGGCGGGTGCCGCCCGAATGAGGCACGGCGTGAAGCCCTTGAAGAACCGCCGTACGCCGCCCTCCCCCCACAGCAGACGCACAGTGGTGGGGATGTCCTTGTACTTGCGCAGCGCGGGGTTGATGTTGTCGGTCTGCATTGCGGACTTGACGCAGTCTACTGGGAAGATGGTTAGCCAGTACAACACGCCGCCCAGACCTGGGCCGTGGGGAAGAGGAGGGGTGCGGAGGACAGGGAGGATGCGGAGGGTGAGGATGAAGAGGCAAATTGGTAAAATGAAATAACGTGCATGTGCGTGTGCGTGTGCGTGTACATGTGCATGTGCTTGCGGGCGGGCGGGCACTGGGTCAGCTGCACATGCAGGGTTGGACGCGAGGATGAAAGGATGTCCGATTGCGCCAAAAAGCTTGAATGCAGTAGCAGTAAGCAGTAGGCTGGTGGACTGATGCGCGACGCGGAAGGGAGGACTCGCCAAAGAGAGAGGAAGCGGAAAAGGAAGAGGAAACAAGAAACCACCAGCGCCTTGCTGCCCACGAGTTTGCACCGTAGCTCTGGCGGCAGCTGGGGACCAGGCAGCTGCGCCACTTCAACCGGTACGCACTGTCCCGTTACACCTGTCTGAAGAGGGCAACGCAAGTCCAGGAGGTGTTAACACACTCCCCCCCCCCCCCACACTCTATATATATACCCCAGGATCTCCGGGGCCTCTCTCAGGCGGCGGCGGCGGAGGCGGCTGGTGCCGCAGGATATGTTCATTCACCAAGGATGAACCGGGCCGCGTGAGGGAGAACTGAGGTTGTGCATGTGTGCATGTGCATGTGTGCATGTGCATGTGTGCATGTGCGTGTGTGCATGTGCATGTGTGCATGTGTGCATGTGTGTTCGGTTCCCACCTGCGCAGGCTGTGATGGTGGCCGCGGACAGGTCCGTGGTCTTGCAGTTGTAGTGCCCCGCCACCTCCTGCTTGAACACCTCGAACGAGCCAAGGTACACCGCGTTGGCGGGCGTGTTGCGCAGGAGGGTCGGCCCCAGGCCCTGCGGCGGTGCGGTGGTGGTGCGGCGGCAGCTAGTTAGCAGGCGGGGGAGCGGGGGGATGGATAGGTCTGCAGATCAGGACTGCAGAGCGGGTAGGCTGTAGAGAAAAGCAATCCAGCAAAAGGATTCGGGGGAAAAGGGCGGCAGAGCGGTAGGACAGCGGTAGTGGGGCTGTGCCTGCCAGACAGGATTTTACCCCCCTCCTCCCCCCCCACACATACATAGACACACACGCTACTGGTCGCTGCAGCAGTGATATTGGCAGCCCTGGTTATCCGACTCAAATGGTTTTTCGGATACTCCGTGTTGTTTAAAAACAACCCCAATATTGACCATCATAACAAAACCCTAAAACCCTAAGCCACCCCAGGAGAGCCCCTCACCCCCCCCCCACGCACCTGGAAGGGTCCTCGGAAGCCGTTGGTACGGATGGTTTGCCGTACGCACTCCAAGACAGAAGTGTACGGCGCTGCACGGCAGAAGAAGAATAACAACAGTAATGATCACGTCCACAGCACCGCTGATGCCAGCCAGCGGCTTTCGGCACAAGCTTATGGACCCCCTGGTCTCTCATTACTGGCTACCCAGCACGACTCCCTGGCTTCACCACGCAGACTATAAAACCGGCCTTGGCCATAGCCCTTTGCGGTATCTCCTCCCCCCGCCCCTTCTCTCTCCCTAGAAAGCCCGCTCCTTCTCACGTTTGTAGGTGGGGTCCTGCTTGCTGCGGATGATCTGCACCTGCAGCTGGCTCTTGTAGAAGTCGATGGGACCCTCCGTGAACGCCGCCACGAAGCCCGTCATGGCGCCGGCCTTGTAGAAGTCGATACGTTCCAGGGGGCGGGTGGTGCCTGCGGACCGGGCAGCGGAAAGCGGGTAGCGAGGGAGGTAGGACAAAGGGATTCGGGAAGCGGAAGAGGAACCCGCACCGGTTCAGGCAAGGAGAAACCGCAGGGGGTCAGGGATTAGCGACCCGCGGGTCGGTAGGCAGGTTGAAGGTCGTGTGCACAAGAGGTACAATCTAGTTTTCAGTGCGGAGCGATGGTCCATCTCGCTCCGCACCCACGCACATGCCCTCTTCCTCTCTCACCCACGAGACGTCCATCGCCGATGGACCTCTCGTGGGTGAGAGAGGGAGAGGACATCTGGGGTTTTAGCGTACACAGGCCGTCCCAAACGCCTTTATCAGGAAAAACTTCAGGCTTATTTTGCTGTTTTGGTGTTTGTTCGGCGTTCAAGTCGTTGCCTTTTGCGTGTTTGGCTATGTGAGGACCGGTCATACATTCTGCTATGCCGCGTTGACTCACGGGCATGACCTTCTTACGGCCCCTCAGATCTATTCTATGATCGATAATACTAAGTTCTGCACACTACGGAGCAATCTGGCAGCAATGGACGTTTTTGGCTGGAGGAATGAAAATGTACGGATCGGCCTCAATTTGTTCCTTATTTCCAAAGGCCAAAATAGCCTCTTTATTCCTTAAAAGGAATATATTACTTAAAAAAAACACTGAACACAGCCCCGCATCGAATATTTGAATTAATAGCTCCCCATCGACAAGTTTGACCAACGATGTGAACAATGAAGGGATAGCATTTCCAAACACCATACGTCAGTTTGTGTTGAAGTGAACTCCATCGGGACATCGCCCGGGTTCGTTCAAGCTGCCCGGGGCTGATTGTCAGCCAGGCGAAACCGTATGGTGCGCCAATTACGGAGTTTTGAGGGACGTAGCTGGAGAGGCGTCCAGATGTGGGAGTGAGCCCCTCTGGCAGGGGCAAAATGATGAGTAGATGACACATGGTCCGTACGCATCTGCCGTACATGTCGTACGTACCGTCAGCGTTCGTGCCCAACCATCGCTTCGACGCTCCAAATGCCCCGAACAGCGAGGCGCGGAAGAACATCTGACCCATGAGTGGGGATGTAACACCCTGAAGTGTGGGGAATGTACGACAGAAGTTTATGTTGTACAGCGAGCTTTGGAATGAGACATCCCGCAGGCTACACGTATACGGTGTTAGGATATTTTGAGATAATAACTTGGGGTCAAAAAATAGAATTTGCAAAGCTCCGTGCCTTGTTCAGACGATCTCTTCCGACGATGAGGTGAGGATGGCTAAGCAAGAGCACAGAGCAAGTCGGACTGATCCTCGTCAATGCTGTTTCGGAGGTGCCGCAGTGATGGGCTAACAAGAGCCCAAGGTAAGAAGAAAGGTTTCGGTGGTTTGACCTGCCGTGTTTACTAACCGACTTTCCTTCCCAACCAGTCAGTCCAGCCATCTCCCGTAGAGGATGCAGCTGCCCATGCCTGCACCTATAGTACATCGACAGTTCCGTCGCTTAAGCGAGAATGCTTTGGAATCGCTATCGCTTAAAAATCCATGCCACGACCGGCACGACCCGAGAAAGGTACGGATAGGAATAAGAGCCTGTGTTGCATCGCGGCAGTGCACTAGCATCAGTAGCATTGCGGCACTGCACTCCCTTCCTACCTTGTAAAGGCCGCCCAAACCCTCCCATTGAACGGTCTTCCTCGCGCAGTCCACTACTCCAGCTGCAGAAAAGAACCCACACAACCGTGAGTCGATTGCTTAATTGATTAAATTTGCTGGGCTCATAAGCCCGGAGTAGCTTGTTGATTTATAGTAGGGGCAGAAAAGCCCGATGCAAGCAACCCACGCGGCAAAGAACAACTTACAGTAAATGGGTTTATCCACCGGCTGTGTTTGTAGCCGAACCTTAAGCGTGTCAAAAGGGTGCCCGACAAGCGTCACAGAAATGCCGCCTGCACCAGGAGCGATAACCTAGTGTCAAACTAGTACGCGAGCGGCACCATCATCCGCGTGCCAAGTTAAACTAACCGCATGTTCCCGCAAAAATATCCTTGGCAAGTTTGATTAGGCCCGCATTCGGTGAAACTGCCAGGGGAGGGGCCTGCTGAGTCGCTGCTGGCATCGTGTTTGGTTACTTTCCCGGAAGTGTAATACCTGAAAGTAATCTAATAATCATGTGTCGATTCCCAATACAAGGGAATGGAGGTTTGTTCACATGCACGCGCCAAAGTCATCCAACAACAGTTCTAACTACCACTAGTCCGAGTCATACACCCGGCGATAATCCCCTTCCATAACTTAGTTATACACAATTGCTAATTGTTCGCAATTTTAGATCCCTATTTTTAATCGGTCATCAGTTGTTCACGATAAGATACGGAGATGGCGCTTGCACGCGCATTGCTTGCTGCAGTCTCATCCGTCGCCAGGCAATCGGAATCCAAAATTGGTTTCGCACAACGCGCATTTGCCAGCACCGCAACAGTGAATGGCATCCCCGTGGAGGTGCGGCCAGAAACGTCGTTCGCTCGTTTACGGATCCCAATTGCTGGCCAGAGAGCGAGCCGCTGCGCCCCATCCTGCAACACCCAAATCTCGCAGGTCCACAACGAATCTGGGAGCAAGCGCGTCGTCGTGACCAAGTCACTGCCTGGAGACCGCTGGCTGCAGTACTTGGTAAACGCCGATTGCCGCGTGGAGGTCTGCAAGCACACCGACATCATCCTCAGCAACGCAACCATCAAGCAGCTTCTAGGCACAAAGTGTGATGGCGTCATTGGCCAGCTGACGGAGGTGAGGTGTCCCTGGCGCGAGGCCAACGAGCTCGTGCTTTGTCTCCCTCCCCTTTATCCCCCTTCCGACCACCTCACGTCGATTGTTTCACGTCACGGGTCCACCGCAATGCGGCTTAAGGGTTTACACGTGCGGTGCACGGCAAGCACGCATCCAGAGCCCTGTCTGTACACAGCCTAGGTCCCCCGAGAGTTAACCCCAGTGTGGTGGGGTCGTGAGGCTGGCTGCCACACCAGCAAGCCAGGGCGCCGCCGTCATGGCGCACTTATGTGTAGCCGCTCTCCACCCAGAGCTTCAAAACAAACCGAAAATCGATATCCGCAAGGAACGGGATGGGACTGGGCGCTGAAAGGCTCTGATGGAGGGCAGCTGATGCGTCTCGCATTTTGTTCATGTACAATACTAGTCCTGCTGCGCTACGCGTACCGTACACGGCAAGCAGCTCCATCACCATCACACACCGCATGTGCACGCGCGCGCGCGTACTCGAACCCGCGCAGGACTGGGGCGCGGAGCTGTTCGAGGCTCTACGCCAGGCGGGCGGCAAGGCGTATAGCAACTACGCCGTGGGCTACAACAATGTCAAGGTGCAGGAGGCCACAAAGCGCGGCATCCCGGTCGGCAACACACCTGGTGCGTCAGTGAGGCGCATGACCTCGTGAGCGAACGAATGAGGAGCATGACTTGCGGGAGCCACAGCTGCAATGAGTCTCACAAAACACGGAAAGCGCCCGCTACACAGCCGGGGCTCTTATCGGCTCGTGGACGCGTGGTCCTTCCTTACTAACGTCATAAAGCCCAATTCTTCTCTCTCCCTTTGCTCGTATGGACATGGGAGTGTGTGTGTGTGTGAGTGAGTGAGTGTGCTTCTTCACGATCTTGGCGTCCTCTTCCTGTTCCTTTTCCCATGGATGCTGCTTTTCCTTACGCGTTCCCACCCTTGCAGTTGACCTCACATGCCTGGTGTCCCGTACATCGCTGCATCCCTCCGCACCATCATCGCTCTCGCAGGCGTGTTGACGGAGACCACGGCGGAGCTAGCAGCGGCGCTGACGCTGGCGGCCGCGCGCCGCGTGGTTGAGGCTGACACATTCATGCGCGGCGGCCACTACAAGGGCTGGTTGCCCAGCCTGTTTGTGGGCCAGCTGCTGCAGGTGTGCTGGCGGTGAGGGGCGGGTGACGTAGAGGGTTGGGGGATTGGGGGGACAGGTCGCTATCGAAAGGACTGCAGGTAGGTCGGGTCGCCGTAGGGCCTAAGCCGTGGCTGGCTACGAGAGCCCACACGCTAGCAGGGGGCCCCGCCGTTCACACTTTCCTGTGTACCGCTATCACAGCGCAGCGTGGGATTCCTTGGGCTCCCCCACCAACAGCCTCGCCAACGCGATCTTTACCTTTCTCCCCCACTGTTACTGCTGTCGCCACCGCAGAACAAAACCGTGGGTATTATTGGCGCTGGCCGCATCGGAGCCGCCTACGCCCGTATGATGGTGGAGGGGCACAAGATGAACTTGGTGTACTACGACCCATATCCCAACAAGCAGCTGGAGGAGTACATAAGGTTGTACGGCGAGCTGTTACGGCACCGTGGGGAGCCGCCAGTGGCGGCACGGCGAGTGGAGACAGTGGAGGAGGTGTTGCAGGAGGCTGATGTGAGCTCTTGGGCAGCGGGTGGAGGCGAGGGATAACTGGGGGCGGGTCACCTTACGAGGGGACGGAGAAGTGCAAGGGACAGGGGGAACCCCCAGGTGGCCGGGTTCCTGCGGTTTAGGATAGTACGAGCAGTACGGATCTGGATCTGGACGAGTTGAAGGTAACGGAAAGCGGTTCAGGTTGAGAGCTACAGGAGAAACCTGAGCCACGGCGCAGACCAGATTGTCGCTGCAGTGTGGGGGGACTCGATGGACATCCCGGACTGCGGCAACACGTCAGTTACAGACACACCTAGGTGGCCGCACCCCCTCATCCTCTAATGACTGCACCCTACCTCACATGAAACCATCACATCAAACGCCTACCGCGCCGCTGCAACCCTCCTCCCCCCCCCTCCTCGTCCTCCGTAGGTCGTTTCCCTGCACTGCAACCTAGATGACTCCACCAGGCACCTCATCAACTCCCAGCGGCTGGCGCTGATGAAGAAAGACGCGGTGCTGGTCAACGCGGCAAGGGGACCCTGCATCGACGAGGTGGCGCTGGTGGCGCACCTGAAAGCCAACCCGGATTTCCGGTGCGGGAGTGAGGGGGCCGGGCGGGGTGGAAGACAGAGAATGGTAGCAGAAAGCCCGCGGACTACTTTTTCGAGAGGGGTTGGACAGTGGGATGCATGACGTGGAGCTCATGTCGGCGTTGGTTCAGTGGATGGGGTGCGAGGACCATTTGTAACGTGTGTTACTTAGGGTGTAAGCCTGTGCGGTATGTGTAGTGTTTGTGGGGGCTCCGCGCCTCCTAATCTGTGGCTCCACAGCCCACACGTGCCACGTCCCACATGGTACATGACACCGCATGTCCCGTGCAAGCCATGGCTTGGGTGTGTGTCTACGTTCGCAAGGGGGGGTTACACAATACACGCCCTTGGCTCCTGCCTGCAAGCAAATCCATGTAGGCTTCCTTTTGTGTGGGCCCCACCGGCCTCCCTGCACCCCCTCACTCCCGCTGGGGCCGCCTCTGCGACTGGTTGCCTTTTTCCTCAGCCCTTCCCATCCCGGCAACCCCCCAGGTGCGGTCTCGATGTGTTCGAGGATGAGCCCGCTATGAAGCCGGGGCTGGCGGACTGCCCCAACGCAGTGATCGTGCCGCACATCGCCTCGGCGTCCATGTGGACGCGCAGTGGCATGGTGAGGGGCGGGAACCATATCCAAATGATCCAGGGAGGGGAGACAGCGGGCTGTGAAGAATGAAGGCGGGACGTGCGCAGTCTTGCAGCCCAGCTGTTTATGGGAATACGCACACTGGTGCGCAGCAGCTTGGAAAAAAGGGACAGCTGGGAGGCGGCTGACCTAAGGACATTTTAGTATCTTAGTCAGGACGGGATTAGTCGACCCAACCGCTTCCTAAAGGGCCCCGTGTGTCGTGTGGGTTTTCCGCTCGACAGGGGTACACCACGTCCCGCCACTCGCTGCTCTCTCCGATTCGTGCCCCCTATGCGCCACAGCCAGCTCGTGATCAACGTGTACTAGCACATCCCACCCACCACCCACACACACCCTCCCTCCGTCCTGCCCTCATTCTTGTGGTCCCCGCACCCCGCAATTCCTGGCGTACTGTCTGACCCTTGTTGCCTGTTCCCTATGCTCTCATCACCACCATGCCGTCGCATCTTATTCTTCCCAATCACCTCACTTCCTCCCTCCACTCCGCACCGTTCCAAGGCGACACTTGCCGCCGCCAACGTGGCTGGTGTGCTATCTGGCTTCCCTGTCTGGAACAAGATAGACATCCTGCCCTTTGTGGAGAAGCCCATGGCCAGCGTGCCCCAAGCCTCCCCCAGCATCGTGAACGCCAAGGAGCTGGGGCTCAAGCTGGTGGCAGATGCGTAATCAGGCATTGCCTTTTGCAGGCGGGGTGTTGTGATGCTGCATTGAGGATTTGGAAGCTTGTTTTGTAGGGGAGTTAGAAAGCGGGTTCAACTGGGCAGCTTGGCGTTGCGTGGAACTGGAGAGGCTGGGAGTAGCCTCCTGTTTGTTAGAGGCGGCAGAACTTGCTATTAGGATTCGGTGCTGGCTGCGGGAGCACGGGAGTGGCGATGGCAGCTGCTAGGGGACGGCGTGGCTGCTGACGAAGGGTGAAGCCAAGTGCGGGCAATTAAGAGGATGGTGGCAAAGGGGTCGGATGCAAGGTGAGGTGAGGCGAGGTGGCCTTCGTTGAGCTGTATGAAGGCTGGAAACGCAGGAAAGCCTTCTCCTAGACCTCCAAACAACGGAAGGAAAGCCCAACAAAACGGCACCTTAAACCCCAAGGCGATTGGCGCAAACAATTACCGACAAAGGCCGCAAGTACCCAGCCAGGCTGCATTGAACACATGATACTACAAGGCGCTATACGGGTTAATGCACCAGCGTTTGGCCGCCACCGCAACCACGATTCGAAGATGGGTCGGGTACAGCAAGCTCCGTGATGCTTCAGTCCCTTCTTCATAGCCTTGAACGACCTGTGTTGGCATTCGTGGTCGCCGTTTATTCTTATTAACAGGCCCAATCGTATGGCTGTTTGGCCCAACCCTATGTGCATCCACGATAATAATAAGCTGCTTGGACTCTTACCTGCAAGTGCTGGTTCCTGCTTGTATTTATTACAGTGTTCGTCCGCACCCGCAGCCCTTCGTAGGGTCCTGTACGGAGGATAGTGTGCGTGGTTGTCGCAGTGGATGATAGTGTTCCCAAAGCTCGCGCGGAATCGTCTTGCAAACGGCAGCCACCTCGTATGCAACGTTTAAACAGGCATTGTTTCAGGACTAACAGCGGAGGCAAGGAAAATTTCATCAAGTCCCTTGCCATTGCTGTGAACTCACAGCCACACGTGCAGTCCTGCTTGGCCCTGGGCTGGGTTGTGGAGAAAAAAATGTCCGCTGTGGACCCTGCTGGACCCTGTACCTAGGGCTCGACAGGTACAGTCGTCCGCAGCTGCAGCCCGTCGAATCCTGTGCGATGGGGAGGTTAATCAGTAAACTTCGGTTTCGAACCGCTTCAGGAATGGGAGCTACCGCGTATGCAGAGTTCGCAAACATTCAAAATGACTAACAATACACGATGACTCATGGCGGTTGTGATCCTTGGTAACGTCAACTGGCGCCACGGCAGCAATCGATGCATAACTGTGAGTGTTGAACATTCTCCAACATTTGTACTTCGTCCACTGCCGCCATGGCAGGATGGAATGAAGAGGGTGCTAGCACTCTCTAGACATCGGTATTTTTTCCTGTTGGCATGTTATCCTGCAACGAGGGTAAGAATATGATTAGGTTTTTGAAAGGTCAATATGATGGTTGGGCGAATAGAATCCCCGCGACAAATGAATGCCGACCGCCGTTTTCTTCCGGAACCAGGAAAAACAACAGTTCACATTGGCCGTTCACATACATCTTGTAACCAGCCTGTATATATATCATAAGTGAGAATCGCAACTGTGTTTTCTGTCTCTCCACATGTTATCTACCTGTTGTTCTTTTCTTATTATTATGATGTAGGTAATAAGCACATCGAGGGGTTTAGCACGGCCAGTGAAGTGAAGCTTGAAACATTGCTTATCAAAAAACATGTCTGATAAGCCTGTTGTGCTATGCCTTGGTGACTCCCATACCTTAGGGGTGTGCGGGGCACCTTGGGTCCCAGGCCTCGCTGCAGCTCTTCCCAGGCTTCGATACGTCAACACAGGCGTCAACGGTACTCAAGCAAAAAATGTTCACTCACGTCTTGAGAAGCTGATCCTTGGCGTGCGGGGAAAGTTGGCCGGGGTAACGCTCCTCATCGGGACCAACGACTGCCTGCTCGCGCTGGCACAAGAAACCAACGACTTTTGGGGTCAGCAGCATTACATGTTAAACAACGGATACACAGGTCCTGCCAATGTCGATACCTTTAGGAAGCAATATCGCGAGCTAACTGCCGACATTGCGGAGCGTCTCCGACAGCGCGCGGCGGCCTCCGGCTCTGGCTCCGAGCCCATAAAGCTGATGATAGTAACACTCCCCCCCATAGGCGAAGCGCTGGATGATAAGGCCAACAAACGAGTGGATGAGTACAATACCGTTATCCGTGAAGCGACGGCCGAGCTACAGCTGCAGCAGCAGGCGTTGGACACTGCCGATGGCCTTCGTATTATACTTCTGGACCTGAGCGCGGCATGCAAGGCCGCCATCGAACGGGCTTTCGGAAAGGCCGCAGGCGATGACGACGGCGGCAGCAGCGACGCCACCGGGGCTGTAGCAGCAGCGTTGCCGCCGCAACCACAACCGCTGAGGCTGCCGTCGCCTCATTGGCGGGTTGGGCTTGGCGTCGCTACCTGCATGGTGCGTCGCTATGTTTTCGGTATCAGCTACGAGCAACAGAGCAGACAGGCGGGCACCGTAGTTTTGGCGCCCGACTGCATCCACCTAAACGAGACGGGCGCTCGGCTTCTGATAGATCTTGTGGAGGGACAGCTTCGGGCGCCAGCTGATGAAACTGGACCTGGACCTGGCTCGAACCCTGCTGCTGGCACTAGGCCTGGCGCAGTGGGCGGCTAAGGGCCGGAAATGGCGGTGTTGTGTGTCCTTAAGGACGGAACAGGTCCATGCTTCCTTCGCATCCAGGCTTTCCCGTCCACGCATCTACGAAAGGCACATTAGCTTCGACCAAGTTGTAGTTACTTGGAAGTTACGAAGATCAGAAAGTGGAAGGTGGGTTTCTAGGTTGTATGTGTGTATGTATGTGCGTGTGTGTGCATGTGTGTGTGCGTGTGTATGTGTGTGCGTGTGCGTGGCTACACTTGTATCCATGCCGGCACTCCACTGGCAAGCTGCCACTGGCCGTTTCCGAAGGCTTTGAGCTGGAATGGGTGAGAGACAAAGGGAGGACGGAGTAGATGCCCTTGCTTAGCCGCAAGGAAACGCAAATGGGCAGCGGAGCGCCAGTACTCAGAAGTTCAGCGGAAAGGGTGAGCTATGCAGCAGCAGCAGCAGCAGCTACTCCTGGGTAGAGCAGTGTGGGGGTGGTGACATCGTTCCATCCTGGGGGGGTTCATTGCTGTTGGGGGAAGGCTGGGGGCCGTCTTTTTGAACAGCAGGAACGCATCATAGTACGTCCCGCATGCGTGTGTATGCATCAATGTGCGTCGGCGTAAGCGCCTTCTTCATATGTGTGCACGTGGTTGTTGTTGTTGTTGTTGTTGTTAAGCTCAGGTTGTTGTTGCGAAGGTGGAGGCGGATGGAAGCATTATTTAGTCTTTTTTCAATGTGTGAATACGTCTGCAATGAGTCCCTTATGGACTACTGAGGTTGCTCGAGTCCGAATGGAAAAGCTCTCACTGCCACGCGTTTAATGCAGGTTGTCTGTTGGCATGGCGTTGTCTGTTGGCCTCGGGCGTTGAAAAGCAGTGAAGAAATAGTCCTCACCTGTCAGCCCACAAGCTGGTTCTCGTGCGTTGATTTGGGGTGCATGAACCGTATCATACGCGTAACAACTGGGTAGCAAAAGATTTCGTGCCGTGGGTCGCTGCTGCCATAGCAAACGCAATGGAAGTATCGTTGCAATGATTACGACCTGTAAGGGGAGTCGCAAAGCACTCACGCACGTATGGTTACCCCAGACTACCTCGCTCACACGATGCGCAAAGTTGCCTTTCCCATCCAAACCACATCAGGCACAGCTTCAAAAGCAAAGCACGCACAAGACATCAGCGCACGCGCCTGGTTTCGTGTCTGTGCCTACAAGTCACGAGCAGCGCACACACATCTAGAATTCATTTATTGCTCACCAAGGATCGACCCACGTCGTGAGTCGGCCCCCTTGCAGGGAAAATGTCGATCGATCGACCTGACCAAAACTCCGCTACCCAACCCGACTCGGCTGGCAACTGCGAGAGATGTCCTTGTGCCGTCCTTTCCGGAGAGCCCACGGAGAACAGAACCAGCAAAGCAGAGCAGAGCAGGTTAATCAGAAGGTACAGCGGCAGCGTAGGGCACAGCTCAGCGCCCCATGCATGCCGTCCACACGTACGCAAGGATGGAACACTTCTTCAACGGCAATCTCGCACTCCAAAAAGGCCCTATGACGACCACACTGCAATTTGCGCCCGACATCCAATATGCACCATGTCTGCACTTGACAAAACCGGGCGTCCAGATCACGTCAAAGCGCAAGAGGCAACGGCATCCATGCAAAGGCGCGGCACACCACAACGAAGCACGCGGCACATGAAATACAGCACACCTGGAGGTTGGATAGCGTGTTCATAATATTTTCTCTCGTCTTCTCTCGATACACAAGCCGTAAGTACGAAAGGCGAAAGTTGAAAATACCCTCCTGGGAATTTCAGAGATTGGCCAGCGCCCTTCAGGAAAGGAAAAGGATCCTTCTAAAGCTAAAGACAATGCTAGGCACGTAAAGTAGGCAGCAGCCCGTCGAAGGTGACAGGCAAATACACATCGAGAGCCGTCAGGGTTACCTATCAAGTGGGCTCACTGGGACACATACCCCGATGTCGGACGCGTTGCACACAAGCCACACATTCCAACAGACATGCAGACAGACGCACATAGTCACAAAGGACTGAACTTTGGTACACATGCAGCCATCTCTTTCACTCAAAAGAGACGGTATTGAACACATACGCAAGTTTCGCGTATCCAACCCTTCACAGAAGCCCTATCGCGCACATCAGTATATCCACGCCCTTCAAAGGCGTGCAAAACACCCGAGGTGCCTGATGAGTTCAATGACCACTTCAGCTCAACACACCACCACCAACCGGTGCGAACCTCGTGCAGCCGCAGCCGCAGCTAAGAGAGCTCGGATCAACAACACTCTCCAGACCAGCTCAACGAACACAGAATCATATCCTGGCCTACATGACTGTGCAAACTTAAGACCCAGCTATCATCTCTTTCGCCATTTACGACGCTCCGCATTTTAGGAAAACCTGTGTCGAATCAAGACAAGACAAGACATGCTACGCTACCCAAAGTGTGGCGCGTCCAAATGTGGCGACGCAACACAGGAGGAGAAGAAGTCGCTAAGGCGAATATCCCTCCGCTGAAATCTCTTCAATGACTGACCCGGCATATCCTAGGTTGCACCAAAAAAAGAAGAAAACAAGCGGTTGCAAGCGGATGCACATCCAAACCATCTTCACGGGAAACCATCACAGGAAAGAACACAGTCCAGGATGTTGTACACGGAAGGGAATTAGTACCCGAAGTCCGAGTCGCGTGCGAGCTACCAACACCCTCTCACATTGGGGAGGGCCTCCTGCAATATTCGATGACCCACATGCCACCCACATCGCTCTACTCGGCCGGCAATCCATTGACGAATAACAAAAACACGTACCCTTAATCTACCCAGCCTAGGGGTAACCCCGGAGCAACGGGCAACACGGTTGCCAAGATAACCAGGCGGTGCATGCAACAGTACAAATCAAGCGGACAGAAACGCCACCCGGATTGCAGCGCAGCGACAGCTTCCACGCCCCCGCCAACATCCACATTCACACCACGGTCCCGGCCATACAGGCACGCGCAAGCGCACGGGCACACAAGCACCATACCATCATCCCGAAAATTAAACGGTATCACGCACGCCGCCGCGGTTTCCCTTGAGCAGGCGCTGGCTGAAGGGCAGGCCGAGGTTGATTACAATACTCGCGACAGCAGCACGAAAGAAAACACCGCCAAAACCAAATCCTGTCCAATGCCGGAAGGAAAAGGGCCCCACGCCTGCCTTACGAGCGACCCTGTTCGGGCATCATCGTCACTATCATCATCACGATCACCTACCGAATCTCTCAGCAGCTGCTAATCTGCGAACATCACCATCTAGCCATACATAACAGCTACAGTACTACGTGCAGTGAGCAAGCACCAGATAAGGTTGATAAGCCCGTGTCTCTCCGCGAACGAAATTCAGTCTCAAAGGTGTGACAATTTGGCGACCCCGCCTGCGAGAAGCACTGGCGCCTTCACCATTTGCGCATTAATTCGCGCAGTCACCTGCCTGCCAGTCAACGCATCCTGCTGAGTGCTATAACACCCCCACCCCCTAAAACCCCTGTGTGGCCGCCCTACCCCACTACTCTGTCGCATCCCACCCCACTACTCTCAACGCCGCCAGCAATACCCGGCCGCGCATGCTATCTAAACGCTGAATGCCTGCAACAATATACCACCACCATCTGTCTCTGCTTCCCACTTGCGCAATCGTCCTTTCACCTTGCGCGAGCAGGCGCATGATGGAGTCCCGACGGATACAGGTCAAGCATGCCGAAATAGACCCACTCCGCTTTCACTCCCCTTCACAGCAATTTGAAACACACAACCTCCCTACCATCCAGACGCGATCATCTTACACCTTTGCAATCCAAGGATGCATGGATACCAAGGAGTTAATCCTCGCCTTGCCCACACGGCACGATCTCCCTGTTTGGTAGGTATTGGTACGTTGATACCTCTAGGCTCTCCGCTCCCACCTACGACACCCCCGGCAGTGGCCCGTGTTGATGCTGGGTGCTTCCAAGACTATCTATCATCCTCACAGCCTTCTCCGCCATTTATTATTTCTCCGCCTCGCGCCTTTCCTTCCCCCACGCCCGCTTGTCATCCATCCTCCCCTCCTCCGTGCTCCAACGCCTGCCTCAGCGCTGCTCAGCCATACTCCACAACAGGGTCTGAACCTGCTCCACCGTCCAAGACGCCAACGTGGCGGCCTCCTGCGCGTTTACGCCCAGGTTTAGCTGCTCGCCCGGCCGCAACTTGGCCATCAGAAGATCCGCCGCGGCAGCCGCCTGCATGCTGCTAGCAAAGCCAGGACTGTAGTACATGACGCCGTTGATGCTGGGCACCTCAGCACGATAGCCCCCGCAAGGCAGTTGCGCAATATATCGGAAATACAGGGGCTGCTGCTGTTGCTGTTGCGCTTGCTGCTGTTGCTGTTGCGCTTGCTGCTGTTGCTGTTGCGCTTGCTGCTGTTGCTGCTGCGCTTGCTGCTGTTGCTGCTGCGCTTGCTGCTGCGGCTGCTGTTGCGCTTGCTGCTGCGGCTGCTGGTGCGCTTGCTGCTGCGGCTGCTGGTGCGCCTGTTGGTGCAACGGCGGCGACAATGTCGTTTGATGAGCTTGCTGCTGTTGCTGTTGTTGTTGCTGCTGCCGCCGCAGCTGCTGTTGTAGCTGATGTTGTGGGGCCGCTTTCCCCGACACTTCCTTCGTAACCTCCGGCGGCTGCGCCTCCACCTGCGCCTGAGGCTGTCGCTCCAATGGTTGCGCTCCCAACGCCGACGCAGGCTCCAGCAGCGCGGCCTTTAAGCAAACTGGCGCATTGCTAGCTGTAGTCGTCCGAGCTTCCATTCGCCCCTGATCCGCTGCCTGTGGCTCCCCACCTAGCGGTGCGGCCCCGCGTTGCAATCCGGACTGGTCAGACTGCTGTTGCTTTTGCTGCTGTTCCTGAAGAATACAAGAGGACGGGCCGGCCAACGGCTGCGCGGACTGCAGGAGAGGGGTTGCCGCTGTAGCGGCTGAGGCTGGGGCGGGCGCCGGGGTCTGGCCGCCGGACGGGCCGGCCACTCCAGTGCAAGAGTGCATGGCAGGAGCTGGAAACGCGGGCACACCAGGCGCTGCCGCCGCTGCAGACGCACACGCCTGAGGTTGGGATTGGCCAGGGATATGTGGCGCGGCAGCAGAGGTACCCGGGGCCTGCACCTGCATGACCCCAGCGCCTCCGGCGCCGTCACCAGCAGCAGCAGCGGGATTGTACGGACCGAACAACGGGTATGGAACATACCCAAATGGAGTCGGTACATAGCCGTACATGGCGTACGAGTTGCCGTACGGGGCTTGTCCTTTTCCGGCTTGGGCGGCGGATCCTTGACTTGGTATGCCCGGCTCTTTTCCAGTGAAGTGGTAGGTGGCCGGCGTGTAGGTGAGCTGGTAACCAAGGGGACAAGCAAGCACGGCCTGCACCTGCTGCTGCGGCAGCCCGGTAGCTGCCGCGGCAGTAGCTGATGATGCATTATCTGCTACTGCGGCCTTGATGGCCGAGTCGCCAGCGGCGATGGCATGTGGATGGTGACTGTAGTGAACCTGAGGCTGTTGATGCGATAGCACTTGCCGTTGCTGCCCAGCTGCTATGTCAGGCCCAGCGGCGGAAGCCGCCGCGTCCGCCGCCGTACCTGCCGACGGCGGCATGGTCCTGCCGAGAGTTTGCTTCTGAGACCGCTGCGCGCTCTGTGCGCTCTCTGACGGGCTGCTGCCATCGCCGCTGCCCCCACTGCCGCCACCGTTGCCGTACCAGTGCACCGTCGCGGGCGAGGCTCCAGAGGGACCCGTGCTATCCGGCCCAGCTGCTGTCGACAGCTGTGGTAACAGCAGGACATGCGGTAGCGGCACCGGGGGCGCCTGTACGTCAGCAGCCGCTGCGGCCTGCGTCCCTGCCGCTGCGCCACCGAGCGGGCAATCAGCTTGCATGGCCAGTGCATGGCCGCAGCCTTCCGCTGCCGCGGGTCGCTGCAGCCCAGCACTCGAGATAGCACCCGTGGATACCCCCTCCAAGAGCGACTGAGCTTGTGCCAAGTTTGTGGGCGCTAGCACAGCGCTTGAGCTGGGCTGGTACTCCTGCTTCGTAGGCTCAGGCAGCGCTGCAGCAGGAGCCTCGCCTGATTGTGCCTCAGTCTCTGCTCCCATATTTGCACATCCCGCGTCAGCGGCATCAGCCGAGGCCCCCGCCTCGCCCGCAGCCTCCTCAGCACCTGTCGTGTCAGCATCCACATCAGCATCTGCACGGCTGCCGCCGTCGCCGCCGCCTTCTTCCGCGCCCGGAAGGTTCACCCCCATGGCAAGAGCAAACGCATGTGAAGGGCCCTGCTCCGCCAGCTGCCGCTCGTACTCCTTGCGACCGATGGGGGTAAGGGTGTAGTGATACGGGTGCATGCGATAGCCCAGGCCGCCGCGCATCACCTTGCCCTGTTCTTCGAGCCTGCAGCAGCACCACGCCGCGCGCGCGGAAGGTAAATCCAGAAAGCCGCAATCCGTTGTTGATCGCTAGTCAGACTAATCAGTTGGGGACATCGCGCGGCTGCCCAAGTAGCTACCTCCCAAAATAGGTTGTCCGTATGTCCGTAAGTCCGCATGCGCGGAAAGTTTGCAGTTCCCTAAAAGAAAAGCTTCTCCCAGGGCCCTACGTGTCAAACAAAGTATACCACTCGCACAGCAACAAGACCGGTGAAAAAGCTCAGGTTAAAAACTCACAGACATAGACACTGCGCAGACCGCATGGCGAGCACTTACAATCTCAGGGCCTTGCTGGTGTCAGGATTGTTACCAAAGGTTGCGCGCAGCTGCTTCTCGTACACCATGGGGCTGTGACCAATCATAAGCAGGATAGCTCCGGCGTTGCGTATGACATTGGAGATCTGCGGCAGAATGTGCAGGGGGCCCCCGAGCCACGGTCATGCGACACACAAGACAGCAACTCCTTCGACAGAGGGGACAAAAAGAGAGCAGAATCGGCTCCGCCTTTCACGCGCGGCCCAGAGGAGCCATTTACCCCCCTTGGCGGCAACAGCCGAAAGTTAACAGAATTACCCGAATCCCATATGGCTGAACCTATTGGGTGCCACAATCACCGCTCGTAAGCGGAGGAAGGCTGGTAAGCGAGTACACAGACCAGTGACTCAATGGCCAGTATTTTCGTGCCCATAGTGCGAAAGTAGGGCTCTCTTACGGGCGCGCACCCCGAAATGAGTCGCAAGAAAACCCACGCGCACCTTGCTGGGGTGGCGGTTCGGCTTGCTTCTTGCCTTGATGACTCCCACACGACCCCGATGCTTAGGACGAGCTACCGCTGCGGCATAGCACGTCAAGGCGCCGCTGCCGACGCCACTATCAGCAGCAGCCGCGCCATCAGCGCCATGTGCCCCTGCCTCCAGTAGTACCGCCTTTGCTCCAACCAAATCGCCGCTTCCGGCCGACCCTTCCGCCCCATCGGCGTCATCCGTGTCCGAGGCATCCGTGCCAGCCGAGGATGGCGACGGCGGCTCCCGCAGCCGCTGCAGATGCCGCTGTGCACGCCGTGCGGCGGCGCCACAGGCGCCAGCGATCCGGCCTCGCGCCGATGATGGCCGCGGTCCCGCCGGTGCAGCCGCCTCAGAGCCCTGTGGACTCTCCTCTGGCAGCAACTGTGGTTGCTGCTCATCTTCATCAGCACCATCATGATCCAAGGCACCCAGAGAGCTGCCTTCGCGGCTCATCCTGTAGCGCTTGGGACTAGGTTCGTCTGACAGCTGCATGGGGGGCAGAACAGCAGTAGCAGACGCCACAAGCATGGCAGCGTCACCTCCTGCTCTACATGCCGCTGACGAGCGCTTGCGGCCACTGACTGCTTGGAGCTGCAATGGTAGCAGCTGCTGCGGCGGCGGTAAATAGAGCTGCTGCAGCTCCTGATGGGGACAATCTCGAAAAGCCATACCGCGTAAGTCTGAAATTATTCTCCCACTAGGCGAAATTTCGTCAACTGAAGGGTTTCGGAGCGGCGGCAGGCTGACCGCTGATCCCAGATTTGACGTTCTGCGTGCCCGACCGGTCACCAGGACCGTCGCGCAGTTGGTGGCCTTCAAGCCCGTGGACAACGGGCAACCTGCTGCTGTTGGCTGCACCGCCGCAGCCGTCATCGGTGCCGCACGGCGGGCCCGCTGAGATGCACCTCGGCGTCCCTGGAGTTGTGGGGCCCCAGGCTCCTCCCCAGCAGACGCGGCTCCCTCCGAAATCTTCGTCAGAGACCCCGGACGGCCAGCAGTGGTGGTGATGGCAGCCTTCTGCCGTTTCGCGCTGCCTTCAACACCGAGCGCCCGGCAGACGTTCACGTCTTGGCTGTCCTGCATCTGCTCTACCTTCACCTTAAATCCCCCGTCATCCATCCCCGGAGGCAACAGCTGCGATGGCTGCTGCGCTGACGGCTGCAGTTCCTGGTAGCATTGCATTGGCGCAGTTGGCGGTAGTGGCGGCGGCAGCGCCATCTCTTGCTCACGCGCCCGCGGGGGCCTGCCGCGGCGCTTCGTCTGGTGCGACGACTGCTGTTGAGATGCAAGCTCAGACACATGGTGCTGCACGGCCGACGGCGGCATGCCTGAGAGCGCGGCCCCAGCTTCGCTGTTCGCGGGATACAACGGCGGAAGGGCAGGCGAGCTTGCCACCGACACGTGCCGGCGGAGGCCCGTTACAATGGCCTCCTCAGCACCCTCGCGAACCTTTAGAGACGGCCGCCGCTGCCGGCCACTTGATGAGCGGCTCGCCAAAGCTGTACTGTCAGCTACCACCGTCGCTGGCTTCGCCGCTACCGGCTTTGCGGCTGGGGCCCCCCGGGCCTTCTCCACGGCCCCAACACCGCCGGTGGGTTGGGCTGATGGTGTCACAGCGCGAATAAAAATGTCCCCTTCAGCCGCCTCGGAAATAGATACAAGCTGCAAGCCACGCAGCGGCCGGGAGATGCCCTGCAACACAAGTGTGCTGCCGTCTGCTGATCGTACAAGCCTAAACTGCATCTTGCAGTCCTCGACCTCGCCATCAATCTCAATCTGCACGAGCGCATGCGTATCTGACATTCGTTTGGCAGCCAAGTCGGCTGGAAGTACAAGCTCCCTGTCAATAAGTCCACCGCCCGCTCCGGTGCTCGCGCCAGGTGCGACCCAAGTGACGACGCCACTCCTGCCAGCTGGTGCCGAAACCGACCCGTGCGTGGTCCACAAAGCCGGCAACGCGGCCGAAGCTACGGACGGCAACGGAGCATCACCCTGGCGACCGCCGTCACTTGAGAACACGGCAACTGCCTTGGGAACCGCGGCCAAGGATGTGGACTTAAGGATGGGAGCGATGGCTAAGTTCCGGAGCCGCTCATAGCTCATGTGGCTAGCGAGCGCGGCAGCCGACGCATCGCTGGAGGGCGCGGCGGCGTTGGGCGAAGAAGGCTGGCAGCTGCAGGGCAAGGCAGCACCCGAGACCGCCGCTGTGTCGGCAGGGTGGGCGCTGGCAGGTGACCCAGATTTCCTGAAAAACGTCTGTGGGGCAGAAAGGGAACGATGCGAACCAACTAAATAGCAGTCGAGCTTTGATCTGAGGTAGGAAAATGATAAAGCGTCTGGCTCCAAAATCTGATTTGAAGTGCAGCTGACAAATGTCAATACGCCATAGAGGAATATTAGCCAACAACACCCGTCGTCGCCCCCACTGCTCTAGGGCCAACATCCAACCGTCCAATTCATCTGGCCCAATAGCTTTCCCCGTATCGAAAGCTCAAGGCGCCTCCATATCCGAAAGACCACGCAAGATTTGCTTTGTGGAGCCGCCAGCCTGCCCCGATGCAAAATGACCCCGCCCCAACATCAAGTATTACCATCCCACCTGGCGCCCAGCAACAACCGAGCCGTGTAGAGATGCGTCCATCAAGTGTCTGTCCGCGGAAGTCGTGTCGAGCTGCTCAGGGTCCAGGTGGCAAGGACAGAACGCGTAACCACAACAGTATGCATGCGCTGTTGCCGCGGAAAGCGCAGGGACCGCCCCCGAAGCGCTGATGGCTGCAACGGCGCCAACGGATACAGCACTTTCCGCTGCTGCAGCCCTAATCGCAACTGCCTCAACCGCAGGGGTAGCAGCCGGGACAGGCTTTGCGACAGCTGAGCAGCTGGCCTGAGCATCAATGGATCTCCCTGCAGCTGATGTGACGGTGGCCTTCTCATCTGGGTCGCTTGCTGCGTCGCCTTGGGAATGGCTGTCAGTGCTAGCACCGGCATCTACGTCGGTCGCAGTGGCAGCGACGGAGCGCGTCCCTGCGCGCGCTGAGGTGCCCTCGCTACTGCTGCCGCTCAGCAGTCCGCCGTCCGCCGCGGCCCCCGCAAGTACGGACACCTCCGGCGCAACCATTCCAGCATCGCTTACATCAGGGCTTGCGACTCCAGAGGAAGGCAGAGGAGCACCAGGGGCAAGTGCCGGGGCCGTGACCGAAGCCTCCAAGGCGCGCGCTTGAGTCCATGGAAGGTCCCCCAAGCAAATATGAATGTCGATGCTCCCACGTCGCTTTACATCAACCAAATGCAAGTTTTGGAACTTGGCTGCAGCGCCGGGCTGGCCCAAGCGCGCAACAAAACCCAGCTGCGTGGAAAGGAAAACAGAGGCGCATTCATCGGGGAAGCCGAAGTAGACTATCTGGGTCTGTCTTTTGAGGAACAGCTAATCCTGACTTTGCAGTGTTCTTAACGAGTAAGGTGCAACAGACAGCGCGCGTGTAAGGTGAATGCCACGAAAGGGCGCCGCTGTTCCGTGTCGAGATGCGCGCCATGTCCAAAGCCAAAAGCCCTCTCATTATCCATACCTTCGGCACCAACTGCATGACAGCCGCATATTTCATCATGTCACGTTTGCCATTGACTTCAACTGTGAGCGACACGGGTTGGTGTGGTTGCCAGGTCAAGCCTTCGCGAAGGTACAGCTCTTTCGGTATGATCAACGGCGTCCAGGTTCTTTCAATAGGTGCTGGTGCTTGCAACGAAGCATCCAGTCGCGGGTCGGCCGTCTGTGGGCAGGCAAGTGCAAGCGCGGGTAAAAGGCCGACCTTCCGCAAAAGGGTAGTAGTAGCGCTCATTCTGGCTTTAATATCACAAGTGGGTCAATAACACAAACCTGGCCTGTTGCCGCCCTGAAGTCAAGCTGCGGGGCCGCCATTCAAGACCCCGAGTGTCGGAGCCGGGCCAGGGCACGTCGCCTAAAGCCACTTGGGTCGGCTCGCGAAACAACTTAGCCAGTCCACAAGTGAGTAAGGTAACAGTATGCGGACTCGGCGCGGCAATAAGCGCGGGAGGCAGGTTTCGCGGGAGGAGCTGACCAACTGGGCTTTGCTTGTGAATGACAAGGATAATGACGCTTCGATAATACGATCCAAAATATTTTCAAGAACACGCAACAAAAGCGAACCGCGCAACTATATGTCCTTTGTCCTCAGCAGATGGCGGTAACAGGGTCCCAGGACTACCTAAGCCGAGAAAACATCAATGTGGTACACAGACCTGTTTGCGCGCAATGTGCCTGAATGACGATCGGGGCCCAGTTGCAAACAGTTCCGCGTATCCGCATTAATACGACAACGGTACAGGTGTGTGTTCGTCGACAAAGGGAGCACTTAGGCTTACAGGTACATCAGCATTACCAGCTCATTTGTTTGATTTGCCACAGGGCGTGAACATTGTAGGAGCATTGAAGTTACCATTCGACCTCTGAGCATCTTCACCGAAAATTGGGGCCCTCGCTAGGACCCTTGTCCTGAAGCGTAGACTCAATAATGTTTATACCTATTATCTACTCAACTTTCACTTGCCCAGATGAATGGGTTCTCCTTTGGTAAAGGGAGGTTTTCGGAGTCAACTGCCAAAGTTTGAGAAGCCAGAATTCAAAAGTTAACGAGTCAAAAAGGAAGGACAAGCTTTCCATATTGCGTTAATGCACATGATGCAAAACCCTGGTGTAGACCCATGGACCTGTTCGGGAGTTTACAAGTGGGACTTCAGCCCGGACTATTCGAATGCTTTCTGTCTTCCTCACAGACATCCGAGGCGATGAAAATGTATAGTCATCCTATAGGTAGGACTATGCAGCAAGGACTGTTAGCTGGGAAGGCTCCAGAATGAAGATCGGTGGTGCGAATCCCCCAGGCGCACGACGACAGACGACGACTAGCCTATGTCTGACTCATAAAGACGTCCTGCTGCCTTTTGTTTCAACCCCGTGGCGCGCTATGCACACGAGTGTCATTTCCACTTTCTCGTCCTGCAGTGCTGTCTCACTTGCCTTTCCTTTATGTCCGGCAACTGCGCTGATATGCGGTTTGTTCTCTGCCTTGCTGTGCACGCAAATTTTCTACACAAGCTAGGCGAAATTCCCATTCAAAATCCTTTTGATTGAGTTGTCTTTTACGCAGGCTTTATAAATATGAGGCCATTGCCCTATTCGGACAACTTTCAGTGAATCACTCCATATGCTCCCAAGACAAACTTAAGGTTTGGACTTAGGAGAAGTCAAGGGCTCACTCATGGATGCTCCATTTTGCAGGTAAAAATTGGGTGTCGGCGACTGAAAGTTATGCTGGTACACGTTCACGTCAACCAAAGTCCAGTAACTAGTACAGGAACACAATAACATACGTAACAGCTGCACCAACACGGTCGATAAACCATAAAACGGTGCAATGCCGTACACATAATGCTTTCACAATGTCGCTGAACGAACTGTTCAAGCGGCTAAGCAATGCTAGAGAAATGCGACATGTTCATATGAATTTATTTTGGAGAGTCAGGGGTAGTAGAGAAGAAAACCGATTCTAAGCTTGACCGATTTTCTGGTCCGCTTACTCCTTCGGTCATGTAACTGCCAAGATGAGTTCTGCTCAAATCTTATCAACATTCCAGTCAACATTTCCGGGGTTGTATAAGCCACCTGCACAGAGGGAAAATGAGGAGCGAGAGCAGGAAGCGGGAGGAGCGTCTGAGGCAGCCCCAAGTGAAGAACATGATTCTTACAATGCTCGAATTGCGGGAATCACGAGCAAGGTACGCAGAAGCTGGTGCATGTTGTCCCAGCCCACAGGAAGTTAGGCTTGCTTTTAGAAGCAAGGCGGCCTGTTCGAGTTAAGGAGTCATCATTTTGGCTTTGTCGCTGCTGACTGCAACGGGGGGTCGCAGTTTGAGCGGTTGCGAGCGTCCGCGGACGAGATGGAGCAGTACTTGCGGACGGCAGCAGAAGAGGCGAAGGAGGCAGAGGCGCGGGCACTTGCAAAAGCAGACGAAGGTGGGGGCGGCATGGCTGGGGACGGAGGAACGGCGGCTAACTGCTGTCGAGAGTCCTGAAGAAACCCAGCTTGTCCACAGAACTGAGGGTCCCCGCACATAGGCCAGGGCAGCATCGTCCTGGCAAAGGGCAAGGGTCATCCCTAAAAATGCGACCTGCTCCCTGGATCGTAATTCCCGGGATGGCAGCCAGCGGGCTGCGACACTATGGGTACCCCTGCTGTAGTCCTGGTTCTGACACCAGTATCCTAGTCTTGCGCTCAGGTTAGCCGCAAACCGATTGTGCTTTAGTACGGGAGGCCGTTGCAGCGCCAGGCAGCTGTGTCCCCAATGCAGCACCTCCTAGCAGGAGGACCTACAGCCCTCAGCATGGGCCATACCTATGTTGGCCGATGTAACATGTATGTCATCCAGCCAACGAGCTTTAGCCTGGGTGACCCTTCTGTTGCACTTTTTGGTTCGTCCTATGCTGGGTGAGGATGCGGCTCTGGGCTCATGGACACAGAATTGGAACCAGCCAAGTGCTCAGCAGTTTGTGACGCGTGTCACAAACTTTGGGTTATCGAACTGTCTATTGGCCAAACTCGTGTCGTTCCCGTGTGTGCAATAACGTGCATGTTTGCCGCATCTATCCCGAAATTGAGGGTCACAATAACACCAGGCACAACTGGGATTGGGTCACAGTGCCGCTCTCGATATGGCCTGCACCTGGACAAAAGGGACAACTTACGTGGCCGCAGGCTGAAGAGCGGGGAAACCCCGGGAAACCCCGAGTTTAAAATGAAAACGCAGCTTCATGGGGGTTGGGGGGATCGGGCTGCTGTAGCCGATAACTAGCATCGCCTACGCCGCCGCCGTGGGAATCCGCTTAGGGGCCCCCATATGTGGGGAGATGTAAACATTGTTCGCCGCGAGGGGCTAAGCCTTAGACAGCAGTGCCACGCAGAGCCAAATGCGTGACCGCGTGCCTTTCCCCGACCTTTCACGTTGCTCACGTTCCTCCTCCTCAGTCCCCAGTATTACCGCAAAAAAAATCATCATCACAGGCGGCGTATGTGCCTTTCGTATTTTAACCTTGCCCTGGGATCTTTTCCTTATCCCGGGTGCGCATATACATGTGCAGAGTTCACTCCCGCCTGGCGCAACGTGGGGCTGCCTCTGAAGCCATCTCACCTGCAGCTGGATCATGGCGCCATGGCGGGGGCACGGCTGGTCAACCCTAAGGCCATTGTGCAGGTGCGGTACGGTGCGCTGGTTCCGACACGGCATGGTCACAAATAGTTAGGGTGCTGTGGCACGTGAGGCTTGAGGTAGCCCATAAGGGCAGGTGGAAGAGGGTACCATATGGCTTTAAGCAGATGCCTCCTTCATGTCGAGTTACGCACATGGAGATAGGGTAAGACTAGCAGAAGGCCCCTGACGAAAGCGTGATGTGCATCGTGCCGGCGCGACGCCTGCCTAATCTATGACCGGGCATCCTGCGGCCGCGTCTTCGGCCATTCACACGGGTGCAGGAGTACCAAGCCATCAAAGGGCGGGAGGTGCTTAACCCGCCGCGGATTGCCGAGTACGCTGACACGTCTGCCAAGCCAAATTACCTGAAAGCAACACAAACCCTCGAGGTACGCCCCAGGCCAGGAGGCCCGTGAACAAGGGTATTGGGTGGGATTGACGCAGCGGCGGCGTACTTTGCCAGGCCAGCTGCTTGGGGACCCCCTTTCCGCCAATGGCCGGTCCACGTGGGGACCGGTACGAACCCCTCTTCCTTTCCCTCTTCCTGGTTACGGAACCGATTCACGGGCTTGTACTCGTCCTCGGCTATGCGCTGATCTGTCAGTCCTTTGTGCTGGGTTTTACCTAGCCCGCCCTGCCCCTGCTCCCCACCCGACGCGCCTCTGTCCGGATCCCCCAGATCCGCAAAACCCGCACGCTGTCTCCGGAGCGCCTGGTGCGTGTTCAGCAGCTATCCAATAAGGCCCTCACCTGGCACACTCTAACGGCGGAGGAGGTGGCGGCCAAGATTGAGGAGGCGGAGGAGCGGCGGCGACAGCTCTCGCTCAAAATGCCGCGGGCGCAATTCGAAAAGGAGCAAAAGTGAGGGAGGGGAGGCTGCCTGCCAGAGGCTCGGGTCATTTCTCTAGGGGCGGCAGGGTTGTGGGGATAGGGAGAGCATTAGCGAAAACGAGAGAGAGGGGAATAGAAGGGGGCTTTCTAGCCTGCATTCCAGCCTTCCACCATTCCGTCCCTTTCCCTTTTTCTCTCCGCACTCTTCAATCCCGCCTATCCTCGGATCCATTTATCCCAGGGTCCTATTTTAACCCCCGGATCGCCTCGTCCCTCCCTTTCCCTTTCCCCCCGTCATGGTATCGCCATGGCAGGATCATCCAGGCCATGCACCATAAGCTTACGTTTCTGCGCAATCCGCGTCACCCGCTCCCACCCGCCGTGCGCAACCTACTGGACCTTAAACCCGACACGCATCGGTGGGTGGGACCGCGGGCTGAGGTCCGCATGGGGGTGTCGCCGCCCATCAAGTCCAACATGACTGCCCGTGAGGACGCCATCTTCGTGGTGGAGCCCGAGGAGGTCATCTTTACCGACTACGGTGCGTTGCTTTGCGATCAGTCTGTGCGTTGCGTTGCGTACCACTGCACAGCGCAGAGCGCAGATTTTCTTGAAGTGCGGTGGGCGCCTTGACAGTCAGCAGGCTCGCCCGCTCCAACTTCAAGTGTTTCCACCTTCATGTTAACACGAACTTACCTCGCAAACAACACACCCTCCACAGCTCTGGCATCACAGTCCAGTTGGGCGTCTTGGCTGTCACCCCCGGTCCTATCCAGCCGGTCCTATCCAGCCGGCCCTATCCCCGTTTTTAATCCATTTACATCCATTTATAGCAATTACATGCTCCACAACAACACCGCTCTGCATGGTTTCATGAACACTTCCCCGCCTGGCCTGAACCGGCCTGGTCCTCCTCCCTTGCAGTGGTGGGTCGTACCTACGAAAAGGTGGTCCGTGTGCGCAACGTGACGGGCGTGTCACGTGCGCTGCGCGTCTTTCCGCCCGCCTCCCAATACTTCCACGTCTCGTTGCCTCGCTTCCCCGGGGAGGTGGGTCTGCTGGCGCCGGGCATGGCAGCGGAGCTCACGTTGCGCTTCTGCCCTGATTCCCTGGGGGACTACGAGGACGCCATTTCGGTGGACACCACGGGGCGGCGGCTGACGGTGCCGCTGAGGGCGCGGAGGCCGCCGCCGTCGCTGACGCTGCCGGAGGTGCGCGGAGGCGGGGTTGTTATTTGAAGTTAGGAAAGAGAAAGGACGCGGACTCAGCGGTATATTAGCAATGGGAAAAGGAAAACCACGGACTCGGGGCATCGGGATTTCTGGCAATGCAGAAAGATGGCAAGAGGGAGCAGCACTGACAGGGGTTGAGGAAGGGGACACCGGGGATGGGAGAAAGGAAGGGAAAACGAGACCTGGTGGTAGGGGTGGTTTTAGAAGGACTGCCGATGCTTGAGGAGAGCTTGGCGGGGATGGCTTTGGGAGGAGTGGAATCGGAGTAAGGGCTGATGGTCGGTGTGAGGTGGCGTGAGCCGCGGGATTCCCCTCCCTACTCCCCTTGAGCTGCACCCTTTTCGACTGGAGCGTTCTTGCTTTCGGAGGCCCGTGTGGGCCGGTTATGTGTCTATCCTTACTCCTTCCACGTGCACCACGCCGCGCGCCTGCAGGAATTCGATATGGGCCAGGTGGTAATTGGCAACATCAAGACGGAGCAGATCTCATTCAGGAATCTGGGCGGCCCGGGCCGGTTCCGGATCGTGCCGGAGGCGGACTGGCCAGATTTCGCACAGGACGCACCCACGGATCGTGCCGTCATGGGGCCCTTTAAGGTAGGCGGAGGCCAAGGGACACGGGTCCAGTTTGTTAGGGGACGTGCAATGCTACATAAGCCTACATAAGCGGAAAACCATTCTGTGCTGCTGCGGGCCCTTGGGGCCGTGTGAGCATGGGGATACTCAGGGTGGGTTGGGATGGAGCAGGATGCAGCAATTGGATATGGCAGATGGCACAGCGCTGGAACAAGCAAAATACTTGCACGAGTTTCATCCTCCATGCATGGAAAACTGCCACGCGGCTTGCTTTCTTATCGTTTTTGTTGCTGTTGTTGTTGCCTTGGTCGCCGCCGCCGCTGCAGATCTGGCCGCTGTACTTTGAGATGGCATCAAATGAGGAGATCGCAATAAATGTGTCGTACGAACCCATTGAGTGGGGCAGCAATGACGAGCGGCTGGTGATCGTGTGCGACAACTGCCAGGTGCGTCGGTTTCGGTGCCGGGGTTCTGGAAGCGCAGCGCCACTAATTCCGTGCCTCGATAACATTGCTGCCTACTTCGAAGAGGCCACGCATAGCACCCCATATGCTCTTCCCCGCCTTCCCCACAACACGGCAACCCCAGGTCAAGACGTTCACGCTGCTGGGCAACGGCGTGTCGGTGGATGTGTTGCTCCACTCGGTCGATGGCCGCATGCTGGAGCCCCGCGAGCTGGACCTGCCGCTGTGGTTCGGCGAGGTGGCGCCGCGGTCGGGCTTCGCTAAGACTGTGTCCGTGCGCAACACCACCAAGCTGCCGTTTGCATTTGAATGGTCGCTCACCAAGTGAGATCTGCGTTGGAGGCAGGAAAGGATCTGGTTCGCGGACGAGGCCCGCGAACTTGAGGTCCCTCGTCGGCGGGACAAGCGGAGGGAGGGGAGGGGAGGGATCGGCCGTGCTTCGTGGGGTTGGAAATGCCTGTAGAGATCGCCGCTGCCGCCTCCATTACGTCCACCCAAGCCGCAAGCTGTGTCAAGCAACGCCTGCCCCTCGTTGCTTCACATCTTAATCGGGATGTTTTGCACCACTCCACACATGCCTTTCTTCACACCATGCCTCCACGCATGCCTTTCTTCATACCATGGGTTCTTGACCCAGCAGTACACTGCTTCACGCACCACGGTACGCTCCGCTGTGTTTGCGCACAGGTACCCGCAGGTACAGCACAAGCGCCGTGCTAATGAGCCGCTGCAAACGGAGCAGCAGTACGACGAGGAGCAGGACGATGATGCCCACGTGCTGCTAGTGGACAACAAGTCCATGCGGGGCAGCAGTCCACGGCGCCAACAGCCACAACCGCAGCAACAACAACAGCCGCCGCCGCCGCAGCAGCAGCAGCCGCAATCACCGCAGCGGCAGCCGCAGCGGCAGCTGTCTAGGAATTCACGAAGTGGGTGCGGCTCCGCCGCAGCCGCTGGTGCCGGCTCCACCGCCGCCGCCATCTTGGGCGCCGCACCATCGCCGGGTGCGCAGTCTGTTTCACCGACACGGCCGCTGCTGCTCCCCGGAGCGGAGACGGCGGGGACACCGTGGGGCATTATCAGCGGCAGCGGCGCACACGGGCCTGACCCGCTAGCGCTGGGTGCGGTCGTGGAGCGCGTGTTTTCGGTGGTCCCGGAGCGGGGTGTGCTGCAGCCGGGCGAGGTGATGGAGTTCCAGTTCACATTCACACCACCGGGATGCCAACGGTGAGATTGACATCGCGGAGAATGATAACCGCACGGCGGTCGCCTACCTGATTCGGCGATTCCCCTCTGCCCTCTCCACCTCCCCTTTCACGTACGGTCGTAAAGGCATCCGCTGGCGGCCAGCCGCTGTTCTTTCTCCCACCAGTAGGCCTCTGATCACGGCACGCATTAAAACAGACCCATAGCCTACACGCGGCTGCTGCCCCCTCCCATAACGCTCCCTTCACTTGCCTTCTCCCCCGTTGATCCTGTTCAACCTCATTGCACAACACCAGTGAAGGTGGGCCTCGTCCCCATCCACAGACAGGATCCACGATGCTCTTCCCCATTAACAAATTCAACTCCACATGGGCCCGCTGCAGTTACGAGCGCTGGGCTCAGCTTCGAGTGGACCGCACACCCATCGCCTCGCTGGATGGCAGCTCCATGCCGCGCGGCTCCGGAGCCGGAGCCGGCAGCTCCCACGCCGCCCTGGCCGCTGCGGCGCAGTGCGATGTGCTGGTGGCGGAGGTGGGGCTGGAGGGCTTGGGCTGTCTGGTGCAGCTGGAGGCTGTGCCACGTTTGCTGGTGCTGCCCGGCGCGCTCATGCCCAAGCAGAGGGTGGTGCGCAGGGTCCAGCTGCGGAATCCCACGCGTGGTGCCGTGGACATCCGAGTGACCGGTGAGCGTGGCCGTGTGAGGCATACATACGACCGTACCCGTGCGCGAGCGTGGTCGTGTGCGCGTGCTGGAAAGTCTCTGCACTTCTTTAGGCATCTGTTGGGGTGTGGTGGTTCAGTCGTTGGTGGCGGGTCTGAGCACAAGGCTTTGGATTACAACTACGGGGCTTCCGGGGCGCTGTGGCATGTGTGGATTTTACCGTTGCGCGTGCCGCCCTGGGGGCCTGCGGTGCTGCTGTTTCCTTACCTTCCTCCCTCCGCGCCGCCCTAACCTGCCCTCCGCTGCGCAGCCGACTACCCTGGCATTGCCATTCAGCCCCCTGCACTCACCGTGCCCGGCTTGGGAACCGCTGCCCTGGACGTAGCGCTTACGGCGCCGGAGCAGCCGGGGCCGCTGCGTGCGCGTGTAGTGATAGCCGTGGATCATAATCACGGCCCGCCTGTGCAGCTGGAGGTGCGGGGCACCGTGGGGGTGACGCATGCGTCGCTGATGGCGTCGCGGCTGGACTTCGGGCTGGTGCGGCTCAATGGACGAGGCGAGCGGATGCTGGTGATACGCAACCGCAGCGCTACTAGCACGACGCCGTGGAGCATGCGGGAGCTGACGCCAGCGGTTATTGCCGCGGTAAGAGCCTGAAGGGGTATAAGGGGATTGGTACTGGGATTCGCTGTTGGGGATGCATGATGGTAAAACATGGTACGCACGTGACCGCACACACCATCGCGCAATCATCACGCGGGTTGTGATAAGGGCTGAGCTGCGAGGCAGGGTAGACTGCCAGAGCATTATGCGCTACTATCTTTCGTAATGGTCACATTCGAATGCCGGTCTGGTAATGGCCAAACGGCCACAACATGGCTGTATTGTGTGTTGGTACATGTGTAACTGTTTCTTGTCCAGCACCCTCCCATGCAACTGGCGTGCAGACACAGACACGGGCCGACACTCACGCTTCCCAAACCCACAACACACGTCCGTACACTCACCCGCCGCGCCCCTCAGGAGAAGGCCAAGCTGCTCCGTGCACAGCTGCTGCAGTCCAGTCGTATGTTGGACCCCGTGGCGGCGGCAGCTGCCATCGCGCAGATACAGGAAGAGGAGGAAGAACAGCAACGTCAACACACGCAACACCACAAGCAGCAGGAGGAGGGGCAGGCGCCCGTGCGGGAAGCTTGGCCTGCCCTAGAGCCAGGTGACGACACCCCATCCAAGCGCCACGAGCACGGCCACGGCCATGGGTCGAAGCAACCTCATGCCAACCATCACAACCACGTCCAGCACCACAACCACGAAACCCAGGAGGATAGAGACCGTCGAGTCTCTGTGGACGAGCGGCGGGCCATGTTCACCGCAGGGCGCGCCGCGCGCAGGTCCTCTGACGAGCCATCCCTGGCGCCTACCTCCACCTACATGACGTTTGAGCCCAGCAGCGGCGTGTTGGCGCCTGGGGAGGAGCTGGCCGTGCGGGTTACAGTACACGGCCTGACAGACGGCCGCAGCCGGTCCATCGTGCAGCTCCGCTCGGGTGTGGGTCTCGGGCGCATGGAGTGTATTGAGGCGTTTGTATGCGTGGTGACGCCCAAGTGTGTCATCGACCGGCCAGTGCTGGACTTGGGCGTGACCTTTGTGGGGGTGCAGGTACGGCAATTGCTGACGATGCGCAATCTGAGTTTGCTGCCCCTGGAGTTCCGGTGGAGCAGCGCGAGCGCGGACGAGCCGGATGGGGCGCTTGCGGACTTGAGGGTGAAGCCGGAGAAGGGGCAGCTGGCGCCTGGGGAGGAGGTGGAGCTGCAGGTGGGTGTGGGGGGGGGGAGAACGAGAAGGGAGGAAGGATGTTGGCCCGTTGGGGAAGGAAACAGCAGGCTTAGTAGGGGGCAGGGGGGTCACGTGTGAGGTGAATCTGGAGGGCCTAGACTCGCACCAGTACTGGCCCGAGGGGACTCGAAGGGGGCCGCCAAGGGTGTGCGTGTGAGAGGGGGATAGACGGAGAGGTGTAAGAAGTAGCCGGACGTTTCCTGGTAATGGTGAAGTCGATGAATGACGATGAATTGTTTTGCATCGCAGGTCCGCTACACGCCACGGGCAGTTGGACAGTCCGTGATGTACGGGGTCTGCGAGCTGGACGGCGCGCCGCAGCCGCTGGGCTTCCGTGTCGTATCTGCCATCCACGGCCTGGACGTGACGTATGACTTGCTAACCCAGGAGGAATACGAGGAAATGGGCGCCCCGCCAACTTCGTCGTCTCCGGCAGCGGCAGCCACTTCAATTCCTGGCGTGGAGGCCTCCAGCGTCAGCTCCGTGGACGGTGGCAGCTACTTCCTGCGGCAACAAACGACGCCGCTGGCGACGTCATACTTCCGCCGCGGCCGCAACGGTCGGCCGGAGCTGGACGTTGGGATACTTCAAGGAATGCCGCACCTGCCGCCGGAAATCCTTGCGCGCATTGCCTCCGGCGCCGCCGCGAGCACCACCACCACCGCTGCCTCCAGCGGCGACGCCGCCGCTGCAAGCGCCGCATCAGGTGCGGCATCAGCGGCGTGGCCGCTGCCAACACCTCAGCGGCACCTCGTGGCCGACTTCGGCAAGGCGGTGCCTCTTGGAGAGACGCGGCAGATGTACCTGGTGCTCACCAACCGCACGGCAATGCACACCAGCATACGAACATGGTTGGATCGCTTCGGAGTGGACGACGCGTCTAAGTTCACTAAGAAGCGCAACAGCAGCAAGTCGGAGGGCGGCGGGAACGAGCGGCGGCCGCGCGATACATCGTATATGTCAACAGATTCGGAGGCCCCGGCCTTAAAGGACTCGGGTGGGTCTGTCCATGCGCGTCTTACTCCGTCTGCATACGTATGTAAGAATGCACATGTACATGCAAGTTGTGGATATGCAAGTTGTGGGAAGAAAGACCGATGGGCGACAGCCATTCGTATCCGAAGCGCAGAAGCCACACAAATTGTGTTGCTACCCACACGGTGTTGTTTGCCTGGATGATAGGTCGCAGATGCACACGCTGCACACACCCCTTTCCCCACATAACCTACTGAGCATTCCAATCCCCATCCCAAGTTATTCCAACGCTCAAAACTTTCGCGTTTCTGGACGGTGCTTCTGAGTTCGCCGCCTTGCTGCTACCGCCGCCGCCGCCGCGTTCTTTGTTGCTCGCCGCAGCTCCCAAGATCCGCACCTCCAAGTACACCCCCGTCAAGCTCAGCAACGAGGCGGAGAAGCGGTCGCCTTTCCGCTGCGCCAAGGGCAATGAAATGATGTCCAACCGGCGACTGCAGGAGGAGGCGGAACAGGTGCGGGTGCGTGCATGAGTGTGCACCCCGGTGTGCGCGGCGCCGCCTGCCCTACGAACTGAACCGCACGTGTACAGGAGCAAGCACGCGTAATGGGGTTTCTGTCCTTGATCGCCTTCTTGATTAACTTGCCCTCCCGCGGTATCGCCAGTATTATCCATTATGTACCAAAACCAAAACTCGCCGTAGCGCAATACGTTAAGGTCCACCGGTCAGAGCCACGAAAGCGCTAGGTGAGCCATGTAAACCCAGCAGCAATCCTATCTCTCCCTCTCACGACGTCATACCCACCGCCCCAACCCACTTCATTCCGCTTCACTCCACTCGACGCCGTCCTGACCTACACTCCGACTTACAGGCTCTGGGCAACAAGGGTCTCGCTGTATCGGTGATACCCCCGGAGACCACCCTGGCTCCCTGGACTCGCAAGGTGCTGGCAATCAGCTGCTTCAACGACATGTGTGGAGCCTACATGGATATGCTGCATGTCAAGGTAAAAGCACCGACGACCTCGGGATGGCCGCGGCGGCCGCATAGTAGAGGGCATAGTAGAGGAGGGAAAGGGGAAAGGCTGCGGCTGCTAACTCCATTCCAGCTAGCAACACACACCAGGGCCAGCAAGCAGCCGAAGCCACGGGTTGCGTACGGGAGGAGTTTTGGGCGGGTTGGTCTGTTGCATGGGGTTGAAGTCTCGCGAGAAACCCTTGGTCTAGGTTCCACCAACTCTGGATTCTTTTGTGTTGCATCCTCTCGCGTGTGACAGGCACCCGCCGGCCGCTTTCCACTCAATCGCTCCGCTTGTCCGCGGGTTTTCATTCCCTAACCGCCTTTCCCCGCACCCACCCACCCACCCACGCTGCCCGAACCCCGCCAGGTTGGCGACCTAGCCACCCGGGACATCCCCGTACTGGTTGGCGTGGCGGGTACCCCGCTTGTTGTTCAGCGCGAGAGGGTCCTGGTGCGGGGTCTGCGGGACAAGGCCACCTGGCGCACGTCCCTGGCCTGGGGACATGTGCCGCTGGGGGTGCAGCAGTCACGGACCTTTCACGTCTTCAACACCGGCTCCCTAGGTGAGTCCTCTATCGGGCCTGTTTTGCGCGGAGTTTCCGGGGCCGAGGCTTTTAACTAGCTCGGAAATGCGGGACGGGTGCTCGCGGGTGCTAGCACATGGTACCATCGTGTGGTCATTCGGAGGGTAGGAACGGGGAGCAGGCCAGTGGAGAACCTGGGGTGGAAATCTAGAGTGGGGCCTAATCCCTGTAAACCACTACGCTATGGTCCTAGCTTGAGCCCCAGTAGTAGTTTTCCTTCTTAACCCTACACCCTATCACGTCGCTGCGCTCTGGGTTGACAGACATGCATCTGAGCTGGGAGCTGCGCCGCTTCCGCGAATACATCGACCTGGACGCCTTTCCTCCCACCACCGACGTGGGCACCGGCGGCACCGGCTACCACGACAGCCTGTGGGGCGGGCCGGGTCGCCTCCGGGACACACGCGCGCAGTACAAGCTCTTCGACGTGACCATCACCCCCGACGAGCGACAGGGTGTCGTGCGGGTCACTGCGGTGCGCCACGCCGACCCCGTGCCGTTGGAAGAAGGGCCTTTCACAGTGGAACCGCGCGAGCAAGTCATTCGCGGCGGCGGCTCGGCTGCTTTCACCGTCTCCTTTAGCAGCTCCACGCCGCGTGCGCACGCGGGATACCTCCATGGCGCCTGTCGCGTGTATAGTGACCCCGACGCGCCGCTGACGCTGAGGCTGTGGCCCACTGGCGACGCTGCCGATGGCATCGGCGCGATGCTGTCGGGTACGTTCCATCCGCACGCCGGCGCGCCGCCGACGCCGCTGAAGCCGTTGCAGGTAGACCTCAGTGCCGCATCGATGCCGGCGCATCTGGAGCCGGATGGTCTATCGGAGCTAAACTGGACTGTGGCATCTATCCACCAGCCGGCCAGCCACCCCAGCTTCGTGCACTTGGTGACGCTGAGCAACACACAGGAGTGCCCGCAGGCGAGTGAGGGGCATGTCCGGGGGAGCGCTGGAGATCCGGGGGGCCCCATGGAAGCGGAGGAAAGGGAATCGGACGAGTGCGAGTATGATGGCCCGGACGCAATGCTTGGGCATTGACAAGGACAAGCGTGTGTGGAAATGCCGTCTCGCTGCTAAGGCGTGTCTCATCCCACATCCGACCTGCCATGACCTACCGATTTCTCCCTCCATAGATGACTTCTATCGGCTGTTCCTTCAACGCCCCTTCTCACGCCCTACACCATCTCTCTCCACATCCACATCCACGCTGCATTCGCAGGTGTTTAGCATGGACGTGGAGGGTCCCTGGGACCTTGTGTCCGCAGTGCCCTCAGTGCCGCAAGACCCCATCATCTACAAGGGCACCAGCACTTTGCTGGGACCGGCGGCGGCGACCGGGCGCCTGGGCAAGAACGCAACAGGTGAGTGGCGCCGCAGGAAGGGCACTACGAAACACGCAAGCAGACCGCATGTTACTGGGAATAGGAACAAGCTTTTAGCGGAGAAATGGATAGGAGGGGTGGGTGGGGGAGTACCGTACCTGCTGTCTTCTCCTGCAATCATTTCCCCGTTGATGATGTATGTTCTCGTGTCACCATTGTCCTTGCCGTTGCCGCTGCAATCCCTACGTCCCGTAGAAGGCGGCCAGATCTTTCTGCCTCCACGCGAGAGCGTGGACGTCACGCTGCGCTACGTGCCCGGGAAGGGCGACCTGGAAGCGCTGCCGGTGCGGTTCGCGGCCATGCAGGTGAGAAGCGTTGGCGGCCGGCGAAGGGAGGGACAGGGAGACGCATACGTGGCACAGCAACATGTCGTAGGCGCAGAAGGGTGTTGTTAAGTGGATGATAGCCCCTGTCGCTCAGGTTACATGTGGGAAAGCGTGGGAAAGCGTGGAGAGTAAGGAGGGTAAGGGGCAGGGCGGTAGGGATGAAAGGGGGTATAATCGAAACGGACAGCGACCCAGCCGCCAGCCGCATCAGGCCCACGACTCGCAGATGGGGTATGTCCGTCTGTTTCAAGCCAACGCCATATCCATGCCAGGCCCAAACCTTCTAAACTTCTGAAGCTCTAAGGTTTGCACCCCTTAAACTCATCACCGCTACATTCATTTCTCAGGCTCGGCAACGCATGGTGGAGACCACCACCGATTACAAGAACACGGGTGCGCTGTCCATCAACTTTGCCAACGGCGACAGCCAGCGCCTGCCGCTGGTGGCAGAGATGCTGCACCCGCGTCTGGAGGTCAAGCCGCGCCGACTCAACTTCGGCAAGGTTCACCTACAATCACCCAAGGAGTTGCTAGTGGAGCTGTCCAACCCTACCAACGTGGATGCCGCCTGGGCTGTTACAGTGGAGGGAGCCAAGCCGCGATTCCCAACCCTGCCCGGCGCGGGTGCCGCTGCCAGCGCCAGCGCGCAGGCTGAAGTGACGGCGGCGGCGGCGGCCGCGGCGGCCGGGCCGACTCCGGACGGCGTCCCTGCACAGAGCAGATCGAGCTCGCAAGGGTCTTTGAACCGCCAAACGGCATCAGCGTCGGGCGCGGCGGCAGCGACGCCACCGGCAGGGGTCGCCTCCGGCACTCCCGCCTCGTTGGCACGATCAAGCACGGCGGAGCGTATGGGAACCGCCGGGGTTCCGCCGCCACCCAAGCGCTCAGCATCTGGTTCGCTCAGCGGCGTCACAGGCATCATCGCCGAGGCTCGCATTGGGCCATACATTGTACGGCCCGCCAGTGGTGTGCTGCCGGGGCGCGGACTGCAGCTTCCTCACACGCAAACCATCAGCATCCTGTTCGCGCCGACGGAGCCAGAATCATACGATGGGGAGCTCATATTTGCCGTGCTGCGGGGCAAGGAGTGCAGCGTGGAAATTGACGGTCTTGGCAGCGTGGAGGAGACTGACGAGCATAAGGGCAAGCTGTTTGTGATCTGAGCTACCGCCAGCAGAGAACTGGTCTTACCGAGGCAATCCCCAAACTGGACTTGCTGATCAGTATTCAGTGTACTTCAACCCTGGGACAGCTGGGCTGGGCTGCTGAGCTGGGTTGCGCTGCTGATTGCTTTTAATGGGGTGGAGACATGGATGCCATGGGAATGGAAGCAGGCCGTGGCCCACCGCATTGGTAATGGGCTTCCCGTTCTTGTGCGGGGCGCACAGGAGGCCCAACATATAGTATGATTGGTGTTGATCTGGACCGCTGGATGGGCATTTGGGTTTGGCGGTGGTGATAACATGACAACGAGAGCAAACCATGTACTAACTTGGAACCACGCTGGGAAGAACCAATGGGGAAGGACAGGGATGGCAGGCTGAGGGGACGATTTCAAGACAGGAGGGCAGTTGATGTGACCGGTAGTCGGGTGGGCCGATGGAAGCGCTGCGAAGTGCGTTAGGATGGCCAGGCAAGCTCCCCTCGATGAAGGCACGGGTGGTTGCGCTCAAGGCTAGGCTGACAGAGTGAAATAACGAGCGATGTATGCGGTTTTGTTCGCACTGGTCGCGTTGGGTTTGCGTGTGACAGTCAGGTCATATGACTATGCATAGTACCACGTCATTGTGGTTTACAATGCATTTATTGTGTTGTATGCAATGGTGTAAGGCAAAGTGATCAGGTCGTTACTTGTTTCCCCAGTGCCCGTGGTGTGTAGCCTTCTGCAGAGGAAGCGAGAAGCCAGGATAAGTGCCGGGGGCCGTGTGGAAGCTTTTGCCGCCAGGTGACTGGAATGTGCTTTAATTGTCGCGCCTGACAAGACCATAGGTGCAACACAATGTTGGGGTCCAAGGAAGTCGACCGATGCAGACGGCACTGCCTATGACACAGTTTTGCCTGGCCTTTGTGGGCGCAAAAAATGATAATGCTTGGGGAGTCCTATACTCTTGTACAGCTTCGGGGAACTCAGCAATGTTCATCCCCACCCAGCCGGAGGCATGGCATGCATCCCACTTGTACCGGACTTCTAACGGCCATCGGGCACCTCGTGACACTGTAGACAGATGGACCAGACACTGGGCGGTGGACTGTGGCCCCATTTTCAGATTTTTTTTGAAGCTTGCCTTCCCACAGCGATCAGCACTAGCATTGTACAGTGCAGGTACAGCCTTGCCGTCGACCACCGTGCCATGCAACCCGGGACTCTTCAATCCGCTGGCTGTCAGCTCGGCAAGCCCAGAACTCCCAAACACCATATTGAAAACGTTACACACGTTGCGATAAGAAAAGACATTGCGTCGGAAAAGATAAGGACAGATCACAGGGTGCTGGGTTCAAAATCCTGATTTGCAATGCTTTCGTTCGGTTATGACGTTTTACCCCACAGCCGTTTTACCCCACAGCCCCCCAATTCACCCGCGGGATAGCCCGAGATCACAACTGGGAGCATATCCATCGACCCGACACGGCATTGTGTGGGAATACCTAAAGCTGAAGACCGCCACCATCTATCAAGGACACAGGGTCAATATACGACCCACATGCCCATGGCAATATTCCTGCATCTGCCGAACAGCCAGCTCAACGTCGAGCCCGTGCACTTGCGCTCCAGCCGTAAGACGCAGCAAGCAGCATAATATTTGAAGCTGCCGGTCCCATTTCCATACACGGCTGCCTAACCGAGACGCATGCCTTGGAAGCCTCACCTTGCATCCAATCCTGCTACTGTCGTCATGTACACAACAAACGCCAAATGAATACATGCGAAACAAAACAACAACCTTACGCGCGCACACGTAGGCAATTCCCCCATGCAGGTAGCATACAGGAGCTCTAGGGCTCCAAAGTTGTTTTCGCGTTATCTGCGTGTCCAGCAAAGCCTCATGCCTCCACCTTTATTTCGCCCATCGGTTGCCCCCTGCAAGCTCACCGCCTGGTGGTTGATCACCCCCAAATCGGACCCGTGATTCTGGACAAACATAGGAAGCTTGCCGCCGTTGGGCCTCGCCAAAAGCCAAAGGCAGCATGCAGCGATGGCTAGCCGCATGTGCTGAAGCATTGCGCCTGCTGACACCTACTGCCTAGCATCATTGCACTGTTGCTTGGTATCCATGTGCGCAAACAACAAGGAGCAACGCGTCCAAGAGGCAGCGCTCGTTGTACGGCTTCCAATCTGCCGCAGACCCCACTGCGCTCTCCTGGTTTAACAGGATTGGCTGAAGGTCGGAACGACGTGAGGCCCACCGTTTTCGAGAGTGCGGGAACTGGTTGCGCAGCCAAGCGAGAGGATGCCAGGAAACAGGTACGCCGACACGGGATGCCTCGACCCAGCGTCAGCGACGAGTATTTCAGCACGGGCCTTGAGCTTGGCGGGTTGCAGAAGCGTCACTCTTTAGTAGATCACAGCTGAGAACAGTGCCAAAGGCAGCCGCAAAGGCTCAGCCGTCAGAGCTGCTGTTGACCCTTCAGTCGCTCTAGGTACTGTGCTACCACGCGCTCCGTGGTATCCACGATTGCCTGAGTCTGCGTCTCAATTTCAATGTTGACGCTGTCGCCGACACCCTTAACTCCAAACACGGTTACGCGGATGGTCTCGGGAATCAGGTACACCGTGAACTTGTTGTCCCACACCTCGCCAATGGTGAGGCTGCAGCCGTCCACGGCGATGTAACCCTTCGGAAGTATGTATTTCATAAATCCCGTATTGCTGACCTCAAAGGTAAGGCGCCTGTTATTCTCCGTCTGCTCGACGGCGGCAATCGTCGCGGTGCAATGGACGTGTCCCGACACGTTGTGCCCACCGATCTCATCTCCAACCCTTGCTGAACGCTCAAAGTTGACAACGCTGCCTGTCTTCAACCCCCCAAGGTTTGTGGCTCGTAGCGTCTCCATCATGATGTCGAAGCTAAGAGTGTCACCGTCAATCCTTGTGACGGTTAAACATGTCCCGTTAACAGCAACGCTAGCACCAGTCTTAATACCATCCACCTTGCCGTGGGGAAAGCGTATGTCAAGGCAGGAAAATTTCTCCTTGCTGTCGATGGCCGTGACGTTGGCTGTGCCTTGCACAATTCCAGTAAACATGCTTGTGACCGACAATTGTTCCCGGCGTGCCCTGCTGGGCCGGACTACCCTAACTGTCGTCGCTCGGGAGCTCGCCGTAAAAGCCTGGAAGCAAGCAGAGTTATGGTGGCGTTGTGTGAGCATCTATCTCAATTGTGTCTTCCTTTTCACTATTTTGGTCAAACCATGGCTATATCTTGTGCGACCATACATTGCTTTGTGCGACCTTCTGGTTCTGGAGCGGTGCCGGTTCCTCGCCGTCCTGAATGCCGGTTGGGCGGGAGATGCATACCATGCAACAAGTTGCAATATTTCTATTGCATTAGAAAAACGCGAAATAAGTGTTACAACTTAAAGAGCGAGCGCAAAAGTGTTCGAGTTCAGCGGGTTTCAAAAACTGCATACAACCGGGTTTTAAAAAGGCGTGCGACCCACCGATACGCATACGCATGGTGCAGCCGTGGGCTGCGGGTCGATGCGGCTGGCAGGGTTATGTGGACGTAGAGAATAGAACATATTGGATCAGGGTTTTGCGTGCCTCCGTCGCCCTGACAACTATCAGTTCCACCACTTCAATAGCGAAAGGATGTCACCGTCAAGGAGGCCGCGTGAACGCGCACGTTGGTGTTGCAAAAACTGATGCGGGGGTTAAATCCTCTTCTGAAAATCTGCTGAAATTGGGAAACCACCCTTACCAAATCGACACCCAAGCCCCTCCTCGACACGCTCCGTATTTCTTCATTTCATGAGCCATTAAAGTCTCATTAACATTCTGACGTCAGATTAGTCTATCTGCGAGTATCGCTATTGTTTAGACTAGCGCAGTAGACCCAAGGACCCATTTCACATATCACACCGGGGGGCCCCACATCCCATTCGCTCTCCGTGCGTTCAACCACTCCACCTTTCCCCCCTTTAACCTGTCCTCTCGCTGCCGACACACCAAACATATGGGGCGAGGAGCGGACTTCGCACCCTGTCCTTGCTAAAGGTCCCGCAATGCATAAATGCGACATTGCATGAATGCGGGCTTCCAGGCCCTGACCGGGCTCTGACCGGGGCATGCCGGACACGAAAAACAAAAACACTGCTGTCCTCTGGACTGCATCCGCCCGTCCCTAGCTGGCCGTTCGTGGCGGACAACCGAATTCAATAATGGTTCCGTAGGAAGTCAACGTCAACCGCTAACTAGTCCGCACGCCGTTACATAACGGCTGATAGGTCACCAACGTATGGGGGCCGCAGGGGTGTGCGCCCTGCAAAGCTATGCCCATTGCGGCAAAAGCTCTTGGCGTGTGAAGTGCTGCCGCTACTTATAGGGTTGCCCCCAGATCGATCTCATGCAATGCGGAGTTCATAATCACTGGCAATCAGGGCTATTGCTAGTCGCACGATAACTCACCATGTGCCACCTGTGCGGGAAATGTGCCACCGGCGGCATTCCCTGAACCGCAGGAGGGCCAACTGCTGCGCCGCCGTAAGGGGCATTCACGCCGCATTCCCTTCCCACACCCACACGCGGATTTCCACATCGCCCCCCTCCCTTCTCCTCCTCACACCTCACCTCCCCAAAGTTTGTACGGCCTTCACCCCCTTCAAATATAAGAGAATCACACGGCGCACACAGAGCATTAGAGCTCATCGCCCGCAATAACCCCCATCCCCATCCGCAGGCATAAATGAAAATTAATATTACCAATCGTAGTAATATAAAGTCGAATAACAGGCGTTAATAGGCTGTGGGATACGCCAGTGCTGCTTTTACCACGCGCGCCTTGAAATGGCAACCTTGCCCTAAGGCCCTACCGGGTAACCAACCCCCGCCCGGGTAACCCCCAAATCTCCACTTTCCCTCTCCGTAACAGGGACACTTTCCTTCCCACATTTCCACTATCGGCTGAGCTGCTTTGCGAACGCATCTCAATGACGCTCGTGTGCCTTCGTCGGACCTGTCCTTCCCGCGCCCTTCTCACACCAGGAGGTCTCCCGGCACCATCGGCACGGTGCAGGTCGAGGGCAGCCACGCAACCCCTCCACCGCAGCCAACCCCAGGCGCTGAGACCGCCGAAACTTCACCACAGCCATGAGCACCAGCAGTAGCAAGTACCGAGTTTATCGTTGTTGCCGAGAGGAACGCCGCCAGCACCTCCCCCGGGGCCTCTCCAAGACTGCGGATGTACACGTAGGCGACACCGGCGGCAGTCCAGGAAAAGCCGCATTGGAATTGGCCTAGCTGTTGGGGGGGCAATGTTGGTGAGGATCAGAATGGGAAGACCGGATGGGAATGAGCGTGAGGAACTGGAGGACGGGTCGCGGAGTGTGTAAGATAGTGTGTGTCGTTGCGATGGCCAGTTGGAGATGTGGAGGGGCACCCACGCCCAGACACACACCCGCACCCAAACACACACCCGCACACAGGCACAGATATATCCACTTACTATATTGCCCAGGGAGCCATTCACCACGCGTGTGCATTAGGCTTCCGATCACCAAGAGAATCCCCCACATTGCTTCTTGTACATTCTTTCCTTGGCAGCAGCTTCACTCGTTCGTGGTTCGTCTTTCCCCCACTTGTAACCCCTTGTCTCTCCTCGAAACTCGAGCCACTAACCCACCCCTGCATGCTCCTCCACCCAATCAGAGAAGTGACAAGCTGGCAACCCATCCCGACTTACGCCCATCGTCCTTGCCTAGCTAGCCATTTCTTTCAACTCCCGAACCCCCCAATCCGCTAAAATCTCCCTTGTCCCCTCCAGGTCCAGCCCCCTCCGACCTCGACCTACCAGGGTCAACGGCGACGGGAAGGGCAGCGCACGCGAAGTGACCAGCACCCGGAACCTGGGGTGGCAGTACAGCCTCTCCGCAATGGCCCGACATGCGGCTGATGAGAAGGCCGTGGAGCACAGGAAGAAGACGGAGCCATCGGCGAGGTCCGCAGCCATCAGGTCCTCGCAGCGCAGCTCCACCGGACTAAGAAGCAGCCCACCCCCGCGCTGACCACCACCATGGGACCCTCCCTGGAACATCCAGTCCTCCTCAGCCATCGCAACCAGCGATGATTCAGGGGCTGTCCCCGGGCCATGAGGACGCAGCATGAATGTTCGCGCCACCTCGCCATCGGATGTCGATGGCCCTGTGATCCATGGGCCGGTCCCGTGCCCATCGCGTCCATTGTGCTCGTCGTTGAGGTGGGCCAGCTGCGCCGCCACCCAGCAGGCTTCTTCGTGGCGGCTGGCGGACAGCTCAATGCCCACACAGCGGCGCAGCCTGGCGGAGCAGGCCACCTGCAGCACCAGGCGACCTAGGCCACTGCCCAGGTCGACCAGGACCTGAGCGAGCGAAGAAGGGAGTGGAGAAGGGAGTGGAGAAGGGAGTGAAGAAGGGAGTGGAGGAGGGAGTGGAGAAGGGAGTGAAGAAGGGAGTGGAGGAGGGAGTGGAGAAGGTAGTGAAGAAGGTAGTGAAGAAGGGAGTGGAGAAGGGAGGGAACGGGGGCAACCATTTATGAATGTGTGGGACAGGGGGATATGCCTTCGCCCGTGGCCACTTTCCTGGCTTGTGTGATCCCGCCTTCCCCTTTGTTGCGCCCTTGTCGTTTCATCCGAAGGGCAATTCCTCCGAATCCAATGGCGGTGCCAACTCCACAAACCCCTGGTCGGTTCGCAGGCCACAGTAGTCAACTATTCCAACATTCATCGGTAAGGGGACGGCCCACTTTACGATTCACCCTCGTTCCGGTTGACGAACTGGCCCTAAGGGTCTTAAAAGCCATAGGGATTCTAGGGACAATCGTGAAGCGCTTTTAACCTTATCTTGTGGCGGTGTGTTACCGTTCTTGTCGCCTCCATCCAAGGGGAAAAAGGCATTGGCCTTAAGAAGGTCCCGAGCGGGGCCGAGGGGAAGGGGGAAGGCGCTTGGCGCTGCATGCATGTGCGTGTGGATTCATTAGACATGCTGTGAAAGTACGTGGCGGAACTCGCAGGGAATGGACACGACGGCGGAAAGGGGATACTCACGTCATCGGGTCGTAGGGGCACTCTGCGCAGGAATTGCGTCACGCCCTCTCCGGTGATCTCGCCGTAAGTAGGGGAGCCGCCAGTGGCCTCCACCAGAGCGGCTTCCCTGGACAGGTGAGGATGAAGGGTTGTGTTACAGGTAATGAAAGGGCAGAGCAAAGGGCGTCATGGCCTGCGTACCCGTGCTGATATATTCGCAGTCCCTCTACCCAAAGCGATGGCTTGATGGCGAGTTTGGCATGTGAGGTAGTAGCTGGCGAGACCCACATCGCATGGAATCCCACAACGATACATGAGGTGCGACCCTGTCGCAAACCGTGGACAAGTCAAGCCTATAAGGGCGAAGCCCACAGAAAATAAATATAGCTCTCCTCACGGAATGGCTAATGAAATCCAATCAAGGGAAATACCTTTTGGGAATGACGTATCCTCCCTTTGACATGAAAACTTCCTCGGCATCGTCGTACAGCGCGTCGAAAACCTGAGACATTAGGCTAGCCTCGCCATGAGCGTCCAGGTTTTCAGCAAATGCAGCTGCATCCTTGTGCATGCTGACCGCCAGGCAGCTGTCTGTGATGCGTTTCAGTACTTCCAAGCAGTCTCCACGCGATAGGAATACATCGGTACCGCCATGTTTAATACTGTCTGAAGCTATGGAATATTTATTCGACTCCGTCACCAGGGTTGACGATAAGGGCGCCGCCGAGACTGCTCGTCTTCGCTGCCGTGAGTCAGGCAGGGAAGGTGCATGGTCAACGCTGGATCGCGCGTACTTATAAACAACAGCTCGCTTGAAAAACATTCTCACAAAGCTAACAACCCTTGGAAGGATGCAAAGCCATCAACATAAATATAGAGCGTATCCTAGCCACCTATCGCTTATTGAGCATCCAATAAGGAAATCCATTTAGTCGGTGGAGAGAAATATTTTCTGGTTGATAAAGTATGCCTAACCGGTTTGGTAGTTCAGTTGGTACAGGTAGTGTTTGCTTGGACAGACAAGGGTAAAAGAAGGACATCCAGCAAGCGTGCGGAGGTGCGATGACGTCGTGAAAATAGTTATGTATTCAGCATCTGATCTGTGATAGCAACAGTAGGCGTCCCGGCCAGGAAGAACCCTATATTCGAAAATCGGCGTACAGATTTCTGCCGGCCTTTAGGAAGATACCTTAATATAGGTGTAGGATGAATGATTCCATATCAACTGCAGCTTGTCCAGGCACAATGCTTCTTGCCCGGTTTCCTGCGCCCAAAACAGCTGCATAAATAGCCCCTGCCCCATGGTGGCAGGGTTCAGCCCACTTGGACCATATCAACACAGCGCATTAAGACGAGTCCTCATTCAGACAACCAAAGGCTGTCCTGCTTGTTCCATCAATCAACGACACCCACCCGCATTACCTAACCGCCCCTGCCGTGGCGACAACCTTTCCTAAACCATTTAAGCCCTCCTACTCAGCCCACGATGTACAGTGTCCTTTTTACACTGAAGATTTAGAAACAACCACAACCGCAACCACCTGCAGCCACCAAAAACGCACCACATGTGTGTCGAACGGTTGGGGTCAATGGTCATAACCTTCTGGACCCTCCTAAAGGGAAATGTACGCGACATAAGCGTTGATTATGATAGTTCAGGCGCTTCGTGCCAGACGGCGCACTCCTAGTGTATCCTCACATCGCATTCCGTACAGCCGTGTAGGTACCTCAGCAAGTCAGCACGTCAAGATCGATGCCCATGCCGTAGCGGAAGCCTCACAATTCCAGATGACGTCAGGGGCCACCCCCAGACCCATGGGCCAGTCCACACTGCACGTCTTAAGTTGTGCAGGTCTCCAGAGGCCACTAGCTCGCGCGCGAGTCTCGTGCGGATCCGCCTTCCACCTGGCCTGCCCCAGCCACATCGCGCAGTCCCGCTCAGCTCCGCTTTAAGTCATTCGGTAAACTCAACCTACTCTGCGCAGTGCGGCCCGGCCGTCACTGCAATCCATGGCCCCAGCATCACCCACACGCAATGGAAGCAGTTCCCGCGCCATTCACGTGGTAGACTCACTACATCCATTCCCATTGCCACTCCGTCCTGCAGCTTTTCAGGAACCCCCTGTCCCCGCGTTTCCTTTACCGTACCGCCGCGGCCTGACGCCGATCCTCAATAACCCTCCCCACCAGCTCAGCTTATTGCTCAGCTCAGTTCCCTGCTCCGAGAGCCTCAGACCTCGCCTTGGTCGTGCCCTCGTCGCCACCAAGGCAGCACCGCCCGGCAGCGCGCTGCTGCCGCGCCCAGCTGCGGTTTGAAGGCGGTTGCGTGGCGCGCCAAAATGCGCCGCTCCCGGTACTCCAGGTTCCGCACCCGGAGCACGTAGTGCTGGAACTTGGTGCGCGGTAGGAAACGGCGCACCATCAGCTGCGGGTGCGTGGGTGTGTACGTATATTATGTATGCCATGTAAAGTCATGTATGTTATGTATGTCATGTTTATTATGCATGTATGCATGCATGTATGTATGTATGTGTATGACGGTGAGCGTGGGGGGGAGGGCGCGTGAAACATGGTGCGTGAGGGCAGGAAATGGCGACAGTAGCAGTGATCAGGTAGCATGGGACTTGCGTCTTGGAACTCCTCTTGGGACAGGCGACCACCTTCACGCGGCAGGTCCGTCCCCACTGCTTGCCGACCACTTACATTTCCGTCGAGGCCGTGCCTCCGCCACCCAGCCCAACACGTGTACACGCGCCCACCCTCACTCTCTCCTCACCTCCGACAAGTAATCGATGTCCTGCGAGGGCCCCCCCCCTTCGTGACGGTACAGCGTCCTGGCGGCCACCGGGGGGTGCGGTCGGTGGATGATCCACACGTCGGGAAGCACCCAGAACCGGAAGCCACGCCGAACAGAGTGAAGCACCTGACTGAACTTGTCAGCGTACCAGCCCCGAAACCGCTCGTCGTACGGGAACGTCACGTCCCTGCGTTCCATCAACCGCCACACTTGGAATTCACTTGTCATGATGTGAAGATGGTGATGAAGGTGATAGCTAGACGGCCTGACACTGGCCAAGGGCAGCCATCCCCGGCCCTGCCCGGTCCAGCCTTGGCGGATAGAACCCCGGAAAGCCGTATGACGACCTTACTCGACATAATGCCGCGTGAGCCTTCGACCCAACCCCCTTCCCTGCCTCCCAAACCCAGGGGCCATCCGCGCGCGCTTCTCCAAGTAACGTCTATGTAGGGAAGGTGCGCGCTTGTCTTTCCGTTCTTTTCGCCTGCCCGGCCGCCTGACTGCTCCTTATCTCTCTACCAGTCCTTCTGCATGGGTCGGGAGTGAAGCATGAAGGAAACGCCGCAGGGTCCCCTACCTCGCAGTTACGAACCAGGGCTCGTAACCTTCCGAGTATGGCACTGGATACGGCACATCCGCTGCGAAGAAGCGCTCGTAGTCGGTGGGTCCATGTCCTCCGGCAAAGTCATACACGTCGAAGGGGTGCAGGGGCCCGGCTGCCGCCTCCGCAGAGAACGCAGCGTCTGTAGCCGCATCGGTTCCACGAAGGTGCCGGCCTGAGTCAGCACGTTCCCGCTGAGTACCAACCCCCAACAGGCGCCTCTGTCCGCCACTGCCGCCGCCGCCGCCGCTGCTGCTGCTGCTGCCACCGTTCACCGCTTTTGCCCATGCTGCCGAGCTGCGCCAGAGCCTTTCCAAGGTGGTCTTGTCGCCTGGGGTTCGATTTTGCGGTCCCCGTGCACGTGTGTGTGTGTGTGTACGTCGTGTGTGTTCAAGGGCATGTATTCAAATAGGTTGTTTGCAGTTGCAGGAGGGGGCATACGGGTGGGGGTGGTTATTAAACAGGTCATTTGGTCGCCTGGTGCACCCTGCTGCTCACTTACTCGTGTGCTGTAAATCCCTGACTACAATCATCTAAAGCGGTTTCGGTAAGCCATCCCCATGGCCTCCGACTAAACACCGCCAGAGAGCCGACACGAACACCACCTTCCTCCTTCCTCCACTTCGCAAACATCTTTCTGGCCGCCCTAAGCGTTGCGGTTCATTCTCAGATTAGTCCCAAGTATTGCTCACGAAAAAGGTTACAAACAAAAATATACAACAATGTACGATATCGTATAGCATGATACGGCACGTACCTGCCAGTGCCGAGTCAACTACCACCTTGGCTGTGTGGTCGTCCAGCCCTCGACGTGTCTCCCAAGCCGGAAGCACCCACAACACCCGATGGTCCCGAGCGCCCTCCAGAAGCTCCGAAACCCTGAAATCCGAGCATGAAACCGCGAAACACCAAATGTCAAGTTCGGGGACACACCCCGGTGGACTAGCGACCGAGTTCGAGAATGAGGACGTCGTGATTGCCACAGGCCACAGCCTCGGCCTCGGAGTTTGACTTGGAAGCAGTTCCTCGCTTATTTCGAAAAGGCTGTACGGGCCAAAAAGGCAGCAAGACGAATGGTCGCCTCCCCCGCTGCCCCCCTCCCCACTGCAGTTCCCTCTGGCCCTTCATCCCTGCATCCTTCGTCCTCCGCCACTTCGTCCCGCTGCCCGCCCAACCCGCTGCGCTTCCGCTCTTCCCCCTAGCCTTCCACCGGCCCCAGCCCATGCAACCCAACCAATGGCCACCCTAAACACCTCTATCGAATCTTTCCCCCGCATCCTTTCGTAATCCCTCCCCCTCCTTGCCGTGCCTCGTTGGGATCCACTATACCCCTCACCGGTATCACTGTCCACCACGCCCACCCACTAACCCGCCTGGAGCCCACCCAGCCCACCCCGCCACCCAGACCATGCCACCACCCAGCCCATCACATCACTCAGCAACCCACCTGCTGCTATTGGCCGCCAGCTGCCCTAGGCTCCTGCTAACCGACAGGTCCGCATCCACCATGGCCGCCAGGGGGGTGCGCACCGGCAGCAGCGCGGCATTGCGCAGTGCGTTTGTAGGCATGAGGGCAGCCAGGGCGGGGTCCGCTAGTCGCTCCGTGTACAGGGCCAGTACCAGTGAACACGCAGCGGGGGAGGACTCCAGCCGGGAGACGGCCGCCTGGCAACCGGGAGGTGACGACGTCGGAGAAAGTGAAGAATGGATGAATGAATGGAAGTGAAGGGGGAATTCAATGTGGATGGTGGAAGGCATGGGAAAACTCAGTGGATGGGTGAGAGTGAGGTGGTTCCTTTAGCTGCTGGATGAACGGGATTCCAGTCGTGTATCGGGGTTCGCGCGGTGAATGATAGGGTGGAGAGGGCAAAGGGGCGTTATGTCAGCACTGGGGTGTGCGCCGCTGTCGCTGCTGTCACCACGGCTGCTGCCGGACCTGCCCCTCCCACCTGCAGCTTACTGAGCGCCTCCGCCAGCAGCTGGCCGTTGCGGTGCTGCGCGGCCGTGACCTCCTGTGCATATGCTGTTGTGCTGCTACTGCGGCCGCTATGACGACCCGCCGCTGCAGCCTGCCGCCTGCCGTTGCCTCTACGAGCCACGGAGTCCGGAGAAGGCGGTAGCAGCAAAGGCATGTAGAGGGCTGCGGAGAGGGGCCCCGGGTAACTGCCGGTAAGGACAGGGGATAGGGAGGGAGGAAACACATGCAAGGAGTAAGGGGTTAATGTCGTGAGGGGTGGGGCGGGGGACCTGGAAGTGTAAAGAGGGGGCACCATCGCACTGGGGGACAGGCCCGGGGGAGCCCGGAGCCGGGGGGTAACAGCGAGGAACAGTCGGGAAGATAGCATGCGAGGCGGGCGGAGTTGTGTTGCGGTCCACACCGCAACATTGGGTTTTCATGAGGCGGAGTTACGACTACAACATTCGGTATGCGTGGTACACGACGTCCAGACGCTCCTAAGTTCTGAACAGATTCGTTTGCGCTGGTAAGGGTCGAGGCCCTTCGCGCTCCACGTCCCGCAATGTCACGTCTGGAGCTTCGGTCACCTTTTCCTTTTCCAGGGCCCTCCCTCACCTGTGGCACTGCGCCTCCAACAGCGGCAGTCGGTCCAGAGTGGCCATAGTGAAGATTGTCAGAGGTAGCTGAGACTGCTTACGAGACCACCATACACGTTCCAAGCGCAAGCTGGAGGCAGGCGACGGGACAAATGCAGCACGGGGCGGGGCGGCCACCGGGTTGGGGCTCAATAAAGGAAAGAAGCTCGTTGGGTGATCCAGCAGACCCACCGCCTCGGGAGTGTCAATGTGGGTCATGGAGTCAGCTATGGGTTAGCGAGAGGTTGGGCACCTCGCCATCCCTGGGTTGTTGGCATCCTCGAACCATCCGCACAAGGCCAGCGCAAGTCACCTACCAGCGCACCTATGACACGATCAGATGGACATCTGCCACTTACTTGACGGGCACCCCATCCAGGAAATCATGGAAGTCCGCTGGCGGGGGAAGTGGCTCTATGCCATTCGGGCCTCCGTTAAAGCAGTCCAGCAGCAGCTGAGTTGGCGGGCTGGCTTTGGACGAATTCACGAGGTCCAGCACAGTAACCATGTGCACAGTAGACACTATTAGTAATGCAAACTTTCGTAGCTTGGGCTTCGCCATGGTCGCTCCTCACGCCATCGTCTACCTCTTACACATGTCTTCACATAGCGCGGGCAATAATAGATGTGATAGTTACACATACGGGACTTTACTGTTTAGCATAGCGTACGAAAGTAACATTTGCCTCAGAGGAACATGCACAAATATGAGGCCGAAGGAGCAGCCAAGATCGCTCAGGTATGGTACAATTTTGTTACGTGTTCACAAAAATCAGAAACAGGGTATGCTTGTACATAATCTAGCATTTTTATAGGATTTCGGGCTGTCATGCAATGGCTGCCATGCTGTCGTGCTGCGCCGAGGCCTCGCACTCCCGCCGGTGCCTACCACTTGGGCTTACGAAAGTGACATAATGGTTTGCAATGTATGAGCTCCAATTGCTTACAATGTAAAGAGGAGGTCCTGCGACTGCACTTCAAACAGTTCCACCCCCTTTTGGACACCCTTTGTCAGCTTCTGATATAGCATCTGCGGTGAAGATCCATTCAGGCCGCCAACAGCAGCACGAGCTTCCTGGCCATGGCAACGCTTTATATGCACCACCAACCCTGCAGTAAAAGAGTCCCGCATGCAGCTTACCCGCCCAGGCTGCTCCACGCAGCTTGTCCGTCTGCACCAAGCTCCTCACCCCACCGGAGCCTACCGAGTACCGGGTCTCATGATGTAGCACCCGGTTTGGTGTGAGCCAGCCATCGACTTGTTCTCCATATCCATAAGTCACTGCATTTTTTCGATGGAAATCATAATCTGTACTCACACCAGCTCACCACCATATCCATAAACTACCTGGATGGGCAGTCAGCAAACCGTTCGCGATCTCTGCACTGCATTCCTGCAGCCATTCCACTCCGCTGCACATGGAACGGAACGCTCGCACCTTCCACAAGATAGCACGCGCAACCCTGTAATGCACTTCCCTATCTGTACACTTCTGCCCACCTGCCTCAACTTCTGCACGGTAGATTGCACTGGCAAGCCCCAAAACCATCCAAACCACACGCGTAGACCTGCTCCTTAATGTAATCCAGTGCCAATCTGCAGCGCGACATATACCAGGTGGCAAGTAACTGATGACCTGCATCTATGATTAATACACTGATAGCAGCCTATTCGCCGCTTACGGCGGCGCGAAGCCTCGACAACCATTTGCGAAGCGCCTCGTAAGCAATCCAACTTAGATGTAAGATAACCTGAAACAAAATTTTGCAACCCCAGACTGTAAAACACGCATGAATGGCGGCCACAGGAGTTTTCCCTGCCTTGACCACGGGCGTTGATCAAGGCCCATGTGTCTGCGCCTGATTCAGCACCACGGGTACTTGTGCTCCCCCGTGTCCTGCATCGCTGCCACCGGGTGCGCGCTGTACCACCCCGACGGTGATGTACGGCACTGGGCCGCGTAGTCGCACCACGCCACGTAGTCCGCGCGCGGCAGTACGCTGGTGTCCCGCACGGGTTCCACACGTGACAGGCTTTTTTCCATGTCCATATCCTTGCCCAGCGTCTTTTTCAGGTCAAGTTCATGCGAGTCCAGTGGCTTAAAAGCCCGGGCGAATTCAGGCTTACTTGAGGCGGTACTGCGCACTGATTCCCGCAACGTCCGCAGCGCGGAAGCCGGCAGGGAGATGGCGGAAGGAGGCAGCGGGGCCGCCCACACCCGCACCGTATCCTTGGGAGACCCCAGCCTCGCCGCAGTGAGGCGCTGTGAGTCGGCTACGCTGCCGGGGCCCGGGCCCGCGGCGGCTCCGGAGGAGGCGGGACGTGCGTCGGTGGCGAGCTGCGGCGCCACCTCGAGACCCCTCGCAAACTCGTTGAAGTCACGCAGCGTTCCAAAGGTGGAGCGGGCGCCGCCTCCACTGGTGCCCATGAGGGCTGCATTCAGGCGTTCCTCATCAGGGATCTGAGTCACCTGCTTCAAGCCGCCGGTTGTACCCACCACTCCATTGACGGAGGCGGCAGTGGTGGAGCCGACGCCGCCGCCGGCCAGTGCACCCGCCACGTCCAACGCGCCGCCGGCGCTGCCAGAACGCATCGTCGCACCCAGGCCGCCAGGGACGGTGCTGGCCGCCGCCGCCGCCGCCCCCGCAATCGCTGCCGCCGCTGCTGTCCGACTCATTGTGTCGTTCCATTCCCCCGACGGCTCCTTGCCTCGTCCCGCCGACGATGCCCGGCCGCTGGCTGTGGGCCGTCGTACAGGCGGCAGCGGTGGTGGTGGGCTGCACCAGATGCTTGTGCCGTTGAAGGTGCCGCGGCTAGGGCGCTCTGCACTGGCTCGCATCATGGCCGCCTCTAGATCCTCCACCAGCACCAGCTCTGGCAGCCCCAGCAGCAACGCTGCAAGCGCGCGCCAGTCGTTGGTGTGCTCTCGCTTGGGGAAGCGGCCGGAGATGGCAATGGTGAGCGCGCGTGTGTCCAAGGAGCCTTCCTTCTGGTAGTCCGCCTCCGTAAACATCTGCATGATGGTGGGGGAACGCACGGATAAGGCCATCAAAAAACGGAGGACCTGGATCAGGAGCACGGACGACCCATGGGAAGAGTTCCATGTGATGTGGACGCAGGAACCCAGGGGATTTCGGAAGAGGAATAAGGAAAATGCCTGAAGTAACGGTGCCTTCACCGCGCATCCGTTGCTCTTCACCTTCACCTTCACTTCGCTCCGCAGTCCCACATCTCTCGCCTAGCACTAACCCCTTCAGCCCACCCCGGCCTGCCCAAGGATTAACACCCGTAATACCCCCCGCTTACTTTGGTGAGCAGCTCCCGATCAAAAACCAACGTGTGGCGATCCAAGTAAGCCTCACACATGGCCTGAGAGATGCGGCCAGTCTTCCAGTCACCGATCTGATGGGAGCGAGTATTGAGGAAAGGAAAGGTCAGCAAGGGCATGGACTGGTTGCCGTCGGTAACTGCTGTACCGAGCTTTGTTCATTCAGCTGCCTGGGGCATCTGGGTCCGGTAATGCAGAAGTTGCTCAGACCGTCAGGATTATCGCTCACAACTCCGATACGGGTTGCCCTACTTGGCCGCACGCCAAGGCATACGGACTGTTCCACCCACTCCCAACCGCCGTCGGCAGGTAAGGCTTGGACAGCCCCGGATGGACAGAGAAGGCCTCAAGAGAACGACACAAGCACTAGTGCATTTAGGATGAGCAGAGGAGCTGTAAGGTGCACGGCCTGTGTGGACGGGCGGTCGGGTCAGGCTCGGAGCCGCTGTTCCAGTGGATCATGCCTGCCGCTTTTACCCATACGCATGTGTTTTGCATGGTTTTGCCCACAGTCGCACAGGCCTTGGGACACGCACGCACCTTCCTGACAAGGGTTGGGATAACCTGGCTGTCCAGGTGCAGCGGAGTAGGACCTTTTCCTTTGCGTTCCGCTAAGTTTGCCAATTTTGCTTTTTGGCTGTTCTCTTTTGCCTTGGGGTCAGGTTCCACCTCCTTGAAGTCGAGCGGCATTTTTCCTGGCTATTTGATAGTAAAAGCAGGTTATGTTTATCCAATTTTTTGCTACTCCGCGTGTGTTAACACAAAAAGAAGCCCAGGTTATTACGCGAGCACTTCGAGGAGAGGGATAACCTCCTGACTCCCTTCGTCATTTGATAATGTTGTGTCTTTGCATATTACATACAAGCGTAAATCAGTTTCTTAGCAGCGTAAGCAAACCGTTTCTTTTGTAACGTTCAGTACGGCCTTGCACGAATTTGCTCGTCCATGTGACAGGAAACAAGTAACAAAACTGAAATACGGATTTCTGCACCCAACCCAAGAATGGGTAACTGATTTCCATATAAATGCCGCATACTTGTTAGATTCTTGTTCGTAGTCATAGTTCCACTTCCCGATCTTTATCGACAGCTAGCCTAGCCCGCCTCCCGTAGCTTACCTGCATCGGCCAAACTGTCCTCTGTAATATGCGCACAAGATGAGACATATTTCGCTTCGCGGTTTGCATCATGCTCAGCACCAGCAGCATGGAGGAAGCCCGTTCAGGCGATACGCAATTTTCTTTTTTCTGGCACTTATATTTGCACTTCTACCAGCGGTATGTACAAAGTTATTGGCGATCTGACTTACATCGTATAGTTTCAGTTGTGTTTACGGCTTTGCTGGTGGTCACACAGATGCTTGTCATGCATAGCAATGTGGATGAGTGCCAGGTTATGTTAAACACGGGTCGATCGGAATCGCGGGGCTCTTCAGGTACGCTGGCGTGCAACAGTGGAACGGCCCTGCCACTGTTTTACTAACTAGGCTCTAACCTCTGCAGCAAACCCCTTCAGTCACTTGAATTTGTGCAAGATAAGGTTGGGGCTGGCAGGCATTACCAAAGAAGCGCAACCACGGTCTCGGGTGAGTAATCGTCTGGCTTTGCTGGTCTTGGCTTGTCCGATGGGCTCCTTCATGTTTCGCATGAAGCCCATGTCAACTTACCCCGGTAATGCAGACTCACTTAAAGGAGGAGGGCGATTCTAATGGCGCTCAAGTGCCACCGCCAGCACCTGGGGCCTCTACAAAAGATGTGTCGAGCGCAAGTTCAGAAGGACAGGCAGAGGGCCAGCAGCAAAATGCCATAGAAGAGAAGGCGGCCCAGGTCTCGCCGTCTCCACCTCCCCCTTCTCCATTGCCGCCATCTCCGTCACCGTCGCCCCCGCCGCCGTCCCCCCCGCCGCCGTCGCCCCCGCCGCCGTCGCCCCCGCCGCCGTCAGCCCCATCACCCTCACCCTCGCCTCTACCGCCCTCGCCTTTGCCGCCGTCGGCCCCGCCACCGGCATCTCCTCCCCCCGTGGTCCTTAAGCCGCCTCCCGCGCCAACCCCACCGTCCCCTCCTCCACCGGCACCGCCGCCGCCCTCCCCTGCTCCACCACCACAACAGCAGCGGCAGCAGGAAGGCTCAACGAAGCAGGCGTCTTCAGCAAGTAGGGCGGCATGGCACGAGTATGATGTTTCTAAGCTTATCTCCACGGAAGTTTCCAAGACCGCCACGGACGTCCACAGCCGCGTCTCCGACTGGTCGGATTTCGACCTGCCCAGGACGCAGGCGGACATTGACCGGCTGATGGTGGGTGCAACTCACACGCAGCGGAGTCTATAGCTTCGTTACCGGAGTAAATTAGTGGCTGTCCCTTTCCGCATGTTGGGGTCGGCAGCGACCAACACGTGCTGCAGTGCTCCATGCAGCTGTGATGCCTCCCTCTTGTTCTTATCCTTTTTGGCAATGCACGACTGGGAGGGGCCAGATGAAATGGGCAGCTGCGCAGGACGTTGGTCCCGTTGGCGTGTGCTCGAGCCCAATGCCTTCCGTTTGTATTTCACGAGCGCCACAAGGGTCGATTCACCTGGGCTGCACGCGAGGGACATTATGTAGAATGACATGAGCGCTGTCGCGGCTGCGATCATATGAGGCTCTACGATTATTGACGTGGATCCGTGCCATGCGGTGCCATGGTAACGGCCTATTGACTGGATACGCCCGTGAAGGGGCTGGCAGCACTTAAACGAAGCACGTTTATCAAACCCAGTGAGCATTGACTTTTGTTGAGGCATGGGCTGATGGCCTTGGTCGTCTCCGTCATTTTTGGGTTCGTCCGGGTCTGATTTCCTGCCCTGCTAAACCGTCCTTGCGCTGCCTGATGCCACCATACTGTGTTGGCGTCGCGTGTGTGTACCCTGAATCTTTCCTTCCCCATCTCTTGGCACAGAAACTTCCACACGTGGACGAGTGCTACTATTGCAAAGTCTGCATTCCCAATTCGGCGTTGAAGCTTGGGCAGCAGCAACAACAGCAGCAGCAGCAGAAACCCGGTGCCGGAGGGCGACGCCGTCGGCTTCAGTCCACCGAGCGTGCCAGCGCAACCTACTTGGAGAACCCCGCGGAGGCCGAGGGCCTTATTTACGGCCTCAAACCCGTGGACCAGGCCCTTCCCGTGGACCAATCTGGCGGCGCAGGATGTGACTCATGCAGCGGTGGCAGCAGCAGTAGCTCTAGTGCAGCAGGGTCCGCAGGTAACTACCTGAACCGCAAGCTGCGTGAGCAGGTCCGAGCGAGCCAAGGTGGAGGCAGCGACTCGGTTGGGGCCGCTGAGCAGCTTGACAACGGAGTTGGCCTTGTCGCGGAAGAAGCGTTGCTTGGGACAGACAGCGGCGGCCTGGGTGCGGGCTCCCGGCGGCGGTTGACAGAGGCGTACCAGGCGCTGGACACGACGGAGTCGGGCCCTGATTACCACATCGGCGGCCGCATCTACAACATCTCGGACATTGCTCCTGGCAGGCGTATTTTCCAGTCCAAGCAGCACCTGCCAAACTGCAGCATCTGCCGCGGTTGTGATCACACGCTGGTGCGTACTGCGGTGTGCGCTACGATGTGCTGTCTGTGAGCTGTCTTGTACTCCTTCGTCCGGCTGCCGCAGCGTTGGACTCCGCTTTTGTCTAGCCAAAGGTGATGGCGTAGAACCACCGCAACCAGCCCCAGTGCATATGTTGAAAAGAGCGGCGTTCACAGGCATACGCATTCCCAGCAGTTCCTTAAAAAGGTTACCGAGTACATAAGCCCAAATTTTGAACCTGCGGTCCCCCGCTAGGAAATGATGGCTTCCGGATCTATCCTGTTGGGCTCCTACTACGCACACGAGCCCGGGGGTAGCCCCTCGTGGCTCTTCCGTGTACGCACGGACCGCACCCAGTCGGGCTGGGCTGTGGTCAAGGTGTGGTGTGTGCCGGTGCTCAAGCCCAAGCAGCGGGGACTGGGCATGTGCGACCCCAAGAAGGTGTACGCGCAGGTCAAGCTGCTGCTGGCACAGCAAAAGGTATGGTGTATGTGCAGCGTGGCGTGGCGCGTACGTGCGTGTGGAGAATGCAGGCACACTGCGCAACTGTCAAGGCGAGGCGCTAGCGGCATGGGACAAATCAGTACGTATTCTCGACCACATGAAAATTGCGTCGTGGAGCAAGCAGGCGGGCAAGTGGAGCAGAGCAGAACAATCTTGCACAGCGTCGTCGGTTGCTGGTGCTCTGACTGTCAGCGCATTTGCCCCGCTCCCCAGTGACCCGCGGGCCCCCGATTTCACCGCGATCTCGTCCCGTCCTTACCCTACATGCAGCTGACTGCTGAGTGTGGCCTGAACGAAATCGTTCCCAAGGTGTGGGTGGAGCCACTAAATGGGGTCATGCCGGGCTCCGGTTTCCATGTCAAGTGGCTGGGGCTGTGGGCGGACATTGCGGATGGTGTGTCCGTGCAGAACATCCAGGTAGGCCGGTCCGGTCTTACTTTCTGGGGGGTAATTCGAGGTCATTTGGAGCATGGAAGCATGGGTTTCATTTCTATTTCAGAAGCCATGCGAAGGCACTGGTGCAAGGGTAGCCATTCCAAGGGCTTGGCTTGGGAGAGAGCTAAGGATGGTCCCAAGCAATTATTTTTGTGTATGTTGAGCGATAGGATAACAGTCCTTTTTATGCGGTTTTTTATTTTATCCATCTATTTTGGATAGCCCTAGGCTGGAACTTGGGCTTCCGGCTCGTATGGGCCCGTTACACCTTCGGAGAGTAACGCAACCGAAGGTGTAACGTACACAACCCCAAAAATTGGGTGCAGTTCAAGGGTAGGTTTTGATGCCCCACTCCGAGGCGTCGCGGGTCGTAAGGACATGCTGCATGGCGGAGAGGTGCAGGGCTTGGAGGCCCGCTACCTGTGCGCCAGCTTATCTCATCCTCGGTCACCGGCCGCGCCCATTGGGTCTGGTCGTAGCCGCAAGCACGCAACGCATCCACACGGGGAAAAGGGAATTAGACGCCTGCGCCATCTCTGATTGCAGAACGGATATTTGCTACCATTGTGGCCTCTACCCCTAAGGTTTACTATGTTTCATTTTCTGGTCTGAGCGCAGGAAGCCGGCAAGCCACCATTGAAGCCCGAGGTCATGCTGGACCTGTTCTCCAAGCGTATCAACCACCACGAGCTGGTGCAGGGCGCCATTTTCGACCTCCTCTTCTCACAGTGCGATCGCCACCAGCAGAACATATTCCTAACGGAGACTGGGAAGTTCTGGCTCATCGACAATGACCAGGTGTGTGTGTGTCTCTCCCCTTTAGGGTTGTCCCCTTTAGTTCATCCCCTACGATGTGAGCGGCAACGAGGGAATGCCGATGGTGAAGAGGTGTGTGTGTGTGTGTAAGCCACACGTTGTCCACTCATGTCCACGCGATGTCCTGCCTTCGGTTGCTATTGGCAACGGCAACTCAGTGCTTGACCTCTGCCGCATTTCCTTACCGAAGAGCAGTACGTAACCTTCTAACTCCGTGCCCCCGCTACCTTGCACCCGCAGGTGTACGCGACCGCCTGGCGGAAGTGCGGCATCGACTCGCTGCTGGTCCCCACCACTCAGAAGTTCATGATCAACCATCTGGTGAGTGAGAGAGCGCTAGGTCCCCTGTTTACCGCTGGTCGGAGTCGGGGTGTACGTGGCTACAGCAAGAGGTGTTCCGGGGTATGTCCTATTTTTTACCGTCCCTAAGTCGTATATGGTCGTAGCAGCCTGCATAAGGGAGCAAACGCTTTACCCCGGCCCGCTTTAAATTGCGATTCACCCCCAGGGCTTCTTTTACGTGCTGAAGTATCCCCAGAAGAATCCCCCGCGCGGCCCCGCCAAGTTCCTATCGCCCCTGCTGTTGCTGGACTACCGGTGTCACGTGCCGGTAAGCTGACAGCACGGCAAAGGCTTTGGCATGCGAAGTCACCACGCTCCGCTCGCTGGCCGCCTCCTAAGCGTTTAGATGTCCAACACGCCGCCAAGTGTACGTCATTGGTTGGCTCTTCCGTGCTGGCCAACGTCCTGGCCGCCCTTATGCAGGAAAAGGCGAACGGTTGCGCACCAATATGCGAGGGACGTCATTTCCCTCCTCGCGCCTCCCCGGACGGTCCCTCTTTTGCCCTCACCTTTGTAATTCCGAATCCTTCTCGTTTATGTCTGAGACGTCGCGTCTCCTTATGCCCAACGCAGGGCGGCGCCATTGCCAAGAACTTCACGCCTGAGCTGAATGAGTGCCTGTCGCACATCTCCAGTCTCAGCCCCGAGGTGATTCAGGAGCAGTACGGCTACCCAGTGCTCCGAATGGCGGATGCAGTACGCAACCGGTCCATAGGTGCGTCCGGAAAGTGCTCCAAAAGCTGGGGTTGGTGGGAGCCACGGACCAGGGGACTGTGGCGATGATGATTGCAGCGAAAATAGCGGTTAGAAGTGGAAAATTTCAGGGCTCCACTTCCGCCTCCTCCATGTGCTTTCGTGTGTGGAGGGGGGGGAAAAGGCCGGCTTTCGTGTGTGTGAGGGCAATGCTGCCAGGTCTAAGGTTCCACCTTGCTCCCTCGGCCCCATCACTTGCTTGTCTGCACATGTGTTTTTGCTTTCGTGCATTGTGCTCCCGGATGTGCTTTGTTGCCAGACCTACTTACGCATGGCTACGAGTGGACGCTGCTGTACGGCCAGCCCACCAACCAGCCCATGCACCGCTACAAAATCGCCCCCAAGTGTTGCGAAATGCATTTCAATGCCTCCAAGAGTAATTACGAATGCGACACGCCGGGCTATAAGGTAAGGGACACTCGCCGCCGCGGGCGCTAGTGCGAGGTCGACATCCGCGCATTTGGGGCGCAGGTTAGATTCTCGTACGTAGTAGCTTTTGCACGCGCTCGGAAGGATGCAGCCCGGAATTCGGTATGCTGTCTCCGGGGTCTTCTGTACCGATGATGTCATTTTACCTGCCAAGGTTGACCCTCGTTTGAGTTAGCCAAGAATTCAAATAAATAGCTCGTTCTGCATATGAATGCTGCAAAGTACTTGCTTGTTGGCATTGTGGGTCTTCTGCCTTGGCGCTTTTTCCTTTGTAGCGTAGGGCTCGGTGGAGGAGGTGCCTACGCAACCTTAGGCACTACAGCTCCCGGGCCGCGGGTCATCCCTGAATAGCTGAAATGGTTAACATGCTTACCCGTGATCGACCTGATGGAACAAAGGACATTCCTGCATCTAGTTGTTCAATTAACTTCTCTCCTTAAGTGAATGAATAACCTATTGTTATAAGTTTTTCACCTCTCCTACCTGGATCTCGCCTCTCCTTTTACGTGTACATTCCCCTGCCTATCTCGCCCTGACCCCAACGGACCGCAGCAAATGACGGAGATTCCGTTCGGCAACGCCTGGCATGGCGGTCCCTGGCACGGCACTGCTGGACTGGACACCGGCACGTACGAGGGCGGTACATCCTTCCTGCCCAACTGGTGACGAACTCCACAGAGGGGCTATTGCTGCAAGCGCGAGGGGCCGCAGGTGGCGCGGCAAGGTGGCCTGCAGGGAGAGGAGGCTGCCTGGCTACCCTTCGCGTGCAAAAAATGTCCTGTCGTCTTGCAGGGCATCCGGCTGTCGTGGTCTCGAACTAGCAGCGCTCTTTTGCATCCACCTGGAGTTCGGTTGCTACTGCTGTTGTTGCTGCTGCTGGGACAGTTGAAGAGAGGGGGACAAAATGAATTCCAGTACGCTGCGCGGCGGCACTGAAAGCGGAGGTACCTGCCATCGTGTGTGCCGCAGCGAGCAGTGCAGCCGCGTAAACGTGCATGGCTGTCGGTACTGCGTAACTTGGCCTACCGAGCGGTGCATGGGGTTTTGTGGAGTAGCTGGGAGCCTAGTCCCATTCGGCTGCGTGAATTTCGCAACCGGGTGCGTCCCACGTCCCTCACTGCCAGCGCTATCTCATAGGCCAGGGAGGTGAGCTCAACTGGGACAAATTGTGGCTCGCGGCTATTGGTGTGCGCCGTCCTGGCAGCTCGCGGCTTTTGCTGTCTCTCCCGAGGTGTTTGCGCCGAGTTCGGACATTTTTGGGGAGGGCCGAGAAGAAAGCGTTCCACGTTGCGGCAGAGCGTGCAGCATAGGTGACCGGGCGGAAACTGAAACGGGAAAATTTGGGCGGTTGTATGAGGGAATCTTATTGGCGCTTTGCTTGCGCTTCGTGTCTTGGTAACAGGCCGACGAAGACTGACTTAATAGGTGATGTCAGGATTGTGCTGATGTTTCCGGTGCCGAGAGTTCAAAGGAACTTGGTTCACATCAAAACGCATAGCAAGTACTGCCGGACGCCTGTGTGTGAGCGTGTGATGCATGCGCCCGGAAGCAGTGGGTGTTTTCCGCAACATATGTTTTGGAGCTGCGGAATCTGCTGGACGAAAAGGGCGTCAGTGACCTTCGCGTTGGGGCCTACCTGGTGCACAACCGCGAATATATGTGGATGTGGAACGTCATGCGGCAACGGCTGGCGTGTGTTATGCTCTTCCAGCTGGTTTTCGTCGGACCTTATGTGGGGTTTGCAGGAGAGAGTGAACGTGATATTGTCTGAGACATTCCTGCTTGGGCCGTGTTGACACGCTTAGTGGCTCGGCACGAGAAAAAAGCGGGGCCTGGGAGGGGGCGCAGATTGCATGATTGCGCTCTTGTGATACACGTTACGACTAAGACTGCAATTATTTTTGCATCTACCGGCGGGTACGTGCAACGGTATGTTGGACAAAGTATTGCTGGAACGGACGTCTTCATTGTCATCTTGTATTTCTTCGGCCATTCGTTCTCGTATGTCATCATCGTAACGTTTGGGCTCACAGGTTGCGGCCCTGTGGTTTGCGCCAGCTGAGGCCGCTGGGATCTCGTTGTGATTTTGGGGTCTGGAAGGTTCGTGATGGTCTCGTTCAGAGATCGCGTCGCATGCTACCGGGGTTGTGAATGTAGCCATCCTTGAGGGGAGGCGGCCTGTGTAATGCGGCCTGCCCAGCTCTTGTCATGAGGAGCCGGAGGCCCAGAGTGTTAGAGGCTCTATCCCTTTCTGGCATCTTCCGTTATTCTGTAAGGGATCACCTAGGCTTGCATTAATAACAAGGCAAAGATTAAATGTGACCCGTCATGTGGATGGGGGAGGACTGAAGGGGCCACATAGCGGTGCGGTTTGAAGGAAAGGATTGAACGCCGACGGGAGAAAAATCTTCAAACAAAGCGGATTGGACACGCAGCCCCATTACAATATTGTATACTGTTCTACTCGTAGAACAGTATACGTCTGCTTGCAAGCAGTGTGGAAGCATTCCTGGTGGATCGGACTCTTGCTGTGCTTGCGCGGCCAGGGCTTCTTGGGGTTGCAAGGGAAAAGACGAACGCAAGTAGCAAGGAAGCGTAATAAGCATCTGTAGGGCTACTTGGGGTGGCCGCGCTCAAGCGATGGGTGGCAAGGATTATGTTGCGTTTAATGGTCAAGCAGACCTGATTTTTTTTCAAATTATCTCACAGACGCAGAAGCGAGTTCCGCAACCTTGGGCCGGAGTACAGAGCGTGATTTAGGTTGTGTGTGTGCGGCTGAAGCAGGTTGGAGGCGCAGGGGCACGTTCTGGACACATGACACGCCCGTGTTATGCTGGCCATACCGATCAATGTCATGTTCAGGTTATGTTGCTGCGCTTTTGAGCTGCTTTGAAAGGCCGGACAGTCTCCTACAGACTTGCAATGCAATCACTACGAGGGGGCCACGCCAAGCCGCAGGACGGTTGCAGCATTGCAGAGCCAGGATGTAAGTTGCAATCAACATCATGATTTCTGTCAACATGGGCTGATACAATGGGAGTTGATAGCGGTAAAAATAAACCTGACGGCCACGGTCCCCTTGAAACGGCCAGCGTGGCCGCTGTGCTTAGACAGAGAGCGGTTGCATCTTTGAGCGTTTCCTTTTTAGGCTCCGTTCGGCACGATTGGAGCTCGTATGTGATACGACATCGCTACGAATGCCCTCCTTCACCTTGTAAGCTTACTGGTACCCGGAAGGAAACGGAAGCGCGGAGCAGACATCGGCAAACGCTTCGGGCACTTCGGGTCGTACCGAAACCGAAAAGCCCGAAAACAGAAATAGAGTTCCCGAAGCCGACAAGCTTGAAGAAATAGATGACCATTTGCCTGCCATCCCACACGAAAGCTCCTCTGCGGCCGAAGGGCTGCCCGACGGACGGAGACGGAAGTCAATCATGACAGAAATGGACCCGTTCCCGAATCCAAAAATACTCCTATTGCCAATGTCTGCGTCCGACAGCCAGAGCCGGCAGTCAATGCTGCAGAAATGGACCAGTTCCCGAAACCAGGAATACTCCTATTGTCGATGTCTGGCACGAAGCATGGTATGTCCTGTACTTGGATCGGTTGGGAGCTCGTTGGGACAACTGTACAGCGCGTGGATTCGGCTGTCGCCGAATAAACCAGACTCTAAGTAATATAACTGTTTCGACATTTGCATAAAGATTCGTACCTGGCAAGAATGTCGGTCAAGGAAACTCGTGCTGCAGGGCCTGCGAAATGGCGACTGAAAATGTTGCGCAGAGGTGGCATCTACTCTATGCAGCGTTGTTCTGTTGTCATTATAGCGTGAAGTTGCGCAGGAATGTCGCAATACGGAGACTGGACCCCGTTTTGCGTGCCATGGACTTGGGCTCGCGAGAAGCGATTCTGCTGGCGCTGCCCGCAGCCTATGCTGGTGACATGTATTGTGGACGGTATCCCCGACACGGGGTGTCCACTCGGATTTGTCATGCACCGGGACAAGCAGGCAAGTTGGACTTCTGCGCGGGGGTTTGACGTCAACTGCATTCCAGCCATGGCTACAACCTACCGCGGCTCTCAACTCTCTCTGACCTATACGTCAGACGCGTGAGGTGCAGATGCCCATTTGCATGCAGACAGCAGGGGCGCTCGCCCATACGAGCTGTCCTCCCCGCTTACCGTTCTTTCCACTCACGCCCACGTCCCTCTAGTTGGGCTTCAGGGCAATCCCAAACGACATGGCCCAGGCCCGCAAGTTCTTCGGCATGCACCTGGTCGACATCGCCCGACGCGACGCCGGTAACGCCTCCCCCATCACCTTCTACCTTGCACGGGGAAGCTGCCCCTGCGAGGACTCCAAGCAACCATCACCACAGCGGACTCGGCCGCAACAACCACAGCATTTTAACGGCCGCTCCGCGGCCACTGACTTAGCAACAGGAGTAAAAGGGCTCGCGATCGGATCCCTTGACGAAGTCGATAGGAATGGCGGCCTGGGTATGCGCCCAAACGAGGCGCTGGACGATGCCACCGCCGAGGACAACGACAGTGGTGGAAGCAGTAGCACCAGTACCAGCGACAGTCAAGCTGGGAGTAGCCCCGAAGGCGGCAACCCAGCAGTAGACGGACGGGGTAGGCGCCGCGGGGTGGCCGCCGAGGGACGGGGGGGTTTAGGCAGCGGCCGAGGCAACGGTGTACCCACTGCAGCGGCGGCAGGGCGCGGTTGCGGGGTCGGAGCCACTGCCGGTCAGGAACTGCAACGTCCGGCAGCGCCACCGCAGCTGGGGCCCTGCCGCTGTCCCTGTCATGCACGTCACCTGACGCGGGTGCTCGTGTCCCGGGAACTGGCTGAGGAAATGGAGGAACGGCGCGCGGAGCAGCAGCGGCCCTATCGCAAACAGCAGGTAGCGAGCTATATGGGCATAGGAGTCGGGCGCATAAAGATGCATGCCTGCATGGCTAGGAGAAGGATCTATTCCTGCTCTTACCATTCGTATCTGTGTGTGTGTTACATGGTTGGGGGTGCGTGACCCCATACTTGTAGAACTACCCATACGAGCCGAAGGCCCAAGGCCAATACCTGAACGCCTAAAAGGCACGGAGAAACGGAAACACCGCATTTCGTATCTGCCTTAACCTAATTTGCCTGTATATGCATGCAGATGTATTCATGCGTATGTATGTCATGTATACACATATGACGTTGTATATATAAATATACGTTATTTGCTTGTATTATGAATGTTGTATGCCTGCTTGTCCGTCTGCCGGTCTGCCTGTCTATCTGCCGGTCTGCCTGCATCTCATGGGATCGCAGGTGTGAGGATCCGGTTTTGCCATTCCCGCTGCAGGGCTATTTTTAATATTGCCGCGAACTCCATTTCCGCACACCAGCTACTAGCTAGTAGCTCACTTGCATTTGCCGAGACGCACGAGGGTTTTTCTTGTCGCATGTCATCACACCTCCCTGTGGCTCCCTTCATCGTAAACTACCCGTATTGTATGCGGCGCCAATCTGGCCCGGCGCCCAACTCCATCTCTTGTGACGCCAATCGGTTCCGTAGCGCACACCGTATGCCATGTGCTTTGTGCTGCTGCCTGCCGCGGGTCTTTTCTCTGCGCTAAGGCACGGCGATGGCATGGCGCGTGTGCGTACCACATTCGTACAAATAAATGCACAAATACAGGCATCATATGCATTGATAACATGCATTCATAGTGCATTAGCGCATATTATATTTTTCATCGTCTATTCCTATTGCGCTTTACTGTACGCCATGTCCCCGTCATGTTATCATCCACCCCAATCTGCATAATTGTCCGTCTAGAACACACTAAAACCAGAAGTCGACATTGCATTCGTCTGCAGATCAATGGCGCGAGTGGCACTGCGGCGGCCCCTGGAGGGGGAGGGGCCGCAGCAAACGGCGCCGGCATCAGCGCCGCTGCGGCGCGGGGTGGCTCATCAGCCGCCACACCACGCGGTGCCAAACTCCCCCCACTGCCCCGCATGTCAGCGGCTCCTCCGGATGCAGCGGCTGAGGCCTCTCCACCGCGCCATCCGCCACAGCGGCACCGTCTGGTCGCTCGCCCCCCGCCCAGTAGCAAAGCGCCCCTTTCCCCCAAACCTCCCGTCGCCGCCACAACGGATGCGGCTACAGGGTCCGCAGCTCCCGCCACAGCTGCTGCCGCTGGTGCAACCGTTTCCGCTGGGGCCACGGTGGCCAACTCGCAGGGCATCTCGCTGCCTGGACAAGGTGCCCTCGTCCATTTGGGGTCCTCCAAGTGCTCTACCCCTGCCAGACCGGAGTTTACCAACATCAGTGGGGCCATTTTCGATACGCATCTGGCGGGTCTTGAACGGGTGTTCGTGGCTGTGGAATTGGACGGTGTCCTGCAGTCGGACCTGGTCCCATGTTCGGAGTGCAAGTTGACGGCGTACCACAACGGCAACCGGCGCATTTCCCCGACGCCACGTCTAGCGGTGGGAAAGCTGTGTGTGGGATGGGGGTTGTTCCCGGAGAGCCGTGTGCTTGTCATCCGAGTCGTATCCCCCCCGGAGGGCACAGAGGTCCGTCGGTGCAGGAAGCGCCCTCGGTATGCGGGCGCAGGCGGCAGCCGCGGTGGCCCCGCCTTGCAGCGCAAGCGGGCGGCACCCGAGGCGGAGCTGGAGAAGCAGCCGCCGGCGTGCGGAAGCCTGGAGGGCCTGGCGGCTGGGCAGGGCGAAGGAGAGGAGGACGTGGGGGATATGGACACGTTGCGGGGCCCGGGCAATGGACAGGTAGAGGAGAACAAAGGGGGGGAAGGAGAGGCGAAAGGGAGAAAAAGTGGCAATAATGCTGAAGGCGATGATCGAGCTGCAGAAGAAGCATAGGGCAGTGGAAATACCAGCGACGAGTCTTTGGCCGAGCGAAACAGATAGCAGGATGGGACAAAAGTTGGAAGGAATGGGTCTCAGGGCCAGGCCGAAGACCAGGAGCAGGTGCCTGTACCTAAACCTAATCAGAGACATAGTTCGACCCCCCAGCCCAGCACAGCCCAGGGTGCATAGCATAAAGTTACATAATTTGTAGCTTAGATGCGGCAGGAGCAAAGCGAGTATAGCCTCTAAGCTAGGTTATGTACGGCAGCCGTATGGCTTGCTGAGAATTCGAATTTACTATTTCAGCTGACAGCTCCATAGTTCCGGCATTCTGCCTACACTATTGGAGCTTATTATTATTGTTGCTCTCACTTCCCCCCCCCGCCCTCAGTGTCCCTCGTTTATAAGCGGCAGGCTCGGCCCAGTTGGAGACCGGTGATTAGGCAGTCCCCTCGGAGCGCCGGACGTGCAGCTGTACAGCGATTACCGCACGGCAAATAAGTGCCTATAGAGTATCGTCGCGCGCTAGGAATGTCGCCTGGCCAGCCCCGCTGGCCAGGGTGTGGTTCGTGCGTCGCTGACGCTTCAGGTTTGCCCTCGGGGCGGGTGACCAGTGGACGCAGTCATTAATGCTGCGTTTAGTTGTCTAGTGCTGTGCGTCAGTTCTTTCGGCCGTGCCGGTGTGGCCGCGCTGGACAGCGCTGCGCGCGCTCAGACCGCGCCGTGTGGCGCTAGACCGCGCTTCGGCGCACACGCGCCCTGGCGCTCCGAGAGCAGCAATTAGTACTCTGCAGTAGTGTAAGGCCCTTGGCAGCCCCGGTTTCGCCTCGCCCTGTCCTATCCGACACCCCGAACGCAACCGTACAGCAAGCCATGAAGGCTATAGGACATAACAATACATGAAGCAACCAAATATGTCTTGCTGAACCTCCCTAAGCCGGTTACATCGCAGCATGGGAAAGCGAGCTGCGGAAAGATATGGCGGGATAGCGCGGCTATACACGCAAGCAGGCCGCACAGCGTCTTGCCGCCAGGCCATGGCTGGAGCTTGAATTCCTGGTGCGGAATGGCAGGGATGCACAGAATCTGGCTGCAGCAGCAGCAGCAGTACAGGGACCAGAAATAAACACCGGCGCGCCAAAAAATATTGTGTTGGCTATCAACGTGCCTTGTTGTTGATTGGTGCATTCGCATGCGTGAGCGGTCCTGCGCATAGGTGGAACCTGCTGTACGGGTAAGAAACGAGCGGGGCCGTGGACGAGTGTGGGGCATGGAGGCCGGTGATGAATAGTAGGGGACGCAATGTGACAGTGATTAGAAAATAGCATGATAGCTGGGGATGGTAGCGTGGCATAGTGCATTTTCTATTTTCGTCCGGATGCGCGATACTTGCCACATGCATCGATATGGCAACCGCATGGAGCAACCTCGGGCTGAAGGCCGATATTGGCTAGGCTCTCTTTTGCTATGTCGGTCTCGAGTGCACCAAACCCCACGCGTGCATCACTATACCGAACGATATACCACTATTGTTGGAATGCCCAGCCTATAATGATATTCTGCGGAAGATGGATTCGATCATCAACAGAGCATGTTGGAGGCCATGAAATGGGCTTCTGGCGAAGATGTTGGAGCAAATGTGGGCTCACCGCAACTCAGTTATTCCCTTTGGGCGGGCGCTAGTCTGGGCTGATAGTGCGGTGTTTCCTTTTCTCCGTGGCGTTTAGGCGTTGTAGTATTGCCCTTGGGCCTTTGGCTCGTATGGGTAGTTTTACAGGTATGGAGTCACGCAACCTCAACCATGTAATACACACACACACACACACACACACACACACACACACACACAAATACCGAATGAGCAGCCGGAAGTCGCAGCTGCGTACGTTTGTAGCGGGGGCTGGCAGGTGATGATAATGAAGTGCATCGATATCGTGTATGTGTGTGTATGTGTGTGTGTGTATGTAATGTAATGTAATGTTACAGAGTGGGAGGCTTCTGGGCCGCTTTATCACATTGTCAGTTCTACGATTTATCATCTTATAGCACCGTCCACCACTACCACACTATACTTCGCCATACGAACTGTAAGTCCAAGGCGGCGGGTCCAGCCATCTAGGACCCCTCCTCATCCATTCACCCGAACAACCGAAGAGACGGAGGGTTCGGCAATCGCCACCAATCTAGCGTGCGAATCTGGTCCATCAACTGCAACCTCAACTCCACATCTCAGCAGCTAGCCATAATCTCGCGCTCCCGACAAATTCGGGGGTCTCCCCAGGAATCGAACCCAGAACCTTAAACCGCGAATCGCAGTAGTGTCAACCCAGACCATGTGTATGTGTGTGTGTGTGTGTGTGTGTGTGACACATTTAGTGAGTTGCGTTACTCTTCGAAGGTGTTACGAGCCGGAGGCCCAAGGAAATAGGTAGCATAAAACACCGCATAGGAGGCGGTTAACATATCACTCGTGACAAGAAAAAAATATGTCGAACTAGTTGAAGTACCCAGACTGGTATGCCGTAGCAGCAGTGCGCACATGTTATTTCTTGACCTTCGTTAGTCAGATACTGTAAATAAAGGCTCGCCAACCTAAACTGGTCAGTAAACAGATATGTACGTCCGAACATGCCCGTTCATTGCGGTGATGGTCGTCAGTTCCCCAACAGGTGCTTTCAGTCGTAGCACCGATGCCCACACTGCCGTTGCTGCTGCTCAAAAAACATTGCAGTGCCCGTTCCGTCCTAAGCCGGCACCCTCCACCCCTCTACCCTAACCCCCTCTCCACCCCTCTACCCCAACCCCTCTCCACCCCTCCACGCCCAACTTCAAGTGCCCAACGTGGGCCCTCTTGCCAAGATGTGCACCATCCGTCAACCACCATTAAACCTCTTAAGAGTGTACAAGCACCTGTCGTCAAAAAGTCACCATTTTCACGTCTTGCGGTAGACATGCGCAATGTGTGCCCTGCAAGCAAGCAAGCAGTTGCAACTAGGACGACATTTGCCCGACCGCTACCCCGGACGTGTACCTTACACCTCTTGTCTGGATGCGCAGCAAGGGGGGTTGACCAAGCAACAGCGTATGCTGTCTTCTGACTGGCTGATGTCTGGAATGCCATTATCTGCATGTCGCGTGTACGTTGCCATGCAGAGATGTGTTACAAACGTCATTCACTGCGGCCACCAGCGTCAGGTAGATCACAGTACGTGTCCGTGCCCACATGAACGTGCACAGCCCTGTGCTGTGTGACTTCATCTATCACCTAGCTTGGAATGAAGGACATCGCTTTGTACTATCAACATGAGTACAGTTACCAATACAAACATGTATGTTAAGACGCGGCCTTGTGTCCGTGTGTGGAATTCCCAGAATCGATCCCGATAACGTGCGGGATAAGAATCCCACGGCCATTAGATGGGGAGTTGCGGCCCCACGTCGATGGACGGCGATAGACCGGGTTATAGGGATCTGCGAGCCGACCAGGACTGGAACTGATGCCGTCGTTGATCCGACAAATGCCACTGGATGCTGCTGGTGGTGGGTGAACCTGGCAAGTCATTGACTTCACACAGGTATCGACATGGGTGGCTCTGACGGATGAGAGTGGCTCGGTACATTGGGGAAGGTAGGGACTGCCAGGACCGCCAGGCTAATGGAGTGCAGCTATATCCCTTTACCTCACACAATCATACGTGCAATTGTAGAAAGCAGTGAACACCAGGGTGCGTCATGCGCCACGCAGTACTCAGCAGCCAGCAGCCAGCGGCTCATGTGCGGAAGCCCCATCCGTCCAAGAAGCAAGTCAGCAAATGAGGATGTTATGGTACTACGTTTGTCAGCTACTTGTTGACGCTTTCCTTGTACCAAGTCATCATTTCCTTTAGGGACTTGGGTGTCCCAAAGGGGAAACCAAAGGGGAAGGGGCTCCGGTCTAAGTCCCCGTAGGGTTTTTCGTACCTTAAAAGTGGAACTCCTAGGTGTCAGGGCTCCCCTTGCCCCATGCCGCGGTACCTACAGGCGCCTGGACGGTCCCCAACACCCTATGCAGTCGCCCTAGCTGCACAACAAGCGTGCGCGGAAGGACAGGGCCAGGGGCATGCAGGCTGCGGGTTGCGGGTTGCCGCATTCGATGTACCATCCACCTCGCAGGTAGGTAGGTAGGTAGGTAGGTGTCTACGCTGGCTAGCCGCCCAGGATAACCCTGGACAGGCCAAAGGCGGTGTCGGGGCGAGTGTCCGCCGGCTTTTCACGCTCCCGGGCGGTGTATCCCGGCACGTTGAGGCGATCAATAAGGGTGTCGGTGATAGTGCGCAAGTTAGCGCCGAAGGTGAAGGTGACGGGCTGCCTCGGGTCGAAGAAACCTGTTGATGCACACGCGAAGTGGGAACAACGAGAGAACAGACGAGAGGAATGGAGGGTGCAGAGCGGCACGACACATAGATGAACACGACAGCCAAAGGCTTCACGTGTGCAGGTGTGGATGGACCACTTTACATCGCATGTGTAGGAAGCAACGTAGGGAGTAAAGTTGTTCGTACTACATATTAGCCCGGCGAACATACTCCTGAAGCGTGGCTAAAGAGATTAGGTGTGACGACGACGACGATGATGACGACGATGGCCCCGAGGAGGGGAAACGAGCCTTAACACCGATGTAACGCAATATGTGGATGTCATCCACTTTCCTTTAAAAAGGAGGACAACATGCCCTGTTTGCACTCACGCCTTTACTCCGTCATGCCGGTAGTGTTGTATTGATCCTAGCTTAAACCCTGTAAAACAGTACGCACATCCCGGCCCAGACATGTTCCCGCACGGTTTATGCTTACCAATGGTGCCTGAGGACTTGGCTCGCTGTAGCACACCTTCGTACCCCTTGAAGGAGCCCTTTGCAGTAGCCACACGTGCCGTCCCGGTTGCGTCCTTGGTGAGTGTTGGAAACTGGTTGATTCGTGTTACAAAGCGGTCGTTGGTGGTGCCCTGGGGGATAAAGGGATCCGTGGAGGCGCGCAGCCGGAAGGCGACCAGAGAGCGGAACGGGGCGGACCGAGAAGATGGAGCACCGAGATGTGTCGGGGTGTAAGGAGGGGTGTAAGGAGGGGTGTAAGGAGGGGTGTAAGGAGGGGTGTAAGGAGGGGTGTAAGGAGGGGTGTAAGGAGGGGTGTAAGGAGGGGTGTAAGGAGGGGTCTCGGTAGCATCCCAGCGGAGGGAGCCAGCTGGGATGATCAGAGGGCCGTGGGAGTGGAGCGAGAAGGGGCATGATTGTGCGGTAGCGGCGCAAGGAGACGGTTTAGGGGTGAGGGGCGCATGCACCGGCACCAGGCGCAGCTGCTGTGTGCGATGCTGCACCGGTCTGGGGAGGCATGACACGATACAAAACAGGCAGGCCGGTTTTGAAGTTTGTGGATGTTCTTCTCTACCCCGGGGTCATCCGTCCGTCTTTCTGTCTGTCTGTCCATCTTTCTGTCCATCTTTCCCCCATAGAAACAGAATCAATCCATGAACACCCACCCACCAGTGTTCCATGTCCCATTCCATACCTGCACTCCTAAGGAAACGCCGCCAAGTACGACGTTGTTGCCAAATTGGAAGAGCTCATCATACGTGTACGGTGCTACGACAGCAGTTGAACCACCGGCATTATTGGCTCCGGGTGCAGGAATCTCAGCAACCTGGTTGCAGACAATGGAGCCGTCTGGCTGTCGCTCCAGCCCGAAAAAGTCCCCGCACTGCGGCTCGGCGCAGGCGTTGAGACCAGTGCCAACGAGAGTGTTGCAGTCGAACTGTGTGCGGGGGGGTGGGGTTCGGCGGTTGGCATTGTAGTTATCGATTGGGTTCAGGGCGCAGCAGTCACAGCACGGCATAACAGCACGCGGCAGGGTGTACGGCAGCGCGCCATGCTAATTCCAAGCCCGTAGGTAGTCCTGAGGCTGACCACAATCACCATAGGATCACTGATTCCCGGGTGGCTGCTGGTCGCCGGACGCTAAGCGCACCACGCCTTCGAGGACCTATGATCGACATGTGGGATATGGGGTTCTAAATTGGCGTGTGGGATGTGAGGTTCTAGGTTCTACATACTTCTAAATACTTCATACATCCTGGCTCCAAACTTTACCAACTAAAGCCCACAAGCCACAGAGGACGGGGGAAGTCGACAGTCGTGCGCGGAAAAGCTGTCGGAATAAGCCAATCTGCCTTAAATGCGTCGCCACGCATTACCTCGGCCAAATACGTCTCCAGAAACACTAAAGCTAAACACATTTTCCGTACAGTCGGGGCCGCGCTGACCTGGCTGCAAGCCCGTACCTCATCACAGCTATGCACGCGTACTCCGTACTCACACCGAACGACGAGATTGGTACGAGCAAAGAAATGGGTGCGCCGCTGGTGAGAGCCCCGCGGGTAATGCCGGTGAGGACCTGTTGCAGGCGACGCCGACTGTATACCACAACTGCGTCGTCATGGGCGCCGTGGCCCACGTGAGTTGGCTCCTGCAGCGGTGAAGAGTACAAGCTGCTACTGCTGCTGCCGCTGCTGCTGCCTCGACCCGCATCGGCAGCTGCTGCTGCTGCTGCTGCTGCTGCTGCTCTTGCTGTTGCAGCTGTATCTGCGGCTGACTCTGCCCCCTCCGCTGCGACTACTGCCCGGAACATGGACGGCGGCCACGGGGCTTCACCTCCTTCGCTGAGCGAGGCCCATCCGCTAGATTGCCGCCATGGACGGGGTGCTTCTAGATGCTCCTCCGAAACCAGGTACGCAGCAGAGTCCAGGCTGATGCCCCGTACAGTGGCCGCCTCCTGGCATGGCACCGGAGGCGTTTGGTCACCAGGTGGTGCTGTTGCAGAGTCCTTACTTGCGACAACCTTTGCCATCGTGCATGGTGATGCGGAGGCGTTTGTGGCCATCCCCCTGGCGGCTGCGGCTCGAGCTGTCCGAGAGACTGAAGCCAGGGGGACCGAACCCCGAACAACAGATACCGTCCCAGCAGTGTTAGGGCTGTTGATAGCAAGCCCAGTGGCAGGTTCTTCAGTGGTGCCAAGCGCTGCGGCCGTTACAGTACCTAGGGCCGATGCCACCATTGCCGTGATCGGCGCCGCCAGCACTGCTGCGTCTCCAGAACTCCGAAATGTTGCCGTTCCGGTGGCCGCAATCTCGCCTCTCTCCACCGGCACCGCGGCCTCCTCATCGTCCTTTAGCCGAACAATACGGTCCAGCGCTCCATCGCTATCGTACCCGACCACTGGCGTTCTCGAGACCGGCTGCGACCTTGCCGCTGATGCCGCTACCGTACTGGCAATATCTTTCAGTTCGCCGCTAGCTACGTGTTTTGCGGCAGCTGCGTCCTCATCGGCGTTGACATCGGCCGCCAAGACGCCAGTAGCCGCAAATCCACCACCACCACCAGCAGCAACAGCAGAGGCCGTCGCTGATGTCAGACGCGTCTCCGCGGCCGCTGCCGCAGCTGCCGGCGGCGACGTCACCGCCGCGGGGCTCACCGGGGCCGGTGACTCCTCCAGCGGCTCCGCATCGAATGACCAACACACCTCCTCGCCAGCCTCGTCCCACCCGTCCCCGTAGTCCCAGTCGTTGGGCATTCCGCACAGCTGCAGCGGGGCCGCCGACAGCCATGCCACCTCGTCCGCCTCCGCCAGTGCCGCGGCGCTCTCAGAAATCTTCCATGCGCCGGAGGCGCCGGGACGTAAATCGTCGTACAGGTATCGGAAATGTCCGCTGTAGTCGTAATGGCTGGACCAGGTGTGGCCTCCTGTGTTTGTGGAGAAAAACTGCGTTGCGTGGATCTGCGACGTACGATGTCGTACAGCATGTTTCAAAGAGACATGCCATCTGAACATATCCAATCCTGTGCTAGAGTTTCCATGAGCTTGTTGGGCAGGATGATGTGTCCGTCAGTTCTTGGGAGACTATTTGGGAGACTATTCAAAAAGGTGACAGGGCCGACCGGGTCATATGTCGGGCGCTGCAGAGGACAAGGGTACCTTCGGTACTACCGAAGCTACCAGACGTAACGGATGGAAACGTTACGGATCATTTGGGCCGAAGAAAGGGGAATGCATGACCCTAAGAAGACCGCCGCCGGTTGCGAGTTCCACGTCCGTCATGACAAAATACGCCATCCGCGCCATCATCCGGTGTTGAGGCGCTTACGTGACGCGGCACGTGCGCCCATGCAGCGAGCGCTTTGTGGGCGGGGTTACTTGCCTTCACTAGCTTGTGCACCTGCCTCCGCTGCAGAGGTGAAACTGGCTGCAGTGGCTGCAGTGGCGGCCGTTGTGCAGATCGCTGCTGTGCGGCCAAGGCAGCCGGTGGCAGCTGCAGTAGAAGATATAGCAGCAGCAGTTGTCACTATACCAGGGGCCCCTAGCCTGGCTGACAGCAGCAGCCCAAGGACAAGTCCCGGTAGGATGCACTGAGGCCGCGGCGACCGGGTTTCAAAACTGAATCGTATTGAATTAAATTGGGGATGAAACTCAAGCGGAAGCAGCAGCAGCGCCGGCAACAGTGCGGCGAAGCGGAGCGTGGGGTTGGTAGTGCGTTTCTTAGGGGCTGGTGTCGAAGGAAGAGTGGCTGGGGTCGGGTGGCATGGCTGAGGTGCGGGTTGCCTTTGCAGGTCCATGCGGATTGCGTGGAAGGTAAATCCTGCAAATTCCTGCTGCAGTTGGGCATGTCTCGTTGGACAGCCAAGGTTATTGCTTTTCCTGGGGCGCTTCACATCCCACAGTGCTTGGTCTAGCGCCTTGTGAATTGTGAATTTGAGTTGCGATACGATGGGGAAAGGGTGGACATGCTTGGGAGAGCCGAGACGCACGGCTTCGCGTACGCATTTTAATCGTAGGATCCAAGAAAATTACGGATTTCGACTCGGTGCGTTGCACTACAGCCATACACAACCAAAACAACACCAGATGACTACATGCTCTGTGTCCGCGGAGGATAGGTTTTGCTTCGATTAGAAGTTAAATGCCCGAGAAACGGAGTTGTGAATGAGTAGGGGTTCGCTAGGTCCGTCCTGTTTGGGTTCCTTGTTCGCCGGCGGACGCTTCCATGGCTATCACGAGCCAGGTCTGCAACATGCGACGCGGGGCAGAGGTCGTGGTTTCGCACTAGGTGGTTCGGGCGAGGAGGCCTTCTCGGGTCATCCCACATTCGCGCGCTGGGCCGCGGCAGCTAGTCGTGGGCAAAAGACAGGACCCTAAGCCCACGCCCCTTGTCCCCTACTCAGCCTGGCCTGCGTGAAGCTCCTAAATCACGCCAGCTCGTACACAGCTGCTCCACTTCGCACGTGTCGCTTATGCCGCGTGCTTTCGGCACAACGGAATGAATCCAGAAGCAACAACGGCGATAGCATCACGGCGGTCGCGTAGCGGCAGGTCAGACGGTTGCGTCTGGGAAGCCCTTTGCGTTGGTTGCGAACGTGAAGAACTTGTAGCTACTGCCGCAGTTACATGGGCAGCACAAACACCTGCTACTGCCGCCGATGCCGCATATGCAGTAGCTGGTGATTCAGAAGCAACAACGGCAGCATCGTCGGCTTCAACGACGGCAACAGCAAAGACAGCCGTAGCAACTACCCTCTTGCCAACAAGGCCCAGCTACTGCCAGGGAGGCGCCTGCTGTTCGCTTTTGATGCCATATCAACACGCTATGCCTCCGGCTAAGCCAATATCTCCTCGACTACCACCCCAGCGGCTCCTTCTCCTGCTCCTCCTGCTATTGACCTTGCAGTCCTGGCCGCTGTCGCCGGCCGTGGCAACTGCCGTGCTGCAGCTCCCCGCGGAGGTGCGGGGAATGGAGGACCTAAGCCCCGGCAGCCACACCCACACGTTAACTGGTACAGTCGCTGGAGTTGCGGCGGCACCTGGAAGGGTGCAGCAGAGGGCACCTCACGGCGAGTTCTCCGCGTCTAGCGCAACGGAACACAGCATAACGTCCGCAGCCGGCGTTACGGCAAGTACTGGCCCTGCTGGGCCGTTGGCGCTACAGGGCTCAACTGAGGCCCCTGGGGAACTTAATCTAGGGTCGTCGGCCCTTGCACCAGGTCGGTTGGTGCCCTCCACCGCTGACCCGAGCCAGCTAGGCAGCCTTGAGGGTGTGATGATGGCAGTAAGCGGCGGCATGGCACGGCACAGCGGCGATAGCAGCAGCGGCGGAGGGAGCAGTGGCGGTGGCGGCAGCAGCGGCAGCAGCGGCAGCAGCGGCAGCAGCGGCAGCAGCGACAGCAGCGGCAGCAGCGACAGCAGCGGCAGCAGCGACAGCAGCGGCAGCAGCAGCAGCAGCAATGGTGGCCACCGCGGTGGCGCGGCGTTGTCCTGGACCCAGCTGCGAGACGTGCTGGCGCCGCTTACGGTGTCCGGAAGCAGCACACGTGCGGTAAGTGGTTCCCGTCGCCGGGCTTCAAAGCGCATTACAGGGATCCGTCCTAGGAGCTTCCACGTCAGCCATTGCCTTAAATTCTGTCCTAGGCTGGTCTTAAAAATCGGGTACGTGCTGCGTAAGGCCCTTGTACACCTACGTGGCCTCGACTACGGCGGACTTGCCTTCTGGACTACCACTACTTCCACCACAAACGCAACTGCCCCAACCACCCTGTCGTATATGCGCGTCCCTTGGTAGGTCCCCGTCTCCACTGCCGCTACTGTTGCCGCCGCCGCTGCCGATGGCGGACGTAACAGCGGCACTGATAGGGTCGAGCACTACACTGAGGCTGATGGCTATGGCACCGTCCGCCGGCAGCTCCTTCAGGAGTTCCGCCGCGCGGTTTCTCTCCTCAAATCCCCCGTGGAAACGCTTCGAGAGACGTGGAGGCAGGCGGAGGCCACACAACGCGCAGCGTTACGGGACCCTTCACCGCAACCGGCCAACAAGGGCGGGGCGAGGCCCGCTCGTGCAGTCCTGGACGAGCTCAACGGCGCTCAGCATGCATTCCACACGGGGGACCTGGCGGCGCTGCCGATGGACGGCGTCGCCAACTTGGCCGAGCTGTACGGCTTTTCTGCGAAAGACATGACGACAACGTCCAGCAGTACGATGGAATGGGCGCAACATACGACCCCACCGACAGCCAGGCCGGGATCCAGGTCTGGATCCGGTTCCGGAGCTGGCGACCTCGCAGCCAGGCCGCTGCTGGCGGCGCGGTCGCCAGCTCCGGAACCAGATTCAGACCTGGATCCCGCCCTGACTGGTGTCAAAGCGCCGTCGGGCGGTACCGCCCCGAGTGCGGCTGATGGATGGTTCTCCCTTCAGGACGACGATGCAGCGCAATCAGAAGATTCCCTTGGCGAAGAGTTTCCAATCACCAGCGGCGGCTCGCCAACCGTCATCTACACGAGCACCAGTAGCAGCAGCAGTAGTAAAGGCGTTACTGTGACGAAAAGCAGTCACACCGTCGCAAGTAAAGCCCTGTCCGGTGGCGATGTACTGTCGCCGGCGGATGTGGCGGCGGCGAATTCACCCCGGTTTACAACTGGACTGCGGCTACGTCCTCCTACCTTGCTGCCGCTACCGTTGCAAGTAGCTGCACCGGCTGCGTCAGCTGTTGTGCCGACAACGCTGCTGCCTTCCTCAGTCTCCTTCCCTGCAGCCGCACCAGAGGTGGTTGCGGCCGCCACCGCCACCGCCGCCGCCGCCAAAGCGGCACGAGAAGTTAAGCCCCACCTATGGACCCGAGCCGGGGCTCCCTCCTCTGGGCCCCGAACAACCCCGGCATCAGAAGTGCAAGGCGCCACCAGCACCACGGCTGCCGTATCGGCTCCAGGGGAACTGCCTGGGGCCTGGGAAAGGCAACAGCGCGTTCCTGGCACACGAGCAGGTGCAAACAGCAAACAAGCAACCGGGGGTTCCAGTGGTGAGGGCGGTCGCAGCGGGGCTTACCGGACAGCCTTGGCGCTGCGACCCGTCCCGCGCGCCGCTACGCCCCCCTCCGGGCTTCCCAGCTTGCGTCGCGGCTGCCCCCGCAGCAGCAGCTGCCTCGACGAGGGCATCGACGTGGCGGCCCATCATCTTGACGACTTCCTGTACGACATGGATTACGTCGTACCGGATGACAGCCTCGCTGGCAATGCGCTGTTCGACCCGCTGTACCGCACTGGCATGGCCCCCCTGGAGTGCAGCAGCCCTAAAGCCGGGCCCCTGCCGGGAATGTGCCTGGCACCGCATGCGCCCATGCTGACACAGCTCATGCAGCCCCTGTACGACGATGACTATGCAAATGACTTTGGCACTGCCGTACAGGGCACGCCGGAGGCGGTGTACGGACCCGCGGGTCAGCTGGATGCACTGCGCGCCGCCGTCATCCTCGGCGACCTCCATACGCCCGGGCCCTGGGTCGCGACACAGCCGCGGCTGGCACCGGCACCGGCACCGGCACCGGCACCGACGCCGCGGGAGACGAATACGGAGATGGGAATCACGGCAGCGGACGCAACGGGTATGGCAGCAGCAGTGCCACTGCGATCCCTTGATGGAGATCTGTCAAAGCTGGGGGTTTCAGGGCCGAAAGGCAGTGTCATAAGCACTGGCTCTGGCCGGGAAATTGACGGGCCAGTCGGTCTTAGGACTGCTGGAAGGGGCGATAAGGAAAAGGGTGACAAGGAAAAGGGTGACAAGGAAAAGGGTGACAAGGAAAAGGGTGGCAAGGAAAAGGGTGATAAGGAAAAGGGTGACAAGGAAAAGAGCGACAAGGGCTCTGAGAAGGGTGGCAAGGATGGAAAAGATGGGTACGGCAAGGGTAACGGCAAGAACGGCAAAGGTAAAGGCACCGAGGACACGAAAGATCTCAACAGCCGGATCATCTTCTCCACTTCACCCTACCTGGTTGGGGTGCCGTACCCAATTTCAATCTATGCGGGCACGTTGTACTTGGCGGAGGCGGACCCAACGTTGGCGGCAAAGGGCAAGGCAGCCCGCGCCGGGCTCCTCGTAGACTATTACGTAAGTACGGCATCTACTTTGGGATTCAGGGGGTATTGCAATGAAATGTTACTGGCCGGATCCGTGTCCTTGTCCTCTGGTGCTGTAGTAGCTGCTGTAGCTGTAGCTGCTGCTGTAGCTGTTGTTGTTGCAGCTGTAGCTGTTGCTGGATCGTGCAGGCATCGAGCTTCCGTGAACAAAGACGCTCGCCCAGGACTCACTTGTCCCTTGCGCTGAAAGAAGTGGTCCAGGATCAGCACTGTCCTGCCCGTGCGGGGCTAGAATATCAGTGGGGATGAGCCTGTGTAATGGTCCGTTGCGGGGCCCTGGTGGTGACGTGGTCGGCAGCGCGCATCGACCTGGGCATAATTTCTCCCTATATATGTTTTGCAGATTGAGCGGAACTACTATACGACCTACACCTTCACGAGGTTTGGCCCCGGCACCGTTGCTACCACCGCAGCTACGGCCCGCTCTCGAGGACAGGTGGGGTTTTTTACTTGCGAACGATTGTCATTATTGTGACGCCGAGCGTGGACGTTGTCGTCCTGCACCCGCTCGCTTGCGCTAGACGCGCTTGAGTGCCAGGGCACGGCCAGAGGCCTCCCAGACCTCTGAACGGAAACTGCCCACGGCTATGAGGCCCCTTGGCCCTAAAAGCAACCATCATCTCGCATGAGGAGGTGTGCACATCCTTAGAGCTGAGATTTCCCCGCCGCCCGTCCCACTCCTAAGTTACAACTCCAGCCGCAACTTGGTCCGCCGCTCTCGCCCCGGCCCGCTCTGGGGCACGCAGATCGGCGTCGCCGCAAAGGCCCGGGCACTCGGCCAGGCGTTGTTCAACTATCGCCGAAACCGCTATGACGATAACAGGGTGGAGGTTTTCCTCAGCACGCAGGGCCTGGCGGCCAGTTCCGTGGGCGCCTACCTGTTCAACAACCCACTTGTGGATAACCAGTTCCTGTTGCAGCAGCCCAACTTGAACTGAAAGCGCCCCTCGGGCGGCTGCATGATGGCAGTGGCCACAAACTGACGTGTTACGCACGTGCTGGACAATGCCGGCGTGAAAGCGCGAGCCAGGTGGCGAGTGATTTGGTGTTTTTGTATGTAGGTCCTCCTCCCCCTCATGTCCCAAACCCAAAGGTACCAAAAGACTTTTATTCTCTGACTTGATATTTTCGTTTGGGCGGTGGATTTGCGTACCAGCAACGGGACCGACATGGCGTGACCAGGGAACCGAGGCCGACTGTACATGTGAGCGTTTGCCGCAGCGGTGTGATGGAGGAGGGCGTGGTGAGAGGGCTGTCTTAGGTAATGGCGTGTGCACATTTGTCAACACAAGAAGGCGCCAATTACGGGCCATGGCGCTTACGTGCTGGCAGCCATATGGCTGCTGCTGCTTTGGCCCCAAGCCGCCGTATAGCACAACATTCCTTTCCTAGAAAGGCCCTGCAGCCTGGCTAATGGCGGGTAGTGCAATTGGGAGAAGGTTCTGAAGTCCCAAGGCGCTGTTCCTGAGATCTGCAGCAGTACCCTGATCCGCCCAGCTGACTTTTCCGTGCTGCACCGCATCTTGGCAATCGAAGCGCTTGGGGACATGGCCGAGGAAGCATTATACGAGATTAGCCGTAAAAAACCTTTTTTTATGACCGCAGAGTTGGATGGGCGTGGCGCGACACCTACGTGGATCGTGATATTTGCGCTGGCCAGATGGCCATGTTGGTCAAATGATTGCCGACACGCTGAAAGGTTGCATACGAGGGCTTGCAGGGTCTGTACCGGACACTAGAGACACGCCTTACATAAGTCTTACAAGGGACAGCGCCGCTGCCACTATCACGCAATTAGACGACTGGAACTCACGCACAGGCCGCTTGCAGAGCAAAACAGCACAAGAGCTGCCCCAGAAACGAGTCTTTATTCCGGAATTCCGGGTTTACCGCACTAAAGTTACCGAGTTTACCACATTGCAACGACCCAAACAAAAGATTGCGGGCGGGCCACACCGTGAAGTGCCTAGTTATATTGGACACCATCAGCTTCTTCCTTTCAAGACCCAAGGCAAGCTTCAGAAAACGATGTCAACAAGCATCATCTGCCAATACGCATCGATAAGGTACACTGCGCATGCGAGCACGTTCCGTGCTGCAACAAGAGCAGCAGAGGCCGCGCCAGCACGCCAACATTCGCTGACACAAGAGCCTCCGACCTAACTGGAAGCCAACGCGGGCAACTGAAATCTCTTACATCTCAAAAATCCAAAATACCAGTGAGGCCACTAACCCAGGTCCTCAAGTCATGGACCCACCTATCCCCATATAAAAAAAGGAACACGGAAAACGCTTCGCAGCCAAAAATACACCACGCATGTCGCACAACCAAGCATTGAACCATAGAGGCACTGTCTTTGGACAGCTGGTCTGTTCCAAAGAACATGGACGACCTGCATGCCACAAGACGACCCCCCACGCTTACTCCAAAAAGTCGTCGCCCTTCCCTATCCTAACCCTCGACCCCTCCGTAGCGCTGTACCGGCCTCGCATGATAACGTCAGGTGACGCATGCGGGCGAGTGCAGCCATGGACCCGACATGGCGACAGCGCTCAGAGGAAAAAGTTGTGGCCCAGGTCTGGGCCCTTCGCAAAACTGGGTGGAGCCGCTTTATCGAAGAATCACCAAAATCACATCATCGCCGGTGTAACAAGCAGGCAACCCTGGACCTACCCTTCATCTAGGCAGAGGGGGTTGCTGCGCCGATTGTCCCAGTCCTGCGTCGCCACGACCTCCCTTTAAAAACACCAGCAACTATTCCCAAGCGCCCGTTGCTCCCGTGCACCCGGCATACGTGCGTGTGGGACTTATTCAGTTCCCAATCGGCCACAGCAGGCGGTGACCTCACGATCGGGCAAAAGTCATATATGACACCCAGACTGGATTGGATGCGGTGTGGCCCGATATCACAACGACTGTATATGCCTCTACGTGACCTGGACTTCTGCGATGATACGTCTCTACGTGACGGAATTGAACGCTTCTCGTTGAGTCAAGCCTTCGTATGCAAGCTGCCCTTAAATCTCCCATCACCATCCCTAGACGACCCAGAACCGATTTTACTCTCTCAAATCCCTGTAACGGCTACATTTAATCCCTATGTTCAAACTCGTCCGGTGGCGTGGATGTAGCGGCAGTAAGCGAGCCAAGATCTGTTTTCCCAATTGCTGGCTGCTGGGTATAAAAGCCCGCGCATCGCAGCAGCGCACATTACGGCCCTTTGTTGGGTATCCGTAGGCGACCTGACCGGGGTGAGGCAAGAACATGCCCGATGCCCACACAGCGGCAGCGGCAATGGCCTTGCACCGACACAATGCGCGCACCGCGAGGCTTCACCGCCCGTTTCGTGTCCTTCTCCAAGCCCTTGCCCCTCTATTTCTCTCTCTCTGATTCTTTTCTCTCCATCGCTTTGAGTCCTTCACGTCCCGGGACCTCCGAGCCCTCCGTACAAATGCTCATTTTACGACGGGAGCGAAAAACGCACCAACCTCAGTACGCACCTGCAACCCTGCACACCTGCAACCTGCACCTCCTTGTTTCCGATCGGACACAAGGAACCCTCCACGTCCGCACCACGCATTGTCCTATTGCGCCAGCGCTGGCGCCCACACAGCGGGGGTTACGCTGATCCCCTAGACTCTCATAGCGCCAAGGGCAAACGGATTCACAGCGCCACACGCACGCAGCGACGTTCATGAAAGAATCGCCACCGCCGCCATGATAGCTCCTCTGCTACCGCCATCACCCGCTTGCAGCGGCGGCAGCTGCACCCGTAGCTGCGGTTGCCGCTGCGGTGACGGCTACCGGCTCCGCCACTGGCAACTTCACCGGCAACCCCGGCCCCACTGCTACCTCCATGTGTTGCTGAGCCACCGACACTAAGAGGGGTTCAGCATGCGGTGGAGGGGCACCCAGCCCCCGCCAGTGACCATGCCCCACCTGATGCGGATGCTTCTGGTGAGGAGCAGTCGCCGCGGTGGTGGCATGGTGCGCATCGCCGTTACTTCCAGCACCGTTCAATGCATGGCCATCTGCGCCGGACGTCATGTGGTAGTTTGCAGAGGGCGGCATCGCCGTGGTGTCCTGGAGCCGCCACAAGTGCGCTGACGCTGACGGTTCCGTGCGCGCTGCCGCGGTAGTAGATACTGCTGTTGCGCCGGCGCGCTGCCGGGAATCCTTCACCCCGTTCGTCAGAGGAAGCGGCAGCGGCCGGTTGGCATTCCGCGCAGAGCTCGGCGGTCGGGCCCGTGGGGCACTCTCACTGCCGTTGCCGGGGCTGCGGTTGCCCTGCTGCGATTGTGCCTGTGGCCGTCCCGACATCGTGGCCCCGTTGCCATTGGTCGACGCCGCATGCGCGAGATGCTGCTGCTGTTGCTGCTGCGACATTGGGCCATGGCTGGGCCCGGAGGCTGCGCTGGCCCCACGACCCACGGATCCGCCCCCGCCGCTGCTGCTGCCACCGGCGGCCGCCATGCCCAGACGGATGTTTCGCTGCTGCTGCTCCACAGGGTTGCCGCGACTCCGCATGCCGCCAACCCCCATCATTCGTGCACTGGTCAGCGCCCCCGCCAGGCTACCCGCCATCATGCCCATGGCCGCCGCCCCCCTCCCAGCCGCTGGCGAGCCCAAGCCACCGCCAGACGATGACAGCCCGCCGTCGACACCACCAGCACCATCGGTGCCGCTGCTGCGGCTCCCGCCAGCACCGGCGGCAATGCCAACGCTGCCACCTGCAGAAGCGGCTGCCGCCGACGACGCGGCTTCTGCCGCCTGGCGCCGCCGCTTCAGCCAACGTGTCACCTCCACCGCAAACACTGTAATGGTGCCGTTGACGTAGTCCATGTCCATCCAGACCTTCATCCGCTGCAGTGTCGCAGCCACCGCCAGGCCTGTCGTGCTATCCGCCACGTACAGGTCGCCGCTGCTGCCGGAGGTGGCAGCGGCATCTTGCGTGCCGTTGCCGTTCTCGCTGCCGCCGCCCAGAGCTGTTTCCTCTTCGCGGAGCCAAGGATCGTGGTGCGCCGCGCCCGGGACATCGTCCTCACTGCCGCTGATGACGGCCTCGAGCTCGTCGTAGCTGCTGCTAGCGACGCCACCCAGCGGACCGAAAGCCGAATCAGAGTCCGAGTAGGAGCCGTCAGCGTCGTCAACGGCACCATCCGCTGCGGCAGCCGCTTCCGCGGCGGCCTTCTCAGCAGCGATGCGCCGCCGCCGCCGGCGGGCACGTGCACGGCGGTACTCGCTACGATGCCGCAACCTCGCGCGTTCTTCAGCTGCCATCTGCAGTACGATGTGTGAAGTGTACAAAAAGATCACAGGTTGGCAAAGAGTTCAGGGCATTGTATCAGCGGTCGCCGAGTGCGCGGCTACCGCAGGAAGGCAGGAGCTGACGTTTAGTCCGGACGCCACCTACCAGCCCTGGTAGCCGTGGGGTAAGCCGTGTAAGCAGCAGCATCCTGCGATACCCGAATCCACACAATTTCGCCCGAATTCCCGTGCCGCCCCTTCTCATCCTCCCCCACTCTGCTCCGCCCCATTCTCACCGTTGCCGTATAGCGGTTCATCACCCTGTCCACGTACGACGGCCATTTGACCAGGTCGGGATCAAATGGTGGCACTAGCAGCGTGATGGAGTGGTGGTAGGAGCCAGCGCCTGGTGCCTCTGCAGAGTCCGCAGCCTGCTGCTGCCGTCGCCGCGCACGGCGCTCCAGCGTTAGCAGCACGTGCAGCACGTAGACCTCCGCCACCACGGGCGGCATGTTGCGCATGTCCACCACCATCGGGGCTTCCGGGTCGTAGGACGGCACCAGGCCCTTGGCGATGGCCTCATCCAGTATAGCGAATGCTCTGCGTGCGGAGAGCACAAAGCGACGTGGCAAACACGAACGCACTTGCCGCGATACTATTCCGCAAAAGAGAAGTTGAACGAACATGAAGCTGCATGGATGCCCCTTTCTTGCGGTTGTGGTGCAGCAATCTCACTGAATCGAGCTCTCATGGGGCAGCGTTCCGTCCGGTTTGATGCGGTTATGTATCAAACGTATACGGTCCTGATCACCGAAGTTTTTCTTGTACCCTTTGGGGGTCAACTTTTCCCCTTCCGCTTCTCTCCTATGGCCATGTCCCTCCTTTGACAAACTATGATTCTCCTTCCTGTATTATGTTTTTCTATGTTGAGTGCTTTGGCGCACTAGGCGATAGGAAGCCTTTACGTTCCTAACTCGTATCAGGCAGGTTCGCGCGAGCGTGAGATTCTACGATTCAAACGTACACATCCACATGTCGAGAGCCGCGGCGGTCGTAATAGGACGCACCTGGGCTCAAACGCCACCTCGAAGACCTCGTTGCGGGAACGCAACGGGACGAATGGCGAGACATACTTGGGCGTGGCCTCCGGGCTCCCGGGCTCCCCCGCCGGCAGCATCATGGCGCGCATGCAGTTCAGCAGACTGCAAGAATGAGTTCCACAGGATACGGCGGCAGCGGAGGCAGCAGCAATGGGCCAAAGAGTCAAAAGCCATCTCCACATCGAGGGCAGGGCCACAGAGCCGACTGCGGGCATTCGGATCGGCCCCAGGCCCGCAGTTGGGAGGGTTTCTCCTCGACGACCATGCATCTGGGATTTTTCGTACCTGAGCCGTGCCAGGATCAACCACCTACCCTCTCCTCCAAGCTTACCCAAACCCTTACCCACCAATCCAGGAGCTCCAGTGTGGGCCGGAATCCCCGGCTGAGCATGTGGTGGAAGGCGCTGAGCGCGTGGCTGGCCCAATCTATCGTGTCAGGCGGTCCGTCAAAGGGGTTGCTCTGATGGGCACCACGACGTAGCTTGTGCGCCCCCAGCGCCGCTAGCACCCGCTCCGCTTCCTTCTGCCGCTCAGCTGGCAGCCCCCGGCCGTGAGGGTGCCCCTGCGGCGCTGCAGACGGCGCCATCGCCACTGCAGCCGCAGGCGAGCCGACCGGCGGCTCCGATGGCGGGTAGCCAGTGGGCACCCACATAAAGCGCGTCTGACTAAGACAGGCCTTGATGAGCATGTAGTAGATAGCCTGCGCGACGCTGAGCTGCAGGATCTGCACCTTGTTCGCATGCATGAGCGCAAAGACCTGGAACGCCAGGCCCGCCTGGTCCGTGAAGGCGCAGGCGTTGATGATGATGCGGTAGGTGTTCAGATTGGGGCTGCGACCGGCGGCAACCATGTCGCTCAGCAGACTGACCACCTCGCCAAATCTGACATGCAGCGACGGAGGACGGCGACGGAGGGGAGCACGGGGTAAGCCTAACAACTGAGTGGTCCGACGGTAGGAGGGGATGTTGCACATCAGGCACCAGCCTAGCCATCCAGGTGCAATCCCAGTGCATGCGGGCGGCTTTGCAGCGCTGCCATAAAATTTCAACACAGTAATTGACAGCTGCGGTGCCTGCCACATTATCCCCTCTCACCCATCCCCGGGGGAAACCCCAGAAACCTGCCTTTGTACAGATCAACCCAGCCGATGGGCTCATCCCGAATGAGCGTCCAAACCGTAATTGAACGGCACATGCATTCGGATGTCGTTATCGCTCCGCGGCACGTTTTCATTCCATGAGCCGCCTCACGTTAGGCCCTTGCCAACTTCTCGTACCCATTATCCTATAAGTCACCCCACATCCCTCTCACACACCCTGTTCTTGGCGTGCCCAATCTTAAAGCACGTGCACCCAGCACGCCCACATCCCCACCTGCACTCGCTGGCGTACACGTCCATCATGCGATTGAACTGCGACAGCACCGGGTACACCTTCTGCCGTGCGCCCAGATCGTACACGCGTCGTGCCAAGGCCAGGTTGCCACGCTCCAGGCAGGCGTAGATGATGGCCGAGATGGTGGTTGCGGAGGGCCGAATGCCCTCGGCCGCCATCTCAGTGAGCAGCTCGAACGAGGTATCTAGGCGGCCGCAGCGGCCCGCAACCGCCATGAGGCACGCGAAAAACTTCTTGTCGGCGCGCACCGATGCGCGCTGCATTGCCGGGTAAATGTCCTGGGCGCGCTCCCAGGCGTGCGGCAGCGGCAACATGCACGCCGACAGCGCCTGTGTGTAGATCTTCACCTCGGACTGAAAGCCCTGTGCGCAGAGGGGCAGCAGAACGATAATACGTTAGCTCATGGGATCGCATCGGTGACCCTGCAGCAAAATCGCAACCCTCAATCACAACCATTCATTTGGCGACCAAGCCTACACAGCCCGGGGGCACCCGGCAGGTCGCGAGGTGGTGGTAAGTTGGGGGCAGTCGTGTGCACCCACATGAGCCGCCGCCCATGCACATCAGCTGGGAGTGGCCACCACAGCGAACATGCCGACGACGTAACACAACCGGGCAATCACATGGAAGCAGACATATGCTGCTGCCGCGTTGCAGGACACTGTCGCTGCGGGGACCAAGAGCGCGGTAGGGGGACGATGACAGCTCGGCCGGTAGGGCTCCCACAGCACGCTGAGAGCAAAACCAGGGGGGCTACCTGGGACGAAGCACCTTAGTGCAGTTACGTGCGCCGGCCGTATGGAACGCCTCCCCGCCATCCGCCCTCTGTCCGCACTTTGCACCGCAACACCGTAGCAACTTCTACTTTATTACTTGGGTCTGTGAGCTTCAACCCTCCAGGTCCAGCGCCGCGGGTGCTTCGCAAAAGCAGGCAATTGACGTCCCGGCTGGCAGGGTGTCAAATACCAAGTCTATGGCACGTGGAATGAACCATAAGCCGCCTCAGGCCGGTCAAGATGCTCTTTGGCACCACCTGATAGCTCTCGGGTTGAGACGTGTATCAACCCAAGCTGGCAGTAGCCTCGGCTGCAGCCGAAACCGGCGACTGCATTTCACGCAGCACATCACCGCTGCCCCGCAAAAACCTGATAACGCTAATCAACCAAAAATACCACGGGATGGCCAACTCCTACACCTCAATCATATCAACCCCAGCACGCGTTCGCCCGCGTGACATCGCCGACCGAACCGGTGGCCCTGTGGGGCACCCTTTGAGGACGACGAGCGGGCCGTCCGGGCGCCCATCGTGTTTTGCGATGTCTAGCTATCCACACCCGCAGCCCTGGCACTGCCGTCGCGTCCCTCTGCCTTCAGCCAACCCCGCTCTTCCCCTCTCGCTCTCCTGACCTTTCTGCGGCATCCACAGCCGCCTCATGCATCATATCCCCAAACCCATTCCTTCGCCTCCACCGCGACGCTCCCTTCCCGGGTCCTTGCCCCCCTTACCTTCTGCAGCGCCACCTCGAACACCCGCAGCGCCTTTTCCGGCTGGCGCGCACACACGCACGACTCAATCAGCGAGCCATACGTAGTGGCACTGGCGCTGATGCCGCGCTGCTGCATCATTGTCAACACCTCGAACGCGCGGTTCAGCTCGCCGCTGCGTCCCGCGCACACCATGAGCGAGTTCCACACGGGTGCCTGCAGCACCACCCCCGCCGCCTCCGCGTCCGCCACGTACTGGAACGCACGCTCGAGTAGCACGTACTGATCCTTCCGCTCGTGCATGACCGTGAGATCGCGCTTCATAGCCTCCGCACATGTGGCAATCAGTGCGCCATATACGTGGCTGTCGATGCGGTGGCCCCCGGCGCGCATATCCAGGTACACTCGGTGGGCCTTGTCCACATTGCCCACGGCTTTGCAGACTGGGTTGATGTGAAGTGCGAAAATTGCCATTGGGGGGGGGGGAGGGCGTAAGAGGCGAGCGGCAGATGGAGCTGCGAGGGGATAACACTGGCGGAGACCAGGTCATGATGTGGTCGGTGGGGTCTGCACGGAGGCTAGTGCTTCCGTGGTTATATAACCTCTAGGATGCAGTAGGGCGCGGGACAAGGGCCCCAGCAGACGTTTGCGGCCTGGCCCGTGGGTGTCTACATAGCTGGGGTGGGAAAGACCAAGGGAGGAAAGAAGCTCTGCAAACCCCAATAGGACCCAGGGAATTGTGGTAGGGAGGGGGGCGCGCGTACCGTTTATTAAGGAGGTCAGCATGTGGCTGTCTATAGGCACGGCGTGCTTGCGCGCCAACTCCAACACCGTCATCCCAGCATCAAGGTCGCGGCACTTGGCGCATGTCTTCAACACGGACATAGTAAGAAGGGCCGGCTTATGCACGTTCGGAACAGCGAGCTTTGCAAATTGCAATGCTAGTTTGGCCTTCTGGTTTCGTGTCACAGCGTCGAGAAAGTCCTGATAGCGCCACCTGCAGCAGAACCCAGAGCACTTGAGGTAAGGCGCCGTCTGGTCCTCTCAGCTGGCCGCATGTCATCCCACGTCAGCCCTACCTTCGGAAAATGGCCTCCTGGTCCGGCTTGCTGAGTTCTTGCAAGCCACGAATCAGAAGTTCAAGTTCGCCTCGCCTGGTTAATTCTTTCAAGGCACTTAAACAGCCATGCTTGCTTTGGGAACTCTTGAACTTGGCAACCAGAGATTCTAAAGAGTGCTCGCTATAGCTTGTTGAAGCAGGCACATTTCGCTCCTCTGCGCTCCAGACGTTTGAGCTGCTGCCCAATACTAGCGAGCTGAAATCCTCCAGCTGTTTATCCGTTAAAGGTGTCCTCTGCTGCCATGAATCCTCCCCAGAAAGAAGCTGTGAGCAATGTTGCGCTCGTTGCAACGTTGCAATGGCCGCACGCGAGGTGTCCTTGGCAACGACAGGCATTGCCGGCGGCGCGAAAGCACCGGCAGAATACCGAGCACGGGTGATAGGGACCTCATCCTGAGGACTGGGTTCAGCCTGCTCAAGACGTGGAGCTGACACGCGCAGGACACAAGACCTGCGTGTGCAAACAAAGCAAATTGCTCGCACCTAAAACGCCCACGCAGCAGTGACAAAAGCTCTGAAATGCTAATTGAACCAGCATGCATCTGCTGTTGCGTCGCAACATGGGTCAAGGTGATCTGGCCATACCTTGACGGGTGGGGTTCCCGGAGTGCCACCGTTTGACACCTAAGTGCACCACCGGCCGCCGAGTGCGCCATCTAGTCCAAAGACTGGCGTTTCCTTTATAAACAATCCTTTGCTTACTAACTTAGATTCGTATGGCACATACTTCTTTTTCCTTGCAGGACAAACGAGGACTACTTCAACAACACATGTTTACTGTAGTGGCGAAATACAGCAGAATCTACAAGCCTGACTGGTAGCAATTGGAATTCTTGTCTAGTCCGTGCCGTCGATGCCAAGGCGAGTGGATAACGGTACGGAAGGGAACCAGAACTAACTGGACAACCATTCATTAGAGGTGCATCATGCGATCCACTCTTATGTTCTTGCAATTAGACGCGCCGTCCTTCAGCTCATGTGCCATGGGAGCTCTTAGTGCATGTGTCAAAAGGAGCTAGTGAATGCTAGTGCCGTGCAGGCGGGGTCAGACACAGTGGCAATGGTCGCGTTTCCAAGCATGTGAAGGCGCATTTTCAAGCAGGACTTTTGAATCATCTAGCAAGAGAAACGATAATGTGTCAAAGGCACTGTTCGACATCCAAAGGACTGCATGCATGTTCTCGCAGGCGAAGAGCTCAAACAGATAATTTAAACGTTAACCTGCAAAGCGATTTTGTGAATGGGTATGAATTTCTCTTTGAAATGGCAATAATAGGGTCCAGGACATGGCCACTGATATACCAAAAGCTAAAATGAACACTGCACGAGGATAAAGAAACAATCCCTCTCCTTAGATACCTAAAACAAGTAGAGGGGCCAACCCACTTTGCAGCGGTCGAGTTGCCGTACATGCATTTCCCACCCAAGTCTTGTACCGAGACAATTTTATCTCTATGTCTTGTCGAGCCCTAATTGTGACGTTATCGTTTCAGCTAGGCGCTAAGCCTTGATCACGCCCGATCCCTGCTATCACATGAGGTGCGACCCTTCGATCTGCTGCTAAGCATAACTTTTTTCGCAAGCTCACAGCTCTTATTACTTTTTCTCCTTGCCTATACACAGTACAAAGGAGGAGAAGCCGACACTTGCGTAAGTTCAGGCTTTGGGTTAAGTTGTCAGGAAGCCGCCTCCGACATCTGCGGTTGTGTCCCGGCCGCAGTGGTGTTAACGTCAAGACCCGCAAGCGAAATATCGTCATTCCTGAGGATCCTGGCTCCTTTGCTGATGCGGTAGTGACGCTTTGCCAGGATGCGGCAGACGGCGTGAGCCTTGAAGCCGATCTCGAAGCCGCCGCGAAGGCACTTGATGGCGCGGAGCTTGAGTACTCCCGCTATGGGGATATTCTGTTCCAAGTTTTTTTCGCGGGTGGGCGCCTGGGGACTGGCGCACAACTGGCGGCGGAGGACAAGATGCGACTGAGCACCCACGTACGTAACATCGTTTGCCCTGATGTCCGTCCACGAACCCTCTTAACAACGGGAGGTTACGCGACACGCAGATCTTGGCTTGCGAACCCACGCGGGAGGCTATTAACCCCTACTTCAAGCTCTTCCAGACTCTAACCCGGTACGGCACATGATGCAACGTTGGGAAGTTGCTCGGTGATATCATATCTGGCTCTGCACATTGTGTGAGTTGTCCCCGTTGTGACCTTTATGGCGACTGTGAATGTGTCCGGGGTGCAACTCATGGGGTAGACGTTCCGCGCGGAGGGGTAGCGAGGCTTGACTCCACCTTGGCAGTGACACTACACTCCCCCACCGCTTGCGCAGAGCACCTGGCTGTTTGTAATTCGTCTTACATGTGATATCGATACATGGCAAAAGTATGCCTCAGGAAAGGGTACAACATTCCTTTCCGCTGATGGAGCTTAGTGATTGCCTGATTATCGCCACCATTATCAACTGGCGCGCGTCTTTCCCATGTTCACGCCTAAGTCGCCTGGAAGGTTACAGCGTTAGGGAAACCTTTTGACTTGCTCGTTATTGCCGACGGTACCATGGTGTAAACAGGCGCCGTCCGTTTCTCATTCGTGGTTTGGAGAACACGCTTGTGAAGCTGTTGCTGTCACTGGAATTCTTCGACGAGGTTGGCCGCAAGAAGCTGGGCATTGGTAAGCGAGCAGGCATCGGCAGACGCTTCGGGAGTTTCGGTCGTACCGAAACTCCCAAAACAGAAAACGAGTTTCCGAAGCCGGTCGGCTTGCAGAAATAGGATCATACGCCGTGTACGAATGTAAAACTCTTGCATTAAAAACGCATTTTCATTTCGCGGCCTTGTTAAAAAATTGTACTGGAAGACAGAAATAGACCCGTTCCCGAAACCAGAAACACCCCGTTTGCCGATGTCTGTAAGCGAGCATCTTCCGTTACTCCGTGGACGGGAAATGTGTGGTTACCTGGGAATTGGTCGTTGGTCGTCTGGAAGGTTGGGGGACCGTGTGCTAAACTGCAATGTTGTCGCCGCCTACTCGCTTGTGCTAGTGGTAACTGGTTGCTTGTTGCCTGGTTTTAAGCTCGTGATGCTTTCAGGATACACATCAGCAGATCGTGTTTTCTAGCCGCGGCTAGGAAGTAACACTGTTTTGTTCGGCGTGTATCACCGAACTTCAGTCTAGACCACCTAGGACGACTTCACGTCCATGCCTTGCATTAGACAATTGAAACCATGTCTAACGCTGCATGCGCTTGCACGGCACCGCCTCACCCGTCTATCGCAGCCCTAGCTTTGACTTTCTCCTGGAAAATTGGCGTAGTCCCGCCAAACATCTTTGCGGCTCTCCTAAATGATCGGCTGGTGGCGAAGGGCACAGTCCTGGAGGTCATGACGGTCTTTTTCCAGGTTAGTATCACTGCCCAGGTTAGGGTATCGTCCGCCGAAACCCCTTTGCTCGTGACAGCGACATTATCAGAATATCCTGGTTTTCCTTGCTTTCAGTTCGTACGCTACAAAGAAACTAAACGAACGTGCAGTATGGATAGTTACTCTGTCCCGGGTTGTAAAATTGGTGCGCGTCGTAACGCCAGGGATGGTCGGAGGGTTTATCATAAGATGCCATGCGCAGCACCTTGGAAAATATGCTCTTGCTCAAGCAACCTCCACGTCATGTCTGACTTGACTGCTTGCGTAAGCTTTATCCCTCCCTCCTTCTCCGTAGGAGTTCCTCGTAAAGGACTCGCTGGATGACCTGGTGTCAATCCTATCGAAGGCCAACATTGCCAATCGCCTGGTGGACTTTGCGCCGCCCAACAAGCGTGCACAAGCCGACTTTCATCAGCTGCTACGGGTGAGCTTGTCAAACCCGTCCGACGGTACAGTTGTGCCTCCTTCGTCTTGGCCCCACCTGTTTCGCGCGAAACTGTTTCCGCAAAAGTGTCATGCCATTTCAATTTGTGCTCTGGTGCTGTTATTTTACGGGATGTTCATGGTAGCTGTCTGCGCTGCTATCATTCCCTGGACTGCCTCTGGGCTCAGACAGTAGCCGGAAAGTCCGGCTTTAATCCACGCCTTGCGATCTGTGCCGCATACAGGGCGCGGGTTTGGGCGCTTTGGTGGACTGGGATGTGCAGCGTGAAATCGACCTACGGGTCACGGAGCTGCAGGAGGCTCTAACGGAGGCCATCACTGCAGACCCTCCTATCGCGGTGGCGGAGGTGCTCACGATTGCAAAGAACAAGAGAGGTGAGAACAACCTTCCGGACGCCGAGGTCCTGCGGGTGAGCTGGCTGGCGCTCATGAAGTCAATCAACCTGACGGGCAAGAACCAGCAGCAGATCACGCAGTCGGTGATGCAGAAGCTTAAGACTTACGGCAAGCTGTTTTCGGCTTTCGCGACCAACGCCAAGGCGGAGTTGGCGCTTATTAACACCATCCAGGTTAGCAGAGGGTTGGGTTCATAATTGCTTTTAGCGATATGCTCCATGGGCATGTGCGTCGATTACTTGAACCTACTTGCCACTAGCACGTACAGTTCGGTCATCAGCAGACAGCATGCAACCAAAATGTAATCCCCTTCGCATAACCCGTACCAGGTCTTCTGTTATGAGGACACTCGCATGCTGAAATGCTTTACCGACATTGTTAAGCTTTTGTACAACGCGGAGATTGTTGGCGAGGACACTATTCAGCACTGGCACAAGAAGGGCAGCCACGCCAAGGGCCGCGCCGTGTTTCTGAAGGATATCGAGCCCTTCATGAAGTGGCTCGAGGAGGCTGAGGAGGAAGATGACTAGATAGCAGGATTGCATAGCATGCACGTATAGAGAGCAGCCCTGGCATGGCGGCTGCTACTGTTAAGGTATTACGAATAGCCCTCGGACGCAGCTGATGAGATGACGCCCACTGGTGCGGAAGCCGTGGGCTGATGGTGGGGGCCTTTCCGCGTCGGGCATTCTAGGGATTGTCCAACATACAGATGGGGGAATGGCAATGCAAGTATAGGTTTTAGTTTTCAGTTAAGCGTATGGCGCAGGGACCCAGCGAGCTCCTCTTGCGTCCTTCGTTTTTCGGTAGCGTCACGGTCGGGAACGTGGCCTAAGCATAAATGAGTCGCCGTGATTTTGTGCTATCATCGGACAAGTGGGCCCTCCCATGTACGGCTTTCAAATTCAGGTAGCTCATTGGCTCCACCTGAATGTGCATCTGTAAGCTCGCAGCTCCAATGCGGACAGTAATGCGCCATGTAGCCGGGATGAAGGTCTTTTGAGTGGCGACATTAGGCCTTGATCCGTTGGGGCCTCGTGCTCGTCCGCGTGAGTGACACAATCACCTGGAAGAGTGCCATGATTATTTAGACGACTTGGATGGCTGCGGTTGGTAGTCGGACCGCCAGTAACATTACGCAGGAATACAGGACCAGGTAAATATTCCAAGCGATGGCCTAATGCTAAGTAGTGGTTCTTGAGGCTAACCGTTGAGCCAAGCACAGTGTGCTGGAGTCACACTGTTTATGGATGAACGACATAATCAGCTTGTCGCGCTCATTCAAACAGTTTTACATCATATAACTGACCAGAAGCACCGTAAGTTAATTTATTGTTAACGTTACCGCTTCCGTTCCATAAAGGACAGCCATCATTTTAGGTAAAAGTAAGCAACCGGTTATAACCCCATACACATCTAAGAGCCTTCAATTTTTCGATTTGTCAAATCTGGGTTCGCCCGGGTCAAGATGTTCCTTATGCGCCCGTCAACATCTTGGACCTATCAGTTGGTAATCCTTGCTTGGCAGAGCGGACAGCTATGAGCTATTTCAAGGGGTTCTTACCATCAAAAAGAAACGATGGTAAATTTTGACTGCATGTTCTTACGTTTCTGCACGAATTCCTGTACGACTGCCGTAAGTGCTGTACACAAAAAGCTCTTTAAATACCCCCCCGAATGCATTTAACTTGTACTGCACTTTGCGAGCTCTTCAAACACTACATATACAGTAAGCTTTAATTCAGTCTTCAAGTACAGGATAAAGGTTTGCTGACGGCCCGCATAGCCCCGCGGCCAAGTCCCAAAGCTTCGCGCTTTCATGAGCTCTCCCGACGTGGTTCTTCCTGGTGACATCTCCAACCTTGGCGTTGGATTCGACCCGCTTGCTGACTCCGCCGTCGCCGACGAGGGCAACGCTGGGGAGGATGCTGTGCACATCCGTGTTCAGCAACGCAACGGCCGCAAGTCGCTAACTACTGTCCAAGGTCTAAAGGAGAAGTAAGTTGCAGTTTTGAAAAACGAGCGGGAGAGCCTCCATAGGTTGCGAGACGTTAGGGGCAAACCTATACAGTTTTGGCGCCCTTTATCGTAGCCCTGCGTTAGTGTTAAGTTCGCTGCTTTATAAAGTTTTGAAGTGCTAAGACTGAAGAGTTGCGACGCTTCATACATGGCCTTCCTTGAACTGTTTGAGCAGTTTCCATGGACTGCATTTCGCCTCTTGCTGCGCACAGGTACGACTACAACAAGGTACTTAAGGCCCTGAAGAAGGAATTCTGCTGCAACGGGACTGTCGTGGAAGACCCCGAGCTTGGCAAGGTCATTCAACTTCAGGGCGACCAGCGCAAAAATGTCAGCGATTTCCTTCTGGGCCAGAAGCTAGTGAAGAAGGACCAGATTAAGATTCACGGCTTCTAATTGCTTAGGCTCAGTTGGCTAGCCGCCAGTCCCAACCCAAGCATCGATTCGGTATTTTGGAGCAGTCCATTAAAAGTGGTGGGAACGGTGCGGAACTGGGCCCTTGTGCCCTTTTGTTGCGCATGCCAATTTTCTTTATGCAGCGGTTGTGCAATCCTTCCGTCTTGTCGCGGTCGGGTTGCAGATCTTGCGAGCGTGCGGGCCGGTTGAAGGCGGTATCCTCGTGTACTTTGACTTTTGCATAATGGTTCTTAATGACGAGGTAATTGTGTGTTTGCTTTCCTGCAGTGAGAAGTACAGACTTGCGTGTCAAAAAGCTGACGCGGGCGTCCCAGTGCGAACTCCTGCCTTTTCAGACCGACCTTTTAAAGCCCTAGGACATGCATGTAAAACTGCATTATTGCGTTCATTGTCCTGTACCTTCTGGGTTTTTGATCGTGGCCAGCGGTCCTGTATATCATGTATAACAAATCCAGACACTCTGCACGGTTTCTCGCATAGGGCCAATAGCTGTAAACAAAGTTACAAAATATGAGCGCCTTTGCGGAATGGCAGCATCCCGCAGCGCAGGTTAGGTGGGAATAGGGTTTACGACTGTACCGCCGTTACCTCTTGTTATAAAACCTGCAACTCCCACATTCCGCTGCTCAATGGCGTATGCATATTCGCTGTGGATGGTTGTGTGCATGGTGGCATCGACAACCTGTTAGAATTGTGATGAAAGCAAGTACACGCATGAAATCTTGTTAGCGGCGTGGTTGGCATTTTGGCCGATGCTCCGTAATGGGGGTAACTAAGCTACTTCAGGAACAGAGGGGCAGCGAATGGCAAAACACAGGACTTTACTGGTGCTTTCAAACACGACCAGGTTTCAAGCTCTCAAGCCCCGGGGGAGATCTGTCCCATAATGTGTGTCTGCCCTCTCCCCATGGTGTAGGCAAATTGCATGCCCTGTCCCCAAGCATACGGCATCTTCGTACACTGGGGAACGTATAGCATACATTGATGACGCCTCTGCCTTGGGGTTAACGTTATGTATGCAGCACTTGCACCTCTCCTGTGCATTTGCCGCGTTGACTGGAAGAGTGCAACGGGGACTCGAGGCCCCGTGGAAATAGCGGTTGGGTGCCGTATAACACCGGGTTCCTATAGCTGCCTTCCTCGGACTCAACTGTTCATGAAGAAAAGCTGGAAGCCCCGAAGCGCTTCCCGGCTGTCTGAGCGCGAAATGCTTTTCCTTGCATCCCTGCCTAGTGAAAGCTGACAGGTAGATTTCCGAAAAGGCAACGAAAATATCTGTTTCCTGAAATCTTTACGCGACCTTTAGGGTTCTCATGGTGTTTTTTGCTTCCATCCGGCTGTTTTTGCTCGGGACATCTAGAGCAACCGTGTCGGCACGGCCTTGCAACTGAATGTGAACTCAGGTCGTGGTGCAGGTGTCGTTAGGCATTCATTCTTTTTATGATGAACTACCAGGGCGTGCCGGCAGCTGATAGCATACATCCGCTCCATGAAGGCGCCCATGAGGACCAACCTCCTCCCATACTAAGCGACGAGTCTGAATCGTTCTCAGGTGGTGCCTGTTGCTACAAACCCATGTAGGCATCGGACGTAAACCTTAGGATTTCCTGAATGTTGCAGAAGGCTGGGAGGACGAGCTCCCCGCGCTCGACGACCCCGACGCGTACAGCGTATCCGACAGTGACGATGAATATCTGCGCGCAACAAGCAAGCAACTGTGCAAGGATGCATTCCTCCGAGAGCAGTCCATGCCGGCCTGCGTTTCGGCCGACATGGCTACTGCGGTCCAACGTGGTTGCGTCCTGTACGCGCTGCCAACGGGCTGCGAAGCATACGAATGCAGCTCAAGGTAAGGATCGGGTTCTCAGGCGTAGACGTTTCTGTTCTTGCCGGAACGCGAGCGCATCCAACCTGCCCAACCGCGCCTGCCTGCTGTCCCGCTGTGCGGACTCCCCCGAATCCCGAGTTGTCGTTTGCTTGCCACGCAACGTTCCAGAAGAACTTCTCCCTGCGGCCCCTCATCCCCAAATTTAGAAATTAAAGCTTAGTCGCACCTCCGGGGGTTCTCATAATGCAGGGCCGAGCACTTCCAGACCATGGACTGCCTGGCTCTCGTCCCACCCGCACCACGAATTACATGTAATACAGTCAAGGCCGCTGCCATCCACGGCGCGACATCCACCGCTGCCGGGGGACACGCCCACAGCCTGGGTTCCAAGGTCAGCCCGGGACCATCAACGGCACCCGCCGCAGCTGCCGCCACAATCAGCGGTACGAAACCGTGCAACTCAGCCCGGGGGACGGCGGCAGCTGCCAGTCCCCAGGGCTCCGCTACCCCCGCACCTCCTCCATACAGGGAGGCTCCAGAACCCGCAGCGCGAGATGAGGGCGTGGAGATCCTCGTAGGCGATGACCGAAGGTGTGTCTTCACGACGCCACCCTTTGCCCACATACATAGCCACAGTTTCTTACATATATGCTTGAATCCAAGGGTCCTCTCCCTCCCTGATCCGACGTTTGAAACCTAGCAGTTTGGTACTGTGAAAGTCAGCAGATGACTCAGCGACTTCTGCAATTATTTTCCTCCACTTCCGCCCACCCCACACCCTCAGCTTTCGTGCCTCATTTCTTTGCCGCCTGCATTCCCTTGACCCCCCGCCCAACCTTCAGGTTATCCATCCTCCGTCTGGGTGCTCCGGGCGCCCCCGGCCCACCCCGGGAGGTGTGCAGCTGCACTTTAGAAGCGCACCACTACAGCCTGGCGGTGTCCCCATGCGGACGCTTCGTGTCAGCAGGTGCGTGTCAGTCAACGGAGGATCTGCCGTAATAGCTGTTGTATTCAGGTCGGGTGACAGACAAGGAATGGTGGTTGTTGCATGTGTCGTAGTGTAAGTTTGTGTGTTTGTGTGTTATATACGTTATTGGTAGGATTGTATGTCAACCTGAGGTTGTTTACTTGAGTGCTTTATCGTCTGCCGTTGCACAATATCACGACACTGCACCGGCACGACATCCCGTACTGTCTGAATGGTTAGAGCGTAGGACGAGCGGGCCGTGTTCGTTGAAGTGTTGGGATAAAATGACGCCACTGTTGTTTGACAACAGTGGAAGTGATATGCGCGTGTGTCTACGCGCATCATTGCGCATCCCAGTGCATTGTAAGGAACGACATACGGGACATACATGTACTTGTTGTGTGCTACCCGCACGGAGTCGTGTGCAGGGGGTGCGGACGGTGTGTTTTCGGCGGCGCGCAGCTCTTCCCGGGGGCATCAAAATGGCTGGGTTCACTTTCATGAATCATGGCGCGCGTCCATGTGCATGATTGCGGACGCCGCATCCTGGCTGGTAATTGCCGTATGGTTGCCGTACGGAAATGAGACACATTTTCAGCTTGACCACACAAGAGCGAAAGGAATTCACTCCCTAGTTTTAGCGGTAAAAAAACTCCCTTTTTTGCCACCCGATGGAACAACAACAACAACAACAGGCTCTGAGCGCGGCTTTGTCTTCATTCTGGCCTACATTCGAGAGGTGGGCGGTGGTGAGGGTGCACCTGCAGAGGCCGCATGTGCCTCTACACGTACATCGACATCCACAACCACGTCTGGCCGGGGACATCCGCAACCAGCCCAGCCAGCGTCGCTGACTCCCTGCGCCGCCTTCTGCGTCCCGGTGGGTTTGTGTGGTGGTGGTGGTGGGGCTGCAGCAATTTTTGTGTGTGTAGGGGGGGAGGGGCTCCTTGCACGGCACCTCGTGTATTGTCTCGGCCTTGGCCTCCCTGCTCTCCCGTTCAGCGCACGACTTTGCCGGGACCCGCCCGGGCCTAGGACACGGCACGGGCACCCCACCACCATGGCACCTGCGGTGTGTACGGTGCAGTGCTGCCGATTACTTCACGTTACACTTCCGTCCTTTTCCTGACTGCCGCCGTAGTTCTGCTTCATGGCTTCGTCGTACCCACCCCACCCCACCCCGTCTTGTACCCCGGTACGTCCTAGCAGGGCCGGCACTACTGGGGCATGAACAACATGGTCCGCTTCGGATCCTTCGGCGGCGCCACCCGCCTCATCGTGGCCACCCAGGTACATGGGGACATGGGCGGCGTAGGTGAGGATATTACTCCCTTAGTACGACATGGCATGACATGGTATGGTATGGTATGGTATGGTATGGTATGGTATGGTATGGTATGGTAATATAGTATGGTATAGGGTAGGATAGGATTGGATAGGATACCCATGCTCCTAGCCACTTCGAGACATGTATGTGCGTGCATCCCGTGACCCGAGGTGGATGTGGCCCGAGGGGAAAAGGGTTGGGTGAGGTGGGAAAGTTCCCCTGCGCCGTCGTTGCCGTACAGGTTCCTCAACCAGGTAATCGTTCCAGGATATCTCTCATGAAGGCACCGGAGGGCGGAGGGGGTTCTTTCCCCACCGGCGGCGGCAATGCAGCAGCGCGGCGGCAACGGTTTAATCCACCCCCTGGGAATGGCTCCTTCTCCGTGTGCGTATGTGTGGATGTTTTACTAACCTGAGTGTATGTGTGCATGCATGTATGTGCTTTAAAAAATTGCCTGCAGGACCGCGCCATCTACTTTTTCAACCTGCCTCCCTGGGACGGTTCTGCTGCGTCCCTGCAGCAGTCCTGCCCTCCCCTGGCCTTCCTGTGCACGGGACTGCCGAGATGGACGGTTGGCTGGCAGCAGCAGGGGGCCGCAGAGCAGCAGCAGCAGCAGCAGGGGGCCGCAGAGCAGCAGCAGCAGCAGCAGGGGGCCGCAGAGCAGCAGCAGCAGGGGGCCGCAGAGCAGCAGCAGCAGCAGCAGGGGGCTGCAGAGCAGCAGCAGCAGCAGGGGGCCGCAGAGCAGCAGCAGCAGCAGGGGGCCGCAGAGCAGCAGCAGCAGCAGCAGGGGGCTGCAGAGCAGCAGCAGCAGCAGGGGGCCGCAGAGCAGCAGCAGCAGCAGGGGGCCGCAGAGCAGCAGCAGCAGCAGGGGGCCGCAGAGCAGCAGCAGGGGGCCGCAGAGCAGCAGCAGCACCACCACCACCACCAGGGGTCGGAAGGAGGACGGGAGGGAGATGGGAGCCAGCCGGAAGGCAAGCAGCACATGCGCCAGGAGGAGGGGGGTGACGTGGCGGTGGGGCATCTACCGCAGCTGCAACAACAGCAGCAAGTCGGGGTTGAGGTGAGACCGGAAGTTGTGGTGAGTTGCGACGCATACAGCGCAGGTGCGGGTGACGACGGCATCGGCGAGCACGGTGGCGATCGCGGCGCTATCAGTGACGACGACGACGATGACGACGATGACGACGACGACGATGACGAGTACAGCGGCGGAGTTGATGACAGCGAGAACGATTGGATGAGCGATGGCTACAGCGCCGGCACCGCCGACGCCGGTGTTGCGACGCCTGTCTTGGTCCGTGATCAGCCCCCTTCCCTCAGCTGCCCCAACGCGGCGGCCTGGAGGTACTGGCAGCGCCATCCGTCACCTCTTGCCGGGCCGCCGCCCAATGTTTGTCCGGATGTTTGCCTGTTGGTGGTGAGCTTGGGAGGGGGGCAGTAGTGGGTATTTTAGTGGGTGGGTTGACGTCCCGCTGATTCCCGGTTGGAATCATTGATGTGATTGATTCGGCACACGTTGGGACGCTTCGAGATGATTGTTATCAGGGCCACCATGTATGGCCATTTACCTGCCATCCCGCTTTAAGCACCCCTCTCTCCATCCCTTCTTGCCATTGCGTGCTTAAAGGCACACAGCCACGGGTCGTGCCACGCTTTTCACGGCACACATATATACATATACACACATCTCACTACGCACTCCTCCGGCTGTGTTCCTCCGCAGGAACCCAGCGGGGGGGATGGCCGTCGGAGGGGCGACCCGCAGACCACATGCAGTGTGAGCGGCTTTCCGTACGCCCTCAATGCGGCGGTTCCCTCCCCGGACGGCCGCTGGCTGGCGGTGGGCTGCGATGCGCCCTTGCTGTACCTGCTGCCTGCAGATCCCGAGTAGGGGGGTTGGGAGGGGAAGTAGGAGGGGGGGCTTGGGGAGGAAACTGGGCTGACGAGGTGGAGTGGTTGATGATAGACGCGGAGTTCGGACTGCGAACGTGCCAAGTCGCCCAAGCTGCCGCAGTTGACTGTCACATGTCATCACATGGCGTCACGTCCGCCCTCCCATTTAATCGTCATGACGACATCATCGCGAGGACTCATCCTTCACAAGCCACGACTCGTTAGTTATTTACATACTTACATACTTCTGCCGTATCGGTCTAGTATTGGCATCAGCTTCACCCCATCGTGGTTCATCTTCCCCCCCCTCGTCGTTTCCCACCCGCGGCCGCCGTGTTCTGTTTGATGAGACGTCGGTTGTCGTTGACCCTGTCCCGAACCCGCCGGCGGTTCTTCGTTTCTTTTACCATCATCGCTCGTTCACCTCCCGCAGCTACCCTTCCAAGCCCGTGGAGGTGCTGCTGGCGCCCTTGCCTCGCTCCCTATCTGGGCGCCTTGCAGCTGGTTGCCAGTACATAGCCTTCAACCCTGCGTGTGACAAGCTGGCGGCGTCTTTCGATTCCCTTTACGTAAGTATTGGTACGACGCTGTACGACGACAGGGCATGGGACGGGACGACCTCGCAAACTGGTGTATGAGGAGGTACGGACGAGGGGTATTGATAGCTAACAGGTCGTCAGCTACACTGCCGACCCGCGTTAGTCTCAATGAAGACGGTGTGGCACCTTCCGGCATGGAGCTGCTGGCCCACCGGTGGATACCCTCCACTGCATGCAGAGCCATGGGCACACCGAGCGCCAACCTTTCTTCCTCTCGCTCCCTCTCTCCCCCCCTTTTGCATGCCCGTTTCGTCACCTGTCTCCCACCTTCCCCTCGTCCCCCCACCCGCCCGGCGGCATCCGGGGGTCGGGCAACCATCGGGGACCTCTCCTCTGTCCTTTGCAGTCCGTACTGGTGTACGACATTCCTCGTCGGCAGCTGCTGTTCAGTTTGGGCCACCCGCAGTGGCGCGCCCCCCTTGCTCTGTGGTTCGCCCCCGGCCACCCGTCCCTGCTGCTGCATGCGACCGACCGGGAGCACGTGGTGGTGGTGGACGTGGAGCAGCCTAGGTGGGGACGAGGCGGGTTCAAGGGGTTCCGTGGGGGTTGGGGCATATGGGGGGTGGACGTGGATACATTGCAGGGGTGGTGACAATTTTTGTGCGTGTGCTACTCCACCTGGAGCTGCGTCAAGACCTTTTAAAGGAGGTGCAACAGATGGCACATACATACATACATACATACATACATACATACATACATATATACATACATACATATATATATATATATACATACATACATACATACATACATACATACATACATACATACATACATACATACATACAGCCCTGAAGGAGCCCAGTGGCGCCCAAGAAGGGTTGACCGAAACAGACAGCTACCAGTGAACACAAAAAAATTTGTCCCGCGTCCTCCCTCACCCTTCCCTCTCGCCCCGCACTCCTCTTCCTCTTCGTCCTCGTCCTGGCTCCTCCTAACCCCCGCTGCAGGACGACTCTGACCCGCATCACGTTGAAGTCACGATACCAGCGCGCCTTGCAGCAACGGCAGCAGCAGCAACCCTCCGGCTCCCATGGAGAGAGTACGGCACAGGATGGTACGAGTACTGCGTCGGCCTTGAAGTTCTGTGGGACTCGCTCCAGCGCCCCGTGCAGGAACCCCACCACCGGGGAGCTGGCGACCGCCACTGTGGTGAACCGACGGCCTCGTATCAACGGCCTGGTGGTTACCGGGGACCACCGGCTGCTGGTGGGGACCAAGGTATGCGCCCGCGTAAGGAGGCTGATAGTGGTGGAAATGGTGGTGTATGGTAGTTGTAGTGGTGTGTTGGTGGTGCCGCTGCTAGGTTAGAGACCTTGTTTAGGCTTTGGGGATCAGGTCGCCACGTTACACAGCAGGCAGGGCAGTGCTATTGGCCCTGCCTGGCCATAGCCAATAGGTATGGGCACTACGCCGGCACCCCATTCGACCTTGACACTGCTCCCGCAACCACAGCCGAAACCTCATTCCCTCCCCCCTCCAGGAGGAGCTCCTCAGCTTCCAGCTGCTACTGCCGAACAGCCCATGGAGCCGCTGCGTGCACCGTCATATGCCCGACGGTTTCAAGGCCGCCACACGAACATTGCTGTTGTCGTCCAGGTCACGTGATGGCGGCGATTGCGCCGCGGCCGACGGTGCAACCGTAGCTGATGCCGCGAAGCAGGAGCCTGTTGTGGACGACGGTGCCACTAAGGAGGCTACCGTGGCGAAGGCTTCGCAGGGTTCGCGACCCACGGGTCTGTGGAGTCTGCCGGGTGATGCTGTGGAGGCTATCATTGCGGTGGCAGCAAAGGATCGACTGGCATGGGTCCAAACGGACGCGGCGGACGTATTGGCGTATCCATTTCTGGACATCTGGGACGTACCCGGGAAGGCGCCGACGGCGCTCAAGGGGTACTCGAGGGGGCGCGGGGCTGGCGGGTCGACTTCAGCGGCTGCCACGTATGATGGTGATGATGATGACGCGGCGGAGTGGGACAGTGACCCGTGGGACACCTGGCACACGCCGCTGTAAGGTCTAGGTGTCACGTGTTCGTGGGGCAGCACTGTTGCTGTCGTGCGGCTGGGTGGTTCCCCGGAAAGTGGACACATGCACGGGCTGACACAGCTGGCGAGGACACAACAGGTTTAGGTTCTTAGTACCCAAGTAGTGCCAACTCGCATGCGATGGGCCCATTATGAAGCGGTCTGTCCTGTAACAGTGTAAGGGGTTACTGGAGCATCTCGCACCCGTGACCCTACTGCCAGTCTACCTCCCGAATGCCCCCGAGATGGAGGTGAACCCTTCAACACGCCTTGGGAAGTCAACCGGAGACCTGGTAGGTATATCCTCGTTCACTGTTCAACTCAACATGGTCATCCAGCGCGCACAAAGGTGCACGCGCTCTGTGAAAAACGTGCTCGACTTCCTTTCTCCTTCTCCCTTCATCGCAGCTGCCAGGTCAGCGGCGTATCGTTGGTGTACCGTTTACGATGCGTCGTATCAGCAGCACGGACCCGCCCGTCGGTCTATAGTTGAACTGTATGGCAGATTTATACACAGCTCATCATTGAGCATGCGATGGTGTGGTCTTCACCAACAATGCAACCGACCCGTCCCGCCTTCCTGGTTTTGTGTCTTTTCTTTGCTGGTCCACATGCTGCCTGATCCGTCTCCATCTCCGCAAACCATCGCATGAAGCGCCCGCCCTTGCTGCACTGCCTCGCGGGAGCAGCTGGAGGTCACCTGCAGCTGCTTGCTCTGAGATCAGAAAGCACACCGAGAGAGAGAAAGCACACCGAGGGTGGTGGGCGATACCTCTTTTCAATGCAAGGCCTTGGGGGTATCCTTCCGGGGCTCTCAATGCCATATGGTCTCCCAGGGCTAACCAGGAACTTCCAGAGGCATATTGCAGGTGGACCGGAAATGGGACAAGAGGCATAGAAGGATGCGTACCGAGCTGCTAAATTAGTATATACAAAGAAATGGCGTCGCGATGACGAAGCTTCACATTCAGCTTCCTCATCCAGCTTCGTCATTCGGCCTCAGCTGGACCTGATCAACGCCGACGTAAAACCCGAGTGACACGTTTTGTGCGATCACTCAACAATCGCACCATGATGATGCTGCCCGGGCTGGGACGCGTAGATTCACAATCCAGCGGCATCACGCCCCAGCCGGGCCTGCAGATCGGGATGATCGGCTGTTTGTATTGTTGTTGCTGCTGTGCAATCCTCATTTCGTCTGAGTATGTCGCTGCTGTTGCTCTTTTTGCTGTTGCTGCTGCGAAGCCTTGCTTTGAGCCTGGGCCTGATTTTCTTTTCGTTGTTGTTGCTGCTGCTGCTGTTCTTGTACTGCCTTCCCTGAATGCTGTTGGTATTGCTGCTTCTCTTTTTAAGGCAATCGATGCTTTGGCCCCTGCCGTTGCGCGACCTGCTCTCGCCCGTGTCCATCGGCATCCGGCTCCCAGGTAGAGCCCTTGCTACTGCCGCGCTGAAGGCGGTGCAACAGCCCCAGCTGGCGTACCAATCGCGATAGCAGGCAGCCGGGGCGGCAGCGCATCCACAGGTGCGCTGATGCGCGATCAACATGCCGGGGATGTGAATGCTGCGGCTTCCGAATATCCGGTGCCACCGGAACTGAATCTATCGCGGCCCCCTGTGGACGTCCCGTAACACTCGACTGACTCCGCTTAACCGTATGTTTTGAAAGTGTGTACTTATTCTCTTATGAGCTGGACAACGTAGATTTTGTATTCGTGTGGGTGGGTCCGAAGACCGCCAAATATTGCGGAGGGTCCCGAAGGACACAACCGACGGGGAAGGAATAAGTTTTCAACCAGCAATAGTCGCGCCTCGATTAGATCTCATAGGCTGCGACATTGCCCCAAGCGCAAAGATAATTAGAGTGCGGTGCCTGTAGCATGTACCCTCCAAAATTTTCCTACATCAGTGCTCTGTGTAACGATGGTGGGTCGCCCTCGGCCGCTGAACACAATGTCCCACCCAACAGAACCTCTGACCCCGTGCGCGTGCCGCTGCCTTCCCGCTTAAGTGAAGGGGACCAGTGTCCTTCCCGGCTTCCAGCTGGCGCAAGGCCACCATGCCAACGTGTGGCTCAGGCTATACGGCTAGCGGTGCAGGGCACACAGCCATGGCCGTTTTGGCTTTCCTTTGCAGTGTGTAAGTCCCGACTTACAGCTGGCCACACGGTTTCCACGCCCTCAATTAAAGTCGTGACGGCAATGCGGCGTCCGCCCACCGGAACCCATTGGCGGCGGATGAAGCCTCTGGCGCCTTCGCTGCCACACGAGGATCCGTGTTGCTGGGGTCGGATGCAGCGCACCTCGTGGGGGCTTCATTGCTGCTGGTGCTGCTGCAGACACAGGGACAACCTTTGCAGCTGAGCGTGCAGTGTAACTCCGTTTGACTGATTTTACGAACCGAGACCAGATGATGACCTGCAGCCTTTTGGTTGAAGCTGGCACGCAGGCCAAACTGAGAGTTCAAGTGTCGTGGCCAGTCGGAAGAGTGAGGCTTAGCGGAAAAGCGTGTTTTCCATCGCGGCAGTGACCACATGATCGCCTCAGTGGAGACATGTTCCGTTAGGCAAATGGCAAACACTTTGTGACCCACAAGCAGGAGTAGTTGTACATCGCAGCCAAACTTTAACCGGCTGACGTCGGCTGTCACAGTCACGCAGAGTAGCATCGGCAGCTGCCAAAACAGCCGCTGATTCATGGTATTATAAACGGCGTTGGAACCTCAGCGTTGACGTTGAGACGCACAGGCTGTGGGGGCAAGAGCGCACGCTGGACCGGCAGTAGCCATACGCGTAGCCATTTTTTACATATGCAGGCACACTTAGCCGGGAAAGTTTGCGACAATTGATCTTGGTTGCGTAGGGAAAGGCGTTGGGAGAGCTGACAAGGTCCATCACAACGTACGAACGAAGTCAATCGACAGCACTTGTACCAGCATGCCGACTTGACAGTACCGCAGTGTATCAACATAGGAGATGTAATACGCCGTAGATAATGTTAGCTGTAATTCTCTATAACAATCTTTGTTCCTCGGAACTCAAACACGCCAAGTGTTAAGCATACCACGTGCTTAAAATTTGCCTTCTAGCTCTTAGACTAAGTCTTCCTGCAGCAGAGGCTTCATGAAGAACGGACCCGATGTGGAATGGTGGAGGATGCAGCATTCTTTCACCTGGCCGTCGATTTGGCTATGCGTCGTCATGCTTTCGCTTCCTTACGCTCATGGCCAAAATGGGGACTATAGTGTGGAAGTTTGCCCCAGCGCTCAATGGAAGGTAGGACACCAGTAGGACACCAGTAGGACACTGAAAAACTTTTTTCAGGTTGCAATCATACGCTCATTCCAGGATTAAGAGCTGCAATAACGAATAGGGTTTGATACTGCAACGCTCTTTTGTTTCTTGCGCATTTCGGTTGTTTTTCCCCCACGACCTACGACCGGCCTTCCAGACCTACATTAAGGCATTTAATAACCTGAGAATGAACTTCTATGCAGGATGCTATTTTCCTGAAAGGGCCTTCCTCGCCTAATACCTTTTCGAACGTGACAAAGTGGAAGCAGGCGCAAGCAAAGGTGCGTTTCCTTGGTTTCGTCCAGAACGCTGGACGCAGGTTGTGGGTCCACATCATGGGGAAAGGGCAGATGGTTTTGAAGCTTAGATGCAAACTATAAAAGGAATACGGTTTCGGGTGGTTCGTTGACAAGCCCTGGTTTTGAAGCGGGTCCCGGTGCCACACCAAGCCCTTATGGTCTCCAGCTCACCAGCTGTGGAGGGGCCATGCGGCTCGTGCAAGTCGGGAGAGCTGGTGCGGCCTGCCGTGGGCGGCCAACCCCTCCATTTAAATTCTCCTACGCCGCCTTCATCGGCAACCTTCATACCTGATCGACCAGCTGTCGGTATCTGCGTCAACAATGCCGTCGTAGTGCAGCATATCCCTTCCTTCTTGCTTTCTTGCAACACCTTTGGCATGGCTCCTCCGGCCCTTATCACCTCGGGCTTACCGTGTGTTGGTAATCTGTGCTGTATGCTTGGTTGCACGATGCCATGTCACGGACACCACATTGCCCACTTACTGCCCGGGTGCCCCGCAGACGTATGTGACCGGGACGGTTTTGCCTCAAGTCCAGGCCAACATTGCGTTTGTGTTGCTGGCCCTGGGATCCCTGATTTTCTTCCTCCTATGGTGAGCGTATGGGGGGGAGGCACATGTGTTAGCTATAGTTCGTTATATATAGTCCATGGCCTCCCGGCTTTGACGGAAAACCCCGCACTCGTGCGGCACTTGTAACTTGTTAGCATGGCGGCAATTCGCCTGGCACACACATGTGGAGAGGAGAGCAGCATGTCCGCAAGCCAGGAGGATTGACTGCCGCCAGGGGGGCCGAAACGCCTCGGTGTGCGTTGCTGTAGTTCCACGTGCGCAACGGCAACGGCATTCCCTTGTCGTGAGAGCATCGTTGTCCTGTGGAAATGGATCCGGCAGCCCCTATGTCATGTCGTTGTGTCTCATCTGCGCGACGAAGTAGCAATCACCACATTTGGGTTTACACAGGCCACAACATGCGTATGGGCACGACCCTGTCGCTGACTGACTCCACTCTTACTGAACTGTCTGTATCGCCTAGACATCATTTTGCGGGTGGTGACTCGCATCAGTCGGCCCCATATGGGGTTGCTTGTAATGCGAAGGGTCTATTACGATCCCGCCGTCACTACTACGCCCCCTCACCACCCTTCGCTAGTACTCTCGTAACCCAATGCCCACTTTGACCCGGCCGTGCTGCCCATGAACGCCGCAGGCGCCTGTTCCGGCGCTGCTGCATGTGCTGCTGCATGCGCCAGTCGTGCGAGGAGCAGCGCAACCAGGCAGACCCGGCCAAGATTTTGAGCGGATGGCGCTACTGGCTCCAAAAGGTGAGGCCCAATCCTCGTGTACGGAGTATTGCCAACGCTCTACTTGCAGTGCGGCGTTTGCATGCTGACGGACTGAACCATTAGAGGAGGCATAGGCGAGCGGAATATGCGACCGGACTGGGTGCTTATCCGTGTGTACTAGGGGGCTTGGCATGGACAGGGGGAGCGCGCTGCCTTTGGGCGGGCGCTCGCCGAGCGTACAAGGCCTCCGGCCAGCCAACCGAGATGTTGTTTCGCCAACGACATTTAGAATGGTGAAATTTAATCATGCTTCGTACCCTCAGTTCCGACTTCACGTCGTCCTATTCGAGTTTATCCCCGCAGTCTTTCAGGCTTGGCCCACGGCCTGCAGCCAGGCGCGCCGCCCGCTGCTTGGTCCCTAGGGGGCCGAAGAGTTTCCTCCCGGCAGTGGAAGGACCGGAGCAAACCTAACCCGACCTAAAAGCTTGGAACATGCTTCGCCCCGTTATGACCATCACCACAACCGTCATGGCTCTAGTCATCCATGGCTCTGGAATACTGGGGCCATGCCAGGTTCCCTCAGACCTTCCAAGTTTGCCTTCCTACACGTCCATCCCCATTTGCATCCGCACGTTGCAGATCGTCCTGCTGGTCTTCGCCGTGGCTGCCCTGGCCATGCTGTTGGCAGGTGAGGGGGCCGGTGGGTCCGCGGGCCGTCTGCTCGGAGGGAGGGGCGCAGTCGGGACCTGCCCAGGCTGTGGGCGGCTCTGGGGGTCGGGTCTGTGAGACTGCCGGGATGCCGGGCACACGGATGTGTAAGGGTAGGGGGAGAGTGCTCTGGTAGGCCTCGGGCCCGGTTCCCGACTGCCTCCCCCGACCTCGGGAACGGCGCGCAGCGATTGCTGTTGCCGTTAATTCACTGTTGCCGACCGGTTTTCCATGAGGACGGAGGGGTGGGGCAGGGGTTGGGTTGGGGCAGGGTGGAGCACCCAGACGCGAAAGTCGCTCCAAATCCTCACTTGCATCCACTCCGGCATCAGATTGCAATGCTGATCTTGACTGCTTGCATGCTTGCTTGTTAGGTTGGATAACCTTTTGGGCCGTGTTAATGTTGGGCGAGCTGAGGCCCTCGGGGCTGCCGCTGACGCTCGCGTGCCCATACTTGTGATGCAGCGGATGGTGAGTCATTTACATGTTCTCCCCTGTCCCGGGGCTTGGGCATTCACACGGTCGCCGCAGGCATCATCTTAGCCCCCAAGGAGCTGTTTGGCAAGGTGTGGCGGCCGGTGAATCGCTTGAACGGCCACCTCAACAACACCGCTGCGGACATGGACGTCCTGATATCAGGTCTGGACAGTGTGTACTCCATCATGGACAACCTCACCTCCATTGTCAACAACGACGTCAGGCTGAGCTACATCAGGAGCAACCTGCAGGTAGGGACGGTTTGCCGGTCGGGCTGGCTACCGTTGGTGGGTGGCCAACCAGCCAGCCCGATGGGCACCTTGCGAGGTGACTACCTCTGCCGTTTCGTCTACAAGAGAGCGGGAGGACTAAGGAGGACATTCCAAGGGACGGGGTCCTGCGAGCCGACAGGTGTTGTGGAGGGGGAAGGCGTGGGAGACCCGGATCGTGGATTCCTCCCTTCCCGCCCGGTCCCGCTTACCCCCCTCTCCCCCTCCACCGCGTTCGTCCCTTTCCATGCTATACTATCCATCCCCAATCTTGCAAATCCTTTCCCCAAGCCTACTACTACCCTCATTGCTTGCCGTTAGATAGCGCCGTTAGGTTCGCTCATCTTCTCTTTGTCCTTCACCAACAACACGCTCCCTTCCCACGTTCGGCAGGCCATTGGTGTAACGCTGGATTCGAGTAACGCCGACCCTAACACCCTGGTCACCGCGCTTAGCGATGTCGACACAAGCGTAACCTCGGTTCGAACCCAGGTGGCGGCGCTGCGGCTACAGCTGGGCTCCTCCGGCGTCCCCGGCACCCTCACCACACTACAGGCGGGGCTACCCGGGCTGTCCACCGTCGTCTCTGTCTGCAACAACTACTCGACACGGCTGGACAACCTTAACACAGAGCTTGCCAGCCTTAATGCCGCGACTGGCCCGTGAGTGTTCCTGTGCTCTATCGCGGTGGGGCTGAGAGGGGGGCCTGAGAGCAAGCGGAAAAAACCGTGGCTTTGGAACGGGCGCCTTGCACCCATACACGTGAGGTAACGCAGTTTGCATCCATGCACCAGCGTGCATTCGCCCATGCTTGTACGCAGCTATGCACATACGCATGATGTCCACCCATGCACATATCGAACATGCAGGACCTACGGCACGGCTAGCTTGACGAGCGCCATGGACGCCGTGGAGGTGGACAACTTTCGGTCGGCGCTGGGCGCCATGTTGGGCAGTTTGGACGCGTGGATCAGCTTGCAGACCGGCAGCACGCTGAGTAACCTGGCGACGTCCATAACGACCCTTAGCAACACCATTGACACGCTCAAGGGCACGCAGGTACGTGCCTGGCCTTGGACTCTTGGATGTCGGGATATGGGGCTGGGTCTTTTGGACATTGCGCATTGGGGGTTTCCCCTGAAGGGTCCTCCGCACCCGTGTCTTCCTCCTGGGCGCCAACCCCCACAACACAGATGTTGGTCCGCTTGTCTCGTCTAAACATCTTTCTGTCTCGCATGGCTTTTCCTTTGGATCCCCTCGACCCGGTGTAGATCCCTTCTGCCGACAGCGCCCTGCGGTCTTTCTACACCGCCTGGACCGGTGTCATTACCACCCTCAAGGCCCTGCTGGACCACATCGCCTACGTCCAGGTGCGGCGTAGGCTTATAATGGGATCAGGCCCGTACAAAGATATACGCGCAGTCTTCGGTAGCCTTCCGCCGAAGTAGCCTCTCAGGAGCTTCCTTGACCTTTCCAGCAGAGAAACGATAGCTGCTTGGCACCGGGCTTCATAAGCTCCGCTTTGCTCTTTTTAAGGGTATGGCTAGCCTTCTCGTGGCCTACCTATGCTGCAGGAGCTGCAGCGCTCCCTTCCGCTCTCCATCTGTTTCATTCATGAGGGGTATCCTTACTTGCCACTCACATCCTCGACCGGTTCTTGCTTAAGTTGGCGTCTTAATCCTAATCCCTCGCCACATCCCTGCATATCCCACAAAGGCCAACGTGGCCAAGCTGGACGACGCCAGTAATGCCGTGGTGCAGAAGCTGACCAATGTATACGGCAGTATCGCCAACTTGACGGCGCTGACCCCGCCGCCAACCGGCCTGGCCAGCAGTTTGACTGCTCTGGTTGGGCAGCTGTCGCTGGGCCCTGCTACAACGCTGGTCAACGACCTCAACAACGCGCAGACTGCCATTGACGCCGTCCCGTTGGCCACATTGAACGATGCGCGAACCACTCTGGGGAATCTGAAGTACGTGTCATGGTGTCAAGGGCCTGGGGGAACATTCCGTACATTCCTGAAATGCTTGTGTGTCATATGCTTGCATCATACGCATGTGCTTGTCCGATGGTGCTTGCAGGTGTTTGCGTTGTCAACCCGTCGCCGCTTACCCCCTCGCTCCTTCAAATCACGCGCTTACTCCATCACTACCTCACATCCCATGCTTCCCTTTGGTGCTACCGTGCACAGATCCTCCCTGGACAGTCTTTCCCCCAAGCACGCGGCCACCAACTCGGCCATCGCCACCTACACGAACAGCGCCACTCAGGCCAACTTCGACGCCATGAAGGCCTCCGCGGTGGCGGCTGGCAACACCTGGGACCTCAGCAAGACCGCCAAGGTGTGCGGCAGGTGGCCACACACGACCTCTGATGGGCAGATAGAAACAGCCAGCCTGTGCATGCTGTCTTGCGTCGCAGTGCTGGGTCCCCCATGGTGCTCTTCCACCCCGGCCCTCCCTCCCCAGTCCTCTTATCCCCGGGGACATGCTCCTTCGCGTCTAGGGCCAGGCGGGCAAGTGGGCCAATGTGCTGGGCCGCCGCCCGTATGCCCGTGTAAAACCTGGTTTCCTTAGGGGGCGGGAGGAGGGAACCTCGTACTTACCTGTCTACACGCAAGTACCTAGCTGCCTGTGCCACAGCTGTACAGCCCTTATGAGACATGGAAGTCCTTTCTATGACAATCCATCCTCCGCTCTCTCGCAATAATTGCTGGGCCGCCGAAGAACCGATATACACTGCCTTGCGAACCGCTTTCCACTGACCCACAAACTGCCGTCGCCGCCGCCGCTGCCACAGACGGATGCCGACACCGCCGCCAGCAGCACCTCCGTTGCCGCCGTACAGACCGCCGCTAGCACCGGCAACCTGGATTCAGCCGCCAGCAACGTCAAGACCGGCGCAACGTCCGTGGACTCTGCAGCCGCCAGCACCGACGGCGCTATCGCCAGCCTGCCCGCCATGGGGCCTTACTCACGTCTTACTGCGTCCGTCAAGTCTGTTTACGACAGCATGCCCAACCCCAAGTCTAAGGTGCGGTGTGACCCCCTGTTCAGCAACGCCCCTGGAGCGTGTCGAGACCCCTTCCCGGCCCTGTCCATCTCACATGACTTTGAACCTATAGCTTGCCAGGTTAGGATTCGGTAATAGTGGTCCTGGTTTCGCGAGTTGGTTCTGCTCGCGGATCATCTCCGTCCTCCCGTCCCCACCACCACCTGCAGGAGCTGAATGCTATCAGCAGCACCCTGAACACGGTGGAGAACCTGCTGGTGTCCGTGCCCGCCAACGTGAAGTCGCAGACGTCATCTATTCAGAGCTCCTTTGGAGACGGTGTTGACAAGCTGCGGAAACAGGTGCGTGTGGTGCTGGGGATTAGGGGAAAGGCAAAAGCTGGCTAGGACGTGAGCGGGGCGTGAACTCTGGCAGGGTGCGTGGGGAGGTGGGGCCAGAAGCAAGCGGGCCCTTGCTGCAATCGCGGTGTTTTTTTCTAAGCGTATGTGAAGGGGGTGAGAGGGGCAGTGGTAGCCCACACAACCGGGTGTGTCTCAAAAGGGGAGGGGAGAGCAAAAACGGCGCAGCTACACCTGATTGTTAATGCAGAACAATGGAACGCAGAATTTCATTTTCCACCTTGCAGTTCGTAAAGTGCCCCACTTGTCCTCTTTGCATGGAAGAAAGAAGAACATGCACACCTTACCCAATCGCCATTTACTCACCCATCGCTACCCACCTACCACTTTTCCCCAGGTGATAAAAAAGGTGGGCGACTTTGAGCACGACAACGAAGGCAAAGTCGACGACCTCGACCTGGCCCGCTACCGCGCCGCATGCGCCGTTCTGGGTGTCGCGGCCTTCGTGGTGGTGGTGCTGATTGTAGTGGTCATCATCAACTGCCCTTGGGGCATCGGCTGCGCCATCTTTTTCCTGCTCTTGCTCGCGGCGCTGCTGTTCCTTCTGGCTGTGGTGTTCGCACTGGTGCTGGTGGTGGCACAGGACGGCTGCCACCACACGGAGCACGTGGTGATAGAGGCGCTGGGGGCCAAGAGCACAGTCAGGGTGAGCTGCCCCAAAATCTATATGCAAATTACATACGCTGCACGGAGGTCAATTTTAAATATACTAAACCAAGTTCACAAGCAGTTTTAGAATCCAATGCTCATCCAAAAGGTCTTCTGCCTCTTTGGGGTTTCACGATCTCCCAACAAGCTGCATGCATGGCTACATCTGGTGTATTCAAAGTGTCCAGAAGGCCGCTCATGAATGAACCGGCTCTGGCCATCCCTCCCGCATTCTCTCTCCCGTGTCCTTCCTTCCCTGCAGCCCCTGGCGGACTACTACTTCTTCGGAAGCAACAGCACCAGCATCAAGGCCGTGCTCAAGAACGCTACACTGGTGGATATTGACAAGGTGGGGGCTGGGGGGATGCTGCTGTGCGCTGTGGCAACAGGTTTGGTGAAGGTGTGGGAAAGGAAACAGGATCCCAAGGCCTGGACGCCTCGGGTCGACTGCCCCCTTCTTCACCATCACATTGAGTCCCTTTCTTGTGTTCAACTCTTTCTCCACTGCCTAGCCCTCCGTCGTCTGCGCGGTGCCTTTCCCCGGCTTGCCACTAAGATGCAGCCAGCTTGTCTTTACTCCGCTATGCTCTGCCGCGACCTGCAAACGGAATGAATGCTACCGTGCGAAACCCACAGGTGGAGCAGAAGGTTGTGGACCTGGCTGACGGCATGATCAACGACTTCACCGCCAAGTTCACACCGCAGCGCAAGCTATCCATCGTCATTACGGACGTCAGGACCTTCATCAACACCACCCTGGACCGGGCAAGTGACCCTGCCTTGACACGGGGCCGATGGGTACAGGACAGGGGGGGACAGAAATACGTGAGGAAAGAGGAGGCTCAGCCCAGCCCGACGTTCACCAAGTTATACTGCATAAATTCACCCCGGTTATCTCCCCATCTCCCTTCTCCTTCTCTCCTACCGCTTTTTTCCCGCCTGGCCCGTCCCTTCTCTGAACCAATCGGCTTCTCCACCGCATCCAACAGTGTGCTACCCCCTGCTGTTCGTCGGCTGATCCACGTGCTTGGCCTCCACCCCATTCCCATGGTCGCTCTTCCCGTCCTCATGTGCCAGTCTGACATGCCGCCCTGACGTGCTGTCGCCCCTACGTGCCACAGATTGACGCGCTCCTGGAGAAGGCGAGTGTGGCCGAGGTCCGACCCTTGTACATAGGCCTCAAGTCCTACCCCTGCTGTGACATTACCGACTACAGCTTCAAGATGTGGGTCGTGCTCACCTTTGGCGGCTGGCTGATGTTCATATCGGCCTCCATGTCCATGGGCTTCCTGGGCCGGTTGGACCAGCTGCCGCAGAGCGGCTGCTGCGGATGCAAGCCGCTCGTCGGCAAGGGCTTGAAAAGCAAGGTGGGGTGGGGTGGGGTGGCGGCTACCGGGTTGAAACTGGGAGGGCAAGAGGCCGATGGCGGTTGGCTCCAAGAGTGCGAGAGCTGGGTTGGTATCAGCTGGGTTTGGCATCCTTCGCTTTGGTTTTCTTTCCTTTGTGGCAAGGGATGGGATGGGTTGGGTTCGGCAGTGGAATAATGAATTGGGATGAACCCCGGTGTGGGATGATGGGATGGATGAGCAACTGCAAGGGAAATCATCGTTGGGAATTTTGCTTTTCAACGCCCGCGAAGCACTTGCTGCGGCTCGGTTCGCAACTTCCGCTCCACCTCCGCTCTGATGCCTTGTTGCGCTGCGACCCTCCCCTTGGCTGGCGGACCCTGTTGCCGCTCTGGCCGCGGCCGCTACACCTGCTGCTGCCGCCCATTCGCTGCTGCGATGTGAACTACGCAGGTCCACCCCGAGACGGAGGGAGATGAGGAAGGGGCCACGAAGGCAGTCATGGTGGCTCCGGGTGATCAGAACATGCAGAAACCGGACGGCGGAGCACTGCCGCCGCCCTACATGGCAGTCGCTTCTCCTGAGCCACCCCCGCCGGTGTTCGCTGCTTACCCAACCGCACCTGCCTACTACCCACCACCACCCCAGCCGAGCGCCTATCCTCCGCCAGCAAATGAAGCCAACAGATGACTCCTACGGCCGCAGCCGCCGCTAGCTCCACAGGGTTACGCCTATTCCCCGTACGGCGCTTCGCAGCACGCGACGCCTTACGCAAGCCGGCAAGTGCCAACTGCCTGGGCGGCTTCGCCACCTTCCTACTACTAGGGCAGGGCGACGCCATGCCGCCTCGAGGTCTCAAAGCCTCGGCCGGGTGATCCCATTTGGCCTCGGCGGAACCACAAGACCCCTAAGACCGATTCAGATGGGGGTAAACCGGCAGGCGCGGGGAAGGCGAGAGCGAGGGTGAGTTCGGAGTCGGCACCCTCAGCTGAGAAACCTGGCCACGTCACCAGCATCGGCACCAGCGCACGGCTCCGTGGGTTTTGCCCAGTTAGAAGGGAGGGCAGGACCTAGGAGCCTGGAACTCGGCTTCGGGTGCGTGTATCGCTGTGGAGGGTCTCCGGGCGATCGCTGGGGCATCTTGTTGCTGCCCTTGGCATGCTCCCGGGACCTGCAAGCGTGGTGCACGCACGAATCCTGAAGGGAGGGGTCCTTTGCTGGCTAGTGGATTGGAGCGGAATATTGGCGGCTGCGGCCTGATATGATGCAACGAGGGGCAACAGCGACCGCGCGGTGCTGCATCCATGGCGTGCCTGCATCCGTACCGTTACAGTTCGCCATGTGCCTGGGACGCGGCGTTTGCTGTCCCCCACCGTTGCCATGGAACACCATGACGCAACCTAGACTGCCTTATTCAGACACCCTTCGGACGCATTTGAACGGAAGGCATTATAGCGTGTGTGAGGCAGGTTTCAAGGGGGATGGACGTATGTATGTAAGGGTGCATGTTTACCCATCTCAATTTGGAAGTGCGTTATTCATTGGTGTGTGGCCCATTGCGGCTTCTTGTTATTCTATCAGCAGCGGAGACTGTTTTTCTTTAATGATCTGGGTTCTGGCATCTGGTGGCTGAGCATGGCATGGTGTGTCCCCCGCTTGTCAATGGGGTTACTGCCACAGCCAATCAGACCGCGAGGTTGATCCTCGAGGTGGACCCTCGTGTTTCTTTTATAGTTAAGGTTTGTTGGCCACGGGCGAATGCACCGGCGCCTAGGTGTCTTAGTTTGATCAGCATTTGAAATAAAGCACCGAGTGAGAGTTTCTTCCTATTTATTCATGGATTCTACTGCGGGCTGTAGGACAAAAGAAAGCGGTTGGGATTGGGAGCAATCGTGCTGGGGTTGATCGTTGGGATTAATCGCCCCTGCAGTGAGCGGGTCCCGTTTCAACTGGGCAGACACTGAGTTAAGACATGGCTAAGTAATGGCCAATTGCCAATGCCGTGCCGGGTGAGGGGCTTACGAGTGTTGCTGTGCCATGCTGGGACAGCGCCTGGCTGTAACTGAGCGGAAAAGGACGCTCGGTGTGAATGCGCCACAATGTCCCGGTTGCGTGGAGTCTGCATTTAGGAGCAGCGGCTGCGTCCCACACCATACTAGAGCTTTCCTTACATGTGCAGAGGCTTTGCTATTGTTAGGGGCCCTTTCTGAGCGCCCTTGATCAAAGCCTGTATGATGTGTCATTTGCAGTCCTGGACTGCATTCAGCGGTTGAAGCCCGAGAGCCTCTCACGCGAATGGGGGGAATGGTTTGCACTGCTGCGGGGTGTCACATATCGCACTGTGTTAGTTGACATGGATTTCATTCTATATGATCGTCGCAGCTGCCGTGGGTTGTGTGGGCGGCTGCCGGCTTGGTGACCGTTGCCGTTGCGCTGCGATGGTCGTCCGGCAGAATACAATAAGCATATGGATGGCAGGTGTTGCCCTTTCGACTGCAAGTTGCGCTGTTGCTGCTGGGTTTTCTCTCCACGTGTTCGGATTTTTGCCCGTTACTGGAGGTGCACGTGAAACACGAGGGCATCGCATCCTTCATGTGTGATAGAAAAGTAGAACTGTGAGCCGCAAAGATGCACGCAGGGAAAATATAAGCACTGGTAAATAAGCCATCGCCGTATGTACGTGTGTCATTATTGTCCCTAAGTTGGCCCCGCGGCCCTTACGCAGCTCCAGTTGGTTGCTGAGATAGGATGCGGGACCTCCAGGAGCGGCGTCATTAGCTGTGGGATATCTGCCATGCATGCATCTGTGCATGGCATCTACAAGGTAGAAGGAAGGAGGGGCGCAGAGCACTGCATGGCCCTTACAGGTTCTCTATCCCCGTTTTTAGGACTTGTGACGTTGAAGTGGCTCCGTGATACTTCCCTCTAGCAAATTTATAAGACATTTTTATATTCACACGGCAGGCATCGGTGTTTCATCTATATGTGGAGGCTTATGGCTTCTGGATTTTTGAGCTTGCCACGACACCAACTAACCTGCCCCACTGGGGGGATTGTTAACCATGTCAATGATGACACTTGTAACTAGTAATTGCCTGGCGGGGCCACTGCAAGAACCGCGGGCAGGTCCCCAAGACCCAACATGATGTCCGAGGGCGCTGAAATCGCCACACCGCTTCTTGACCTGATATAAGTCCAAACGTCCCGCATAACTGTGTGTTGGACGACACAGATTCAAAGCTCCCAGCCAATCCTTAGAGAGGCGCTGGGAAGCCCTAATGCCTTCCGGCCCCCGCCCCCACCTCTGCCCCGCCTGGTGTGGGCGATCAGTTTAATGCGGAGCAGTAGTTGAACCGTTTACACATGAACCTCTTCCGAGGAAATGGTGGAACGCTTTTTTCCTTACAAGCACGATGCACCAAAACATTATGTAACAGAAGAAAGAGCTATTCGCAGTCTTGTAGCCATTAGCTGGTGGCTGGTTGTAAGCTACCAACGAAATGCGGAGGAGGTGTTTTCTAAGCTTATGAGGCCCTGAGGAGCCAACACATGGATTAAGGGTTTGGGAGGTTCCTCATGTTCTGATTTCTCGCACCAGAGTGCATCACTTATGTTTAAACAACGAGAATGCCCCATGATGAAGATGTTATTATTTTTCGAGCCATTAGAGTGCTAGAGGAAGGCTGTAGTTGGCGTTTGTGCCGTTAGATGTAGCTCGATTTATAAAGTCCTGTCGATTAAGAGATACGGTACGCCTGCCTACCTTTTTCATGGACCACCATGCTCATATTATACACTACCATGTAGCTACCATCGCGGCGTTGGGTACCTTGACTGCCAATCGGCCTGTGTGCTAACCACCCAGTCCAGGAACCAAAAACAACGACCACAGTCCCGATGTCGACTACCTGTTTTTGTAACTCTTCCCAAACAATACTTATAAAGTGCGTAATAGTTGATGTGCTTAATATTCAAGTTACTGATCGGATGTTGTGATGCCGCTCGAAGTAGCTAGAACGCTGACTTATTGGAAGAGAGCCAGCAGCTTCGTGGGATCACATTACACAATTATCTCAGCGGAGAATGAATCATAATAGAGGACTTTTAGGCGAGATTGTGCGCGCTCGTAAATAATTCCATGAACGGCAAAGATGCCAAAGAACTTTTTGCGTCAGGGACAGGTTCAAGCGCCATGCAGAGACACAGTTCCGCCACATGGAGAAGCGCATACGACCGCTTTGGTCAAAGGGCGATACTGCTTAATGAGCTCAGGCTGCAGGTACGTGCCGCGGCGTTTCGGCCGTTTCTCCCGCTAGCTTCCCTTTGCCCTCTGGCAGGTTGAACCGCATCACGCCGGCATATATTCTGCACGTGCGGCATGTCGGCCTCGTCCGCCTCCAGCAGTTTAACTGCCCCTGCTGGCCTTTGAAACCCGCAGGGCCTCGTCGCCTGTGCCATCCAGCTTGTGGTCGCGCTCGCTCTCCAGGGTGGCATGCATGCCAAGGTAAACGGACTCTAACCTCATATCCCACTACCTTCCCTAGCCGTCCTTAATCTCTCTGCGGCCCTATCCCCTCCCCTCGCCTCTCTTATTTATATATGGTTTTTATACTTACCTGACTGCGCCAAACCTCTCCTCCATCCATCTTTCCCGTTCTGGTGGCCCCCCGCGCCGCGGGCCTTGGGCCCCCACCAGTTCTATTCCCTGGACAGCCGCCTGGCGCCCCTCCCCACTCCCACCTGGTTCATCACTCCACTGACTTGCTGCCTGGTAAGGGGGACCTGCAAGGGTGCGGAAGTGGCGGAAGGGAGTGGCGGCTCCTCGGGAGGGGGGGGAAAGCACACCGCACTAGGGCCAGGGGGCTATTGCGGGAGTTCGGGCAGCCGCGCGAGGGGCTGAGACGGGCTGAGGCGCCAACGGCCGCTCGAGGCAGAGGGGATAAAGGAAAACTGATCAAGATCAGGAAACTGCCAGAGAAGAAGCTTTCGCGCGTGTTGGCTGCGCTTCGCCATGTCGGCCCTTTGTAAAAAAAGCGCTTGGCGGTGGCACATTGGGCCTCCTGGAGAGAGCACTTCTGACTCAACTTGCAAATGGGGGAGGAGACTGCGTTCCTTCCTAACCACACATCCTTCCCCTCCCTGTCCCCCTTTAGCACTCTTTCCTTGGCAGCAGCTTCACTCGCTCGTGGTTCGTCTTTTCTCCCCTCCCTGCCGCCATCATCCCAGGGCCTCGTCGGCTTGGTGCTGCTGAGGCCCTTGCTGTTGGCCCTACATGTGGCGCTGGGTCTGGCACTGGCGGCGGCGCTGGGGGCCTACCACACCGGGTTGTACCTGATGGTGGCGGACAGGTGGGCCTTGGGGGGAGAGGGAGGGGAGGGGAGGAAAGGGGACAGGGAAGGCGGGCGGGGGGGACAGGGAGCAGAGTGTTAGGTCTCCCTTGTTTTGTATCTGACTTTGCGCACAAGCAGCCCTGTCCCCGCACCTCGCATCTCCCTTACTGCACCGCAGATGCAATCTCGCCCAGTCCAGTTTTTCGGGTTGTGCCTCGTGTGTATGCGCCGCCACCAGCAGCTGCACACGGGAGGTGCTCAGGGCCGAACCCGCGTGCGCCGCGTGCGGGGCTTGGCCCACGGACGTGTGCTCTAAAGCCGGAGGGTTCCTGCCGTACATGGTACGACGGTTTAAATGACATCGGGTTATCAGCGTAGCATCTGGGTGCACCTGGGTAATGCGATCATCGACACGACATGCTGTCATGCTTGAGCTGCTCGGGTCGCATTACCCACGCATTTTTGTACGACGATGATATGTACGTCAAATGACAGTACTCAGAATCGCAAACGTGTGTGTGTGTGTATCTGGTGGCACCTGCTGTGGACGTCCTCTCACGTGCTTCATTGTTCCGTAAGTTTAACTTTGCTTTCCGGGGGCCGTTACAGGGCCCCAACTGTAAACCCACTTCAACCTCTTAGCCGCCCGCCCGACCGTGGCCGCCCCGGTCGGCCCTTCAACCCCCCATCCCCTTTCTCCCAATCCCTCTCTTCCCCCTCCCGCGCCTTTCCCTTCCCATAGGGTTTGTTCCTGCTGTTGCTCACCGCGCTACCCACCGTGCCCTCCCTGTTGGTGCTGATGAGGTTGGAGAAGTCCCACAGCGAACTAGCCAGCAGGGTCATGTACGCCCGAGCGCTGGTGGGTGCAACCCGCAGTCGGGTCGAGATGGGGGAAAAGGGAAACCCTGGGCGGCAGTGGCGCACATTACACCGTTACACGTTACACCGGTGCAGCGTATGTAATCCGGGGCAGAATGTTTGGGTGGGTCTCCCCTCGTTCGACAAGGGGTGGTCTGTTTGGCGGAACTGTGTAGCTCGGGACAGTGAGGGGCTTACCTAGCTCCCACGCCACAACTGCAGCCTCCTGTTTACCTTCCTCCCTCTCCATTACCCTCCCCACCCTGCGCCCCGGCCGTGTTCCAGCCCTCACCGCCTCTGTACGGGCTTCCCTCCCTCCTAACTCCCCTCTCATTTCTCCCCCTCCCCCTCCCATCCGGCAATGTTTTTTTCCTTCATTGCTTTTCCTTCTCCCCACCTTTCCCCCCTCTCCCCTTCTCCCCGCTGTCCCCCCTGTCGTCCACCCGCAGGTCCTTAGAGAGCTGGAGCGGCTGCGTGGTGCTAGTGGAGGTGGTGGTGTTGAGGGTGTTGGTGGTGTGGTGGATCCCCGGGTGCTTACCCACATGATGGCCACGTTGCTGCGACACGGGGGCAGGCGGGATAGGGCCCTCGTGGCAACCTGCTGCCAGACACTGCAACTGGACCCGCGGGGGCTGGAGGTGGAGTGGCAGGACGTGGAGGCGAAGGGGTAAGGAGGGGGCCGCAGGGGGGGGAGAAGGAGGAGCAGACGATTTAGGTGGTCGAGGTGGGTTTGGGGGCTGGGGAGATGCAGCATAAGGCCCCGCCTTTGTGTCGTCCTCGCTCCACCTCCTGAACGTCCATCTACTAGTTACAAGTTAACAAGTTCCGCACACGAGTGCGGGAGTGTCCCTAAACGCCGGGGGGGCCATGGACGTTGTATTGGTACTGATGCGGGTACGCGGGAGGCCATCCGCATCCTCCCTCGTTCGCTTCAGGGTGAAGCGCCGCAGCGCGACGTGCCTGGCCTCCCAAATTTCCGAGAGGTACCTGGCCAATGCCAGGGGTGGCGCCTCAGTCATAATGGTGCGCATGCTGCGCCCCTTAAAGACGAGGTCACCATCGTACTTAGCCCGTATGCTCTTGTAAACGGGGCATTCATCAAAAAGGTGCAATTCATCTTCAACGCTCCACAGCCACAAAGCCTGCAGGTACGCGCGGTGCGCTCACGCCCATTAGGCCTATTAACCTCTTAACTCCAACAGCCTAACCGGAAATGGTCACTTCAGTGTGCTCCAGCCAATCGAGACGCGCCCCCCTAGGCGGGGCCGCTCCCATCCAGTTCATATTGCGGCAAGCCTTGGCTCCGGTAATTCCTATGGGGAAAACGCGGGGGTCACCCAAGGTATTCAGACACTCCCACCGTGCATCAACCCGCTTGGCAAATACCTTAAGGATGCTCCCAAGTGGCAATTTAAGGGTGGCGTAATGCGCTAAGTGATCATCATCGCGCGTATTAGTGGGGATTTCCGCTCCTAAGCTAGTAAGGAAGGCTAGTACCTTGCTTGTCCAGCACTCAGTGACGCCCCCGAGTGCCAATTCCAGGTCAGCGACAAATGCCCAATGACACAGCGTTCCCGGCCTCTTAACCACGGAGTTCCAAAACCTTTGCACAAGGTTGGCCCAATGGAACTGGAGCGGCCTTTGTGACAGCTCGCGATATAGGGAAGCCATAGTCGGGCTCCGCGCCCCAACTACAGATCGCATTTACGCACGCTGCTCCTGGACCACGGGATTAGTCATAGCACCTTCGAAACTCACATTTATGAAGTCAGGTCCCCAAACTTGCGCTCCATAGGAAAACACCGGTACAACTAGTGTATTGTAGAGAGACATACAAAGCTTGGTGGTGGTAATCTTCTCATCTCGACACAGGGTGCTGAGCCTAAACGTGGCCCGCCTCCCTGCTGCGAGTAATTGCTTGGTACATGCTGAAAACTGCGCTCCTGGGCCATAGTGCAACCCGAGGAGAAAAAAGAATAGGAGCATACACCAACCAAATAGGGGTAGGGTAAAATACGACTATCAGCTTTTCGCTTGTCCAGCTGTGGGAAAATCGTACATTGTACACATGTAATAGTATATCGAGACCAGGTTTCGATCCTGGGACCTCGGGGTTATGAGCCCCGCACGCTTCCGCTGCGCCATCTCGATTTTCAAGTAGATAACTGTCTTCGTTGAAGATAATGAAATATTTCTTAATTTTTTCCTATATAACAATGACAATAGTGATGTTCCTGTCGATGATGTTCATTTTGTCGTGCCATCCACACCTACGTCGCCAGGGGTCAATTTACATGGGCGTCTACAACCAGGGCCGCGGCGCCGTCCACCATAACCCACCTCGCCACCGCTACTCCTGTCACAAAGCAGCCATCCGCCGCCACTGGCGCCCTCGGCAACGGCACTGTCTTACAAGCTGCTACTGCTGCGACAGTCTCCACGACCGACCGGGTGCCGCTGGTGGCTGCCCCCGGTGCCCCGCGCCCCACTCGGCCAGCTGGGGGACCGCAGGACCCGCTGGCTGGCGCCGCCACCGCCCCGGTACCCGCACTCGACCCAACTGGGCCCAATGGCGGCGGGCCTTCACCGCCAGGTGCTGGTGAGTGTGGTGGGTTTGTGTGTGGAGGGTGTGTGTGTCCCTCCTTGGTTATGTTTGATGACCTCCTCCTTCGCTTGCCCTGCCTTATCAGGTTGCTCTTCGCCTCAGCCTCTCCCCCTTTCCCTGACACACATACACACAGACACACGCGCGGTACGGTTAGGTGTCCATGACCAGCGTCAGGCCCGGATCGATATGGAACAGACGAACACACACACACGCATACACACACGTGCACAAATGTCGGAGTCTCCCGCCTCCGCCCGTCCATCTCCCCTCGGTGCTGAGCTCCCTGTCCGGGACCTGAACAGTTTACCGTCGAACGTTTTACGAATGACCCCCTCCCTCCCTTGTGCTCCTCGCCCGTGTGCGGCCACTGATCTTTGTGATGATCTCACATCCACTGCCACCTCGTCCATCAACTCACTGCCGCAACGGCAGCAGCAGCAGCAGCAGCAGCAGCAGCAGGTGGCAGTAGCTATGGCGACGGCAACGGAACGCGGCAAAGGGCGTCTCTGTGGAGGAAGCTGCAGCTGCTCTCGGATTCCGAATCTGACTCGGATCCGGATCCGGATCTGGACCCAGCAGGCGGGCCGCCTGCGGCAGATGGAGGTGGAGCTGGAGGTGGAGCGCTGCCTCCTAGGTGGGCTGATTGAGGGGGGTGTGTGCTGGTGACGACCGCAAATATTTGTTCATTTGAGGTTCAGAAAGACCACTAAGGCTACTGGGGTCAAACCTTATCAATCCGGGGAACCCAAATCCAAACAAGCTGTGCGACGTGAAGTTTGATCCAGGGTTGGCTTACCCTCTACGAATACACCCGCCGTACTGTACTGTACTATACTGTAATGCACCTCACAGTTCCGTACCTGGACCATGCCTCTGTGTAAGTCATTCCGTCACATCCTTCGTCGTGAGGGCATCAAGTCCCCAAAACATGTTCTCGCGTGTCGGGGGGTGTCCAGGCGTCATCTTTCGCATTACCTAGCCCCCGGCCCCCGCGGCCCCCTCCCGTTCATTCCCCCCCTCCCCCCCCTCCCCCTACTGCCACTGGGCTCACTTCATTTGCACCCCTCACCACGACCCCACTCAACACTCATAACCCCTCCTAACCCCTAACCGCCAACCGCCACCAACCGTCGTGACCCCATA